CCATTCCAAACATTCTCAAGCATTTCCGAAAATTAATTTAGAACGCGACCAAACATAAAACTTCGACTGAACCTTGACCATTGCCGAGGATGGAGCAGGGCATTAAAATTTTACATATATTGAACTCGACGTATTTTACGCTAAACTGTGATATAGCGGAATAGAGAATAGTTCTTTTCTAGAATTAAATGTTTATTAGCTATAACCGTACGTAATCAACCTAATCAGTAAGTATGCTCAGACAACTTTACGCAATGAATAATTTGATCTGAAATGAAAAACTCGCAATTATGTATCAGCCAAATATTGTAAACATTAGACTAACCTCTAGTATAGCGAGTGCCTCCTCCTTGGTCCTAGTTATATTCTCCTCCCTCCAGGAGCTGGGTCTCCTTGAATCCTGGTGCTTCACCAACAGATGACTAGCACGAACCTACAAAATTAGTGTAAAACCTATATTTAAGCCCTGTTTAGGAAAGAACTAGAATGAAGGATGAAGTAGGAAACCTATCTAGAACTCAAGACTGAACTGAATTCAAGCATAATCACCAGATCAACCATATGAAGATATGAAGTACTTTTATTAACTTTCATAATATTTAGCCTATATTCAACCCTGCTTTTTATTCTATAACTTGCAATTTTATATGTGAATTGAAGCAAAAAGAAAAGATTTTAAACTTATCTATATAAAAGGAAGCACGTGCAATACCATCAATCTTAAAAATGTAACCATGTATGTAAACCTATTTACTCCCAAAACATTGATTAAAATATTAAATTAGAGGCCTTTTTCAGACCAAACAATATGGTCTTTCTTGGATGCAAATCTGAATAATTTCTCCACTATATAAACAAAAGGTTTGAGAAATATTATAATACTGTACATTCTTTAACGTACTGTATTTCTTGTACATGGGAACAGTGTACACGTTGCTGTACCCTGATCTCATCCCTCCCCGTTGCATCGACAATATATACCCCTGTTAAGGCGCTGAGGACATTATCGTTGTATCCTGACCCCAGCTGACTGGTTTCTGTGAGATCGGAAGACTTCACTAAAGATTGACTGGAGAACGTTGTTTCTAAGCCCTGAGCGGATTCCTTGCGGATTCCTAAATTATCTGGAGAACGTTGTTTCCCAGACCTAAACTATTTAAGGAGTGAACCTTCGGAGATAAGGGGATCTGGTTAAATAAACATTCTCGTCAAGAAATATACCTACGTGGACGGTGCTCCACCCACTCAGTCGATGCACCAAATGTAAGCACTCATTTAATATATTCGTGTGATTGATTGATTGTAAAATAATAATTAGTTGATGGTATTGCTTTAAAACTTTTAAATTATATGGAACTGATTAATATTGTGATTTATTTTTTCAGTTTCCACCGCAAGACGTGCTTTCCTCGTTCCTAGAGTATAAATGAACTGTGGATATTTACAGAAACAAGCGCGTGAGAAATGGGTATGATGACTGAGCCTGCGTCCGGCATTTGGCGTGAAGACCTAATTGAAAATTAGGTGAGAAATGCACAATTAGGGTACTAGATCCTTATAAATGTGTTTATGCTGGGTTCCGTCAGGTTTTGAATATTGCAAGATTAAAATTTAAACGGATAGATTATCATAAGTTATTACTTATTAAAATATATCCCTATCAATGTCACTGGGCAGTGACAAACAAACCAGTTTTTTTTAGCAGACTGTTTTTGATATATGCCCTTTGGATCATGATCAGCAAAAATATACGGTTCCACGGTTTCGGATCCAAGGGAAAAAATATCAAAAAAACCTGCTAAAAAACAAATTACTTGAGATTATTAAAATATTCTTTATCCTTGAATGGTTAAAAAGTTTAAGCAGATATGGCGGAAATCTATTTTAAAAATCAGTAAATCTAGAATGGATCCGGATCCATATTTTCAGGGGAGAATCATAATCCGATCCGTTTCTATTTGAAATGGATCTTTAGCACTGCTTACAACTCTAAGTTGCGTTTACCTGAGCAGGAGCTGGTTGTGCTGGTGTGGTAGGTTTATCCCATTGAGACTGTTTAGTGAATTGATTCAGGAAGTAAACCTGGCCAGTTGACCGGGAAGTGCGTTCCTCCCATCCAGCTGGTAGATCAGACATTTTTCTGAAAAAACGCTACAACGTTAAAAATGGTAATACTGATGATACTGAATCAATTTCAGAAGATTAATCCACTTTCACAACCTTGATAAATGCTGAATTCTAACAAAATAGGAAAATATTCAAATGACGTGGAACAGATTACTCGCCAAAGTGAACATGAGAATTCTTATTTTTTTCGATTTTGTTGAGAAGTCTCTTCTTTTTCTTTTCTTTTAGAACAACCACCTTTCCAGATTTTTTATCCTCCATATCCTTCTGTATCTTCTTCCAATAACCATTTTCTTCTTCGTCCTGTTTTATGACAAAATATATCATTAAGAATAAATAATTTTCTATATATTTAATATAAGTTAAAATATATGTTCATACTGCAATATGGTATTTATAATCAGTTTACCCTCACCACTGTTAATATGTTACCTTTAGTTTGATTAATTTCCAGTCATCTATCTGTCTACTAAGTATTCTATCTGTCTGCTCTTCATTCCTACACCTAGATATCACACTTAAATCAAAATCAATATATTTTTATAGTTTAGTTTTAGTTCAAACTTATATTTATCCATCTCTATTGTTTGGTGTAAAAACAACCTGACAAAGAACTTGTCGTCACCAATTCTAGCATCAATATAGCTGACGTCCTCCATCTCCCTCACCCGCCTCTTTAATACCTTCACGTCATCTATTCCTAAATACAAGAAGATATAGCCATTCAAACAAATAATTCTCTTGTGTGAAGGTGTCATCGCCTTATTCATAATTACACAGTAAGATCTAATTAATCATTTCATAAAAAGAATATTTTAACAAAAATTGTAAATTACATGATGAATACACTACCTAAAGGAACAATAATCTTGATTATAATACCAGGCGTAAACTCAAACACAGTTGATGACTCCTTGCCAGCCTCCTTATCAAAACAGTCCAATCAGCCTTGTTAAATGTTTATACTCCACTTGGCATTTAATTTATTAGAAATCAACTGAAAAGAAGAAAAATATTGATCTTGAAAACATTCTTACAAGTGTTAACTTAATCCTGATAAAAAAGAATTTTGTTCACTGATTGGGTTTCCTTGACAGTGGTATTCTTTTCCTTCTTTACTTCGTTTTCTTTCACTTTATTTTCTTTTTTCACAGGCTCTCCCTTCATTTCGGATTCTCCCTTGCTGACCCTTCCTTCGCTTTCATGGATACGTAGGTGTGCCTGGAAAAAAAGTTGCAAAAAAGAAAAAAGTACAATTGAGTTGGATCCTTAAGACCTATTTTTACAGAAATGATTCCGTTTCATATTTAGCCGTATCAAATTATAAAACACGAGATAATTTTCTTTTTTTAGGTCATTTAAAGTAGTTTTAAAATTATACAGCCTAGACTGCCTTGCTTATTTTTATTTTTAAACAAATCTTTGCTTTGAATCCTCTCCCTGGCCGCGATATACGAAAAAATTTTCTTGCGTCGGTTTCTTTTAGCAATTCATACAAGTCCCTTGAGCCCCAACACAAATAATGTGTTGTAAATCTATGACAGCTTAATGTGTATCTTGAATAGTTGACGGAAAAAACGGTTAAAAATCAAAAACAATTGTTAATTTGAAATAAAATCCCTAAAATTTTTAATTGTTAATGGTTGCTTTTCTTCATTTTAAAATATTTTTGTCAATTCAATAAGACTATAAGCAATGTATCATTTACTCCGAGACAAATTAGAATCAATGGAAATTTAAACCCCCGAGGGATTCAATGATAAACCCAGAGTAAATGACATTCCTTTGTAAAAAATAACAAATTATTTTTATTATTTATTATTATTTTTAAAAGGGGCGGGAGTAAATGAAAATTGTTGCATACCAAAAAACCGGCTTTTTATAAAGGAATGCACTTTTTTTCGATTTATGCTACTTACAAAAGAATATTATAAACTCAATTCTTTATTTCATAAACAAAAATTTAACTTAATATTTGTACTGGGTACCTTTGCCGCAGAAACATTTTTTCTCTGTTGGTTTAAATACTGGTTTCTGAGCCTCCTCCACTGAGTTTTTGTTAAAATCCTGAGTAAATAAACCTAATTAATTGAATTATCTTTGCAATATTTATTTTTTATTAAAACTACTAAAAATGCCTGCCAAAATACCAAAAATACCAAAAATACTAAAAATACTAAAAATTACTGAAAAATACTGAAGAATACTAAAAATACTGAAAAATGCTGAAAAATGCTGAAAAATGCTGAAAAATGCTGAAAAATGCTGAAAAATGCTGAAAAATACTGAAAAATACTAAAAAATACTGAAAAATACTGAAAAATACTGGAAAATACTGGAAAATACTGGAAAATTCTGAAAAATACTGAAAAATACTGAAAAATACTGGAAAATACTGGAAAATACTTGAATACCAATTTACCAATTTACCAATACCAATACCAATAACAATAACAATAACAATAACAATAAAATTAACAATAACAATAACAATAACAATAACAATAACAATAACAATAACAATAACAATAACAATAACAATAACAATAACAATAACAATAACAATAATCATAATTTGAAACCACTAGACCGCGCCCCACAATAAATGAAAATAAAATAAAAAAGCCCTTCTAATTCACAAACCTGAATCCCTGTAATGTTAAAATGTCTGACTCTTCTATCCCCTCACTCTGAATCTGTTTCTTCGGCTCATCTAAAACCTGATCAGATTCAGGGCGCAATCTTTCCAATACATCCTCAGCACGAGACTTAATGCCATCCTCGGAGCGGAACCGTTCTCTTTGGTTTTCATCTATACGCAGCCTCTAAAGTAGGCATTAGGTAATAGGTATATATACAGAGGTTGTATCATATGCACCGAAAAGCGATCTTGGGGCAACGAATAAAGTGTAAGATCTGGTGATCTTCATAAACTATTCTGTGTTCAGGGTGTTCAAAATCAAGACTTCAATCTACTAAAATACAGCAAATCTAAAATTATCAAAATGTTCAAAATAAATTATATAATCAGATTTTTAATGCATAACCAATAACCATTTAAAGGCCTATTTCATAACAACGAGCTTGAGTATGATTTTATAAACAAAAATGTTTTAAGATACTGTGAAAATATTTTATATAAGCCTAAAAGTCTAACCTGTACCTAAGACTAAAAAACTAGCCTCAAACTGTTAAATAATAAGTTTTATCTTTCAGAACACGATGGCTTAGTTGCACCCTTCTAACTTGCTTTCGTGTCTCTTTCTCCAAGTTTATAAATCATCCGTGATAAATGTTCAAAGCTTTTTGCACAATAATGCTTAACCTTATTCTTACGTATGGTTTATAAAATTTATGTAGATATTGTGATAATTGTGATTCCTTCCTAAAGAGTAGCTCCGCGCTCGTCTCCGTTGCATTGAACCAGGTGAAAATTACAAATATTTGAAATTGAGCTTACATAATATCCTAAATTCTCACAAACCCTTCAACAAAACTCTGATGCTAGGCTGGCACCGAGTCCCTGTTGATCACTGAACATGTATTCTCTCCGCCGGCTTGCGGATAAACTGTACTCCTCAGCAACATGCAGATCGTCTTCCCTGTGTGTTTGGCTCCTGAGATGGAAACGCCCAATCCCTCTCCCATCTACTAATATTGACACCCTGAGTCTAGGATAGGTCAATATAAAGGTGAGGAACAAAGCTCATAAACTTTGAGCTCTGGAACTCCGTATAACGAATCTAATTTAGACCTCCGTTGTCAAGACTCCGACACCAACGGAAGCTGAGTTTCCCCTGTATCTCCGGACACTCGGCTAAAGTTCTCTCTAAGAGTAGCCCCTACCTCTATGTAAACCTGATCTATAGCGACCACATCTTGGTTGTTATCCTCCACTCCGATACCTAACAGCTATATGTAGATTGTAGAATACCTTTAAAATTAGTCATTGTTCCCTTGAAGGTTACAGAATAGATTTATTCTATATCGAGTTTTTTCCAACTGCCGAAATTCCAATTAACCATTATGGTGACAAATGTCGACTTATCATAACTTAACCTAATAAACAATTCAACTAATAGGACAAATAACTCTTGGCTATTGAAACAATACTTACTTTAGGAGCGTCGAAGTCGTCATCTTCGTTATCATGTTTTCTCTTTGTCTTGAGCTCCTCCTCCGTTGTGTTCTCTCCGACCGTGAGCTCTGGTTGAAAAGTTTTGATACTGGTTAGGGTTGATGGGTCGGGTAACCTTGTCTCCTCATCCTGAGCTCCACACGCCTGATCAATCCCAGGTTCAAGTCAATAATAGTCACCCCGAAGCCTTGAGTCTTATTAATTTAGGGAATCGAAAATATTATAAAGTTCACATCCCTAGGTTCTGAATTTTGACTTGTCAGACCACCCCAAAAAATTAAACGTTTTCATAGTTTTTTAGGTTAATTACTAAAATTATATTAGCCTGTCCTACCAAAGTTACTCGCCCCCAAAAAAAAAAATATTAACCGGAAACAATAAAATTCCTTAATGAAAAACACCGAACGAAATTATAAGTAGGATAAACTAAGCTCAGATTTAAGCCTGCCTTGAGAACATTTTTAACTCCTTCCAGGTTCTCAAACTCGATAAATGCAAAACCTTTGTAAATTGATTCTTTTGGCGCTTAAGAGTAGCAAACATGTTTTTTGTTAATTACCATTCCAAACATTCTCAAGCATTTCCCAAACTTACAACACTTTTCTGCCCTTTTTTTCCATTGAGTGTAAAGTTTTAAAAACTCAAATAGAAAATATAAATCACAAAAATTGGAATAAATACTCTTTTCTTAGATGTTTCTCAAATTATAGAGAAATAATTATTCTCGTTGAATCAAAGTTGACCTTTAGCTTTAGAGGAGTTCTTAAATTTTGGTATGGAAACATAGGCAACAGAACCGAATTGATTGAATTTGGTTTTCAGCATCTCGTGACTCGCTTCTAAATATCAAGGCATGATTAAATCAAATAAGAAGCAAGAATGTAATGCAAGGAAAGTTATTTCAGAAGTGTACACATCTTTTGTACTGCAGTGTACTGTCTCTGGGCGGTAATGTAAACACAGGACGGATGTCATAGCCTGACGTGGGATCCTGAAAATTATCAAAATTATCAAAATTTAATGCTTTTAACCTCCTTGGATACTAAACGAACAATGATGCATCTATTCTTGTTTACAAATTCCGCCCAAAGAGAACTGGTTTCATTATGTACGCAGAGTGTACACAACCGCAATAAACTTTCCTTGCCTTACATTCTTGATAAGAAGTAACTATTTCTACCCATATTTTGGTTTTCCCTTACTCAGATATATTGCAAAACCAATTGATAATTTCAAAGAAACGAATTTTGGTCGTCTTTAGCGGCTCATTTTTATAGCACAATCTGAATACAAAGCATTAGCAACCTTGTAATGATTTTGTTCTAGGTTAACTTGTTAAGTGGAGGCAATTGATTAATCATTTCTGAGTGCACCCCTTATACACCCTACATTGTTAATTGGCATTTACATAATAAACTTCAATTGTTTGGCAAAGGGGATGGTGGAGATGTCCTATTTGATGAGAAGGGGGGAGGGTCCCTGCCTTTATTTGTGGTTCAAATCTTCCAATTTTTTTGCTGCACGCCTGATTTGTGTTCTATTTTCGTAATTCTTTTAGGGTGTATAAAATGTTAAATAACAAAGATTTAAGCAATTTGTTAACCTGGAGATATATTTTCTACATAAATTGTGCAATCCTCAACATCATCCTTGTCCTGGAACCAAACTATTTACAATGGGCAGAAAAGATTTTAAATAAAATATATAAAATGCTTTTTAAGATTAAAATGAAATATAACCATTTCAAGATTAAATGATTATCTAATATCTATGAAATGAGTAAAAATTGGTTTCCTGTAGTTTGTTTATCCTCCTAACTTTACTTCCATCCTCAGACACTTCAAGTAAGACAGACTTCTTTACCTGGAATAATTTTTAAAAAACATCGTCAAAATGAGATCTTTTAGGCAGTGATGTATTTATGCTAGAATTATCGTCACCCGCACTTTATATTGTGAAAATATAAAATATATATTAAGGAGGCGATACAAAAAAAATCTAGTTTATTTATTTCTCTGACATTGCTGTAAATTCAAGTTTACAAATCATGTTTTTAATTAATACTTAAGAACTTATGTATTTTTAATTTTTGGTGTAAAAGAATTATCAGAATTGAAATAAAAAGTGTAGATTACCTCTAGAGCTTTAACGAGATGTTCTTCTATAGTTCCATCCTGGAACTCAACCAACATACTCTTAATTTTATTAAACGCCTGGAAGGTTGACAGTGGAACCCAAGGATCTCTAAATAAACATGAATTATTGACATCTATGTTCTATATGTATTATGTATTATATTTCCAAATAATCGATGACCGAGCCCACCTCAAATGACCCTAAGAAATGATTATGAAAGTTAAAAATAAATTGTTGCCTCAAAAATTCGATTTAACCGTTTTCTATTTATAAAATAAAGCTCTTCGTTCATGTATACTTCTTTTTATACATATTTGTTAGTGTTAGGTGGCCAAACAGCTGGACCAAATTGGCTGACATTTTTAAAACTAATCCATGGCCATTGGCCGGGTACCATAAGCTAAAAAATCAATTTCTTTTTTTAATTCGAATTTTTGACGCGTTTTTAAAATTCCACTTGAGCTAGTACAAAAATAAAACCAGAAGAAGTTTATCTTTTTCGGATCTCCCAATTAAGGACATTTTCAACTATATATTTACTAGAATTACAATAAAATTTAAAAAAAATACTTTTTTAGAAGCTGCATCATGAATCCATCCTTCCTATTTGAAGCCCTCAACATAAGTTTAATAAATTCCTTTCAAGATATGACTCACAATTGTAACAAAAAGAATTTAACTAATGCTGTCTGCTGAGCCACATATCGTTAAATTTGTCTTCTATTTTGTGCTTTAAAACATTTAAGGCATTTTTTCAATCTTTAGTTTGAAGTGCATTAAAGAAGCAAAGCACTATGCACATTTACAATAAACATGTACGTTGCACATATCCAAGGTACAGGGTGTCACACATCAAATTAGACCGCGTCAATGAGCCATATTACGATTTTGGGGACAAATCAGAAAATTTAAGAAGAATGAATCATTTTGAAAAATTTAATAAGGCTAATATGAATTTTTTTTTGCAGAAAATGCTAGATTTTTTGAGTAGTATGTATGTGCGTCAAAGATTGGAGATAGTCTAATATGATATGGGACGCTCTGTATAAAAACATTTGTCTACTATCTAGAACCTAACGATATTATGCTGGATACACACAAATAAGAAGTATTTAAACAATATATTTTAAAAATTAAATAATATCAAATTTAGCCAAAATAGGAACAACAAAAATTAATAACTATGAATAAGTGTAATAAATGTTTTCAAATATTGCAAAAAAAAACTAGAAAACCTCTAAAATAAAATAAAAACGAAGATTGCATCCAAGATATTCTCTTCAAAACGTAGTGAATATTAAGCACTGGAGATAATATGAATCTTTCTTTCTAAAGAATTATTTATGGGGTTCCTAAGGTTAGCATCACTAAAGTAGAATTCCAACTGTTCCGCTAGCCGTTTATACAGCCCCTTCCGACGTTTTCTGTGCTTCTTTGCTCTAAAAAAATCGTGCTGATCTTAAGGGACAGTTTGACATTATTTAGTTTAAAATATTACTTAAATCATTGAGTAAAAATTGTACAAATTGTCAGATCGTTGCTCATATTTTATTTAAATTTCTAAAAAAAAAGACTATTTTTTATTTTTTATTTACCCTGGAACTCCCGCACTACTACGATCCATTTCTTCATATTTTTCACTTGCATTCTTTTCAATTTTATCCATTTTATGGTCTTTCTTTTCTCCCTTTCCTGATAACACAATTTTTTCTTCTTTCTTTATTTCCTTTCCTTTCTTCTTTTTCCCGGTTTCTGCCATTCTTTCTGAATCAAACAGACATAACAATACAATAGAATATCACAGAATCAAGGGATAAAAGAGTGAGTTACTAAAACAGAATTAATAAAACATAGTTACACAATACACAACAAAAATTACAATATTTTAAAACATTCTATGACTAGCACATACAGATTAATGACTTGGTTTCTACGTAAATAAACGGTTGTTACAAGAAGAGATCATTAGTTTCATAAATGCGATTAGGCTGAAGTACTGAGGGTTTTCTGGATAAATTATCTCCGAGTCATTACTCGGGAACATTTTCTTTTCCTTTCTGTTTATCTTTCTTACGACTAGAGCGTCTTCGTTTGATTCCAGATCCAATTATTCTAGAGTATAACTCTTTTCTTAGCTCTCGGGATATTGGCTGGAATAAAAATTAATAAGTTATTATTAATTAACTAAAGAAAAATAAGGAAATAATAAGCCTTATAATTTAAGATTTGTTGCATATAAAAAAACATTAATACCTTGAGATGCATAAAATTACAAAAGCCGGCTCTAGTACATTCTCCCATCTCATACTGCCTAAGTTTATTTGTTTTAAAACAATGGTTTAAATTTCCCTTGAAAATTATTCTACTTTTCACAACATTTTTTAAATTCAAATAAATTTAAACTTAAACAAAAAAACGTACTGGTCTTGCGTGGAAATGCTTAGAATACACTGCGAAGGTTCTGAATGTGGTTTAATATGGACCGGCTCAATTTTATCTCATTCAAGCTAGAAAATCTGTTAGAAGTTATTGAATTCGACTAATTGTAATCTGCCTCAGAGATTTATAGTGATTGTCGTTATAATTTCAAGAGACCCTTCATTCACAGAGGGCCATGTCTGATTCCCAACAATACACTTTTAATCTTTTTCGGCCAATATAATGTGAACAACATTAATATTTCAGTCATTTCTGATCTGGAAAAGCATTCATTGATACCGTTGTGTATCGGACAAATCCGTGTAAAAAGAACCCAACGTGTAACCAGACGTAACTTTTTAATTTTCTCTCTAATACAAAACAAAAAATCTCTTTCGTCCATGTAATTATTATTTGAAACTTGGATTTTTTAAGTCTAAAACTTAAAAAGTAAAATATTTGGACCTGCAACAAGCCTCTCTAAAATCGGTGACAGGAGAAAGTTCTGCGTAGATAGGACGCCCACCAAACCACCTGTTATTCAATTCATTTGATGCCTATAGAAAAATAAATATTAAAAAATATTTTTATAAAATTATTCAATTAACATTTCGTTTGTTTTCTTAAATTTCGGTTTGCATCTGTACCGAAATTTTTCAGATTTAGTGTTTTAATTTCTTTTCACTTTTTAATAAATAAACAAAAACAAGAAGTACCTTTTCAGCGTCTGTCTCATATCTGAACTTGATGTAAACATTCCCCACCAGATGATCACCAAGGTTATCACAAACATTCATCTCCTCAATCTCTCCGTATCGATCCTTCATAGATTTATGTTGTAAATATACGCACTTCACATTACAGTTATCAATTTGTTTAAATCGAGAACATCATTAGGTATTTATATTTCATGGAAAAAAATTAAAAACATTATTTCACCCCCAATGCCAGAAATTGCTTTAACAAATTATTTCTAAGGGAAAACATGGAATAACAGAATCAAAGTTAGTCAAAATTTTCATTCTAACCCAAAATCTTAAAAAAATGTCCGGCCCAATAATCCTATTTAGTAAAAATATAAAAGGAAATTATTTATATATATATATTGATGTGGCCTATGAATATCAAGAAAAAAATCTCTGTTTGACTGTTGGGTTTATATGTCTCTGATCATTGACCAATTTTCCTCTAATTTTTATTTGGTGAATTCGGCAAAACAACGGAAATATTCTGAGCTTAGTTTAAAAATTCTAAATTGAGTTTGCTAATTTTTATGGTGTAAGTTTAGATTTCCAGGCATTCAATTTGAGATTGAGTTGGGATTTGTATCCTGAACTAGACATCATTTGTTAGGTTTAAATCCTGCCTAAAACTTAAAATATTCCACCCCATCCCTTCCTAAAGTACAGAAATAGTTATCATTTGCCACAATTCAGCGGGAAAATTTTTTTTTACATTTTTTAATTTTACACAGGGGAAGTGGGGTAATTGGTCATGAAAATACAAAATACATATCATTTTTACCTCACATTCTACAAAAACCTCTTGAAAAAAGTTGTCATAATGTTCCTGCATTTCCTCATCGGTGACTTGGTTCATATGAGATCCATCGGCCGTCTAGATATGCATAAATCACACTGTTAATTCCCATTATCGTCCCAATTTAGAACCTTTTCAGTTTAAAATCTAACTTTTATAATTTTCCCGTCTTTCGTATATTTGAGGGAATTACTAAACCGAATCACTAAATCAATGATTGATTCGTAAGAATTTTTAATGGAAGTTATATGCCGTTGCCGCAGTTTTTATTGGAACTATCCGGAATATTTTTATTAGTTTCTCACCTTAGACGTGTTTTGAGGATTTATGTAAAGGTTCTGTACCACTAGAGTTTGGCTGAAGGTTGGCTTATTGTGAATCCTTTAATACATTTGATTATAATTAAATAATTAAATAACCTATTCTCAATTTAAAAAGTCTTCTCCAATTTTCTGACAATAATTTTGAAGTAATATTTACAACACAAGCTAATTGATTCGTATATTTTCAAGATTAAATTGAAGGCGAAAACTTAAAAAGCAATTGTGATGTAATTTTGTTAACAAATACATCAGTATATTACACAGTAAAGAAGGGTATTCATTTCAATGACGAGGAAATAAACACCCCTGTAATACCTCGAGCATCGATCTCCGTGTCTGCAGGCCCCGATCTTGAAGTAGAAGGAACAGTTAACCTTGTCCTTCTCTGTACCGAATATACTTGCTAAGTACTCCGCCATTTTACCATCACTCTGAAATCAAGCCTTGTAGAAGTTTTTATCAAAAAGAAATAAAAGGTTTAATAAGAGGAATTGCCAGCCATGAGAAACTCCAAATCTGAATATGAGGAGGTGACTGGGTGCTCAGAGTCCTGAAATCCATGATTAAAAAGAAAGTAAAATATTTAAAAATTTTGGATCTTAAATAAATAATTATTTTACAAAACATGTAACATTATACAAGGCCAATTAATTTACTTTCTTTTTACAAAAAAAAATGCAGGGTTTTTTTTATATTGAATTGTTCATCAGAAATTTTCAATTTTCATGGTTTCCTGAAACTAGATAACACATCAGGTATCCAACCAGTTCCTGTAACAGACTTTGCTCCAATAATTCCTTGTTGGGACAGTATCTTTTCTAGTCCAGTTTCCAGGGAAACAGGAGGGAGATATTCTCGATCATAGTGTCTAATCCACCAATCTTCACCACCAGAATTCAGCTCAGTGAATGTGTATTTATACAGCTGAGCCCTTATAACAATATATATTTACAATGAGATAAAACGATCTTATTATAGAAATGCAATCATAATTATTGGAACATGGGACAACAACTTCTTTATTCGTATTTTGAACATTTTTCTAGGTTCTAAACAAAAGTTTAGACAAGATACTAATAAAAATAGAATTGAACGCATATTGTTTCCTGATGAATTTTGGAGGAATTTTAGCAAACGAAGACTGAGGATCCAGAAGGTTTAAAACTTCATTCCGTCCCTCCAACAGTCGAAGAATTAGCGATAAAAACCATGGATTATGCTTATACGAACCTAGGTTGAAAAATATTATTAATTTTTCTTTAGAACTCCTTGCCACTTAAAAATTTTGAATTATATACCTAAAGCTGCAAACCACATTTGCCAGTCTAGTCGTGGTTGGTGAGGTAGACAGAACTTCGGTGGAACACTGGTGTTACCAGGCTTATACAGAAAACTATATTCCAACCATGGCCCATGGAGTGAATTGGACCCTTCAATAACTATTTCAGGACGCCCCCCAACTCCGGTCATTCGTCGAAAGAGTCCATAGCTACCAGTTAGCTCAAACTGGTTTGTTGCTTTATCCCATGATTTTACAACTTTGGGTAATTGATCATATGTTGTTAGGTTGAGCGGACCTGTGCAGGATGGCAATGAGGTTCCAAATATGAATATTCCAATTCCAGCATATGCAATAACTGATATGAGATTTAGTAAAACTTTGTTCGAATTTAGAGAATTGTAGAGGGAGATCAGAATCGAATAGAATAGTCCCACAGCGCCCAGTAGAACTCCAGCTGGAACAGAGTAGGAAAGGAACAAATCAAAACTTTGCCGCGTAAACTCGATTTGAGAATCTATAGTAAAGTCTGGATTTAATTGTATCCCAAAAAGTTTGGATATGATGATGCCGAGACTAGAATAAAACAATACATGACACAGACAACAAAAACAACGGATTAATGCATGCTGCTTGGGAAAAGATTTTTTTTTTTGAATCCAGGAGTCATCTGCTAGTGATAAACAAAGCACAATGTACAAAAAGTTGAAAAAGTTGTAGTTTCCCGAGAGCATTATTACAATCATTAAAAATATTTGGTTCACGAACGTAAACTTCCTCATGGACGCTGAAGGGGAGAAGAACAAGAATGTGAGTGGTATCTCTATTACAAACGTTGAAGCAACACTGAGCTTATGGATCCAGGTCGGGAGTTGAAAGGCAAACCAGGCCAGAGGGGTTGGAATACACTGAGAAAAGTAGTGGGTCGGCATTGCTGTTAATCCCCACCATGTATCACATCCACTTGTTAGTTTTACGACTCCACTAGCAAACATCATCCTAAATAGGAGCCAACGAACCAGGAATAAAGAAATATGGTCCTGTACCAGTGGTATTCTGAAGAAAAAAAACATTAGTCAACCTAAAGAAGCTTTTTATTACTAAAAGAAGTTGGCGATAGACTATAAAGAATGTATAGATTCTAGAAAATTTCTGCTTTCTACACTTAAGGCAGGTTAAAATGAATGCAAAATAAATTCGATCAATTTCTAAAATTTGCATGCTAATCATACAATACAAATATTATAAAACTCCCGAAGGACAAGAAAGTTTAATTTAGAAATCAGTGATCAAACTTTTTCAAGTTAAATTTTTTGAGTCTGAAAATATTAAGGTTGCCGCTAAGTTTCCTTGTGTATCCGGGTAACCATGGGGCCAGAATAATAGCAAGGAATCCAGTTTCAAGCAAGAGAATATCCCATTGAAACCACATAAATGTTTGCCCGACCTAAACAATGCTTTATATAGAAATGTATTTCACAAAATTCCTCTTTAAAAATTTAAGCTAAAACTTATATTTGAATCAGCAATCTGTGGATAAATCAAATGATATGCTTTGTGGATTAAAGTTTTTAATATAAAAATATTTACCCTTGTCAAAACTAAAAATAACGAAAATATTTACCACGATTAATTGCAAGTTGAAGTCCCAGTTTTTACTTGATTTTCCATCTTTAAACGGATATCTTTCAGGGGAAAGGGAAAGTGTAAAATCTTAAAACCTAACCCCCATTTATTCTTTGCCTATATATATATATATACCTTATAAATGGAAATGTAAAATGACCAAAGAATGAAAAGTGTAAATTTGATGTTGAGGTCAGGTAGGCAGGTTATCAGAAGACCAAGGCCAGTTCCGAATAAACAAATCAACTCCATCATCTATCATTTATGAGATGGTTTAATTTGTATTACAATGAATCAACATGAATTATTTCTTAAGTTTGGACCTGTACGATGGAAAGGCCAATATTAGATGAGAAGTAAAATAGAGACGGATTCCTCCATAACGTGCCTAAAGTTACTTTGGTAAAGGGCAGTTATACATATTACAAATAAAAATTGTAACTTGAATATCAATCTATCAAGTTACAATTAATAAAAATTTGTGTGGATTTCTTCCAATTCAGCAAAAAAGGCATTTACTCCATGCAATGCATATGAAGATTGAATATTCACCAAACAAATAAGCCTAGAAACTCTAGCATATTTTACACAATTTACCTAAAATATTAGTTTTAGTTTCTGGTTGATCTATCTGACCGACAGCCGGCAAAATGCCATTGTCTCCGTAGAGTCCAGGTATCTATCAAACAAACCGAAAAAGCTATGAAAATTGGATTTCGTCTGTTATTTTTAATTAACGACGAGATCCCATTTTTGTGTTGTGATTTTAATGCCTTGTTTTACAGGTTAAAACTTACGGAGGTCAAAAAAGCTGAAATAAAACTATCGAGATTTGTTTAAAATTCAATTTTCTAAAAGCTTTTTATAAGTTTCCATTCGTAAATCCTAATCCTAGAGAACAATTTTTGTACAGCCCCCCTCCCCCTCCCTGTCCATAACCAATATCCAATATTTATCAACAAAATTAATATTTATTTTGTTATTTCAAGGTTAGGTTAGGTTAAGACTATTTCTGGGCCGAGCGCTTGTGGTTAGAACAGGGTCTAGGGGACCCAGCGCGGCGGCTAGGACAGACTAGGGGACGAGCGCCGCGGCTAGGACAGGCTAAGGGGCCGGGCGCTTCGGCCATAAGATCAAATATATCCTTGTGATTCATATGAGATCTAAGTACAAAATTAATAGGAGGGGGGTTCCCGGGGGGGGGGTAAAAATTACCAAAAAAATCAATGTAAAAAATATGTATACCTGGGTGTACAAGGAATATAATGCAACAGCATATGTTAGAGATATACATCGAAGGAACAGCGTCCGAACACTTGAAATCTTATAAAAACTTATCATTTTTTATGTTTACCTAGTTTACTCCATTTCTAAGACATCTAAAAAAATTATATATTAAAAGATAATGTCCTACTGTTAATAAAGTTCTGATTACTTAATTAAAAATGCAACGGCAAGGCGTTCTCACGAGTCTTACGGGCGACATTAACATCTAAAATCAAATACATAAGATATCAATGCATGGGAGGAGGTCGAAGAGCGTTATTTTATATGGATATAATTGGCCCTGTGGCCGCAGAGCCCGGCCCGGCCCCCTAGCCTGTCTTAGTCACAGCGTTCGGCTTTGAAATCCAATGCAATTTCTAAATCAGCATTACGATAAATGTTAAAAAAATATAAATTAAGTGCTAATTGCCGTGCAGATTTATAAACAACTTTAAGTTTACAGGAATTTTTATTTTTACGACGTCCTGTTAAATCAAATGCGCGGTTCTAAAGTTTATGCCTCGTATATTTGTTTATGAAAATTTACGTATTTAAAGGCCACTTCATCAGACAAGTATCTTAATCGTAGGATAAACCTACGATTAATAAATCGTAGGTTTATCCTACGTTTTAGACTTGTCGCACGATTACGGAAGTACTGTTTCATCAGTCATAAATCCACCCTAAATAGAGGCTGGATTATCTATCCTAAATCTACCCTGAAACAGCTGATGCTTTCATTAGTCATCCTTTAAATCCTACGATTATCTACCCTTTTTCATCCAAACTGTTGTTTATGCACATGCGCATTGGTTTCCACAAATTAGTTTGGCAAATCAAAGACGATCTTTGTTAACCTCAAATATTTTTTTGCAAAATTTAAAAAATCATGTTTTTTCAAAAAATCTGCCGAAAAATATTTTTTTAAATTTAAAAATAATATTTTCTAAAAAACACTTTTTAGAAATAAAATATCAATATTTTCGTAAAAATATTTTTTTTTTATTTTTGAATTTTTTATAATAAAATTTCATTTTTACAAAAAATGAACCTTTTTTCGATTTTATCATTTTTTATTATTTTTTTCTATTTTTTATTCTTCATCTTATTTCTTTCTATTTATGTTTTCATCTATCTATCTATTTATCTATCTCTCTCTCTCTCTCATAATTTGAGCCAAACCCAACTAATCGTACGATCTAGGGTAGATAATCTAGGGTAAATCCATCCGTGCGGGTGGATTTATTTATCCTGCTATTAAGACATCGCGGCATTAACGTTAATAGCACGATTTACACCTCCAATGAAACACTAGGGTAGATAATCTAGCCTTAAATCCACCTGGCAGGATTTATTAATCGTGCGATTTGGCTTCAACGAAGCAGCCTATAGACTCTACGTATATCACGTCTACGAAGATCCTATTTAATTTATAAATATATTGCCGCCTTTATAGAAGCTTTTTAATAAAATTATTAATTTTTACCAACAGTTTAATAAAAAATTCTTCAATAATTACAAAATGGAATTATAAACGAAAAGAAATCTAATGTTTTATTTAAAGAAACAAAATATATAGACTCTACGTGAAAAACTGAAAGATCTAGTACCGCGTAGAATTTTGTAAAAACAAAATACAAATCTCACACGTGCCGTAAACATTAGACGATTTAAGGCGTAAATCCGGTTATTTACAACGTTATTACTTATTTATCGAATTATATGGTTAAATACGTCTCTTTGAAGTCCCCCGATTTCATTCCGATCAAATATGACAGGCTATAATCTTGATGTGGGTGTCCATTTTCCAGTTTACAGTCACAGAGATCAATGAAAGTGATGGGGTCCGTCCTAGAGAACGAGTTTTGGACCCCCGTCCTGGCCCCCCAATTATTGTACATGACCACTTATTTTTCAGCAAATTTATTATTTATTTTTATTATTTAGGGTTAGGTTAGGTCAAGACACTTTCTGGACTGAGCACAGTGGCTAGGACAGCCTAGGGGGCAGAGCGCTGCGGCCACGGGTTAGGTTATGCTACGAGACTCTTTTATTTAGGGTTAGATTAGGTTAAGACTCTTTCTGGGCCGAGCGCTGCGGCTAGTATCCATGAACAAAATTGATAGGAGGGGGGAGGTCTAAAAATCGTTTTCCAGGAATATACCAAGTGATGCGTGGAATCAATTGTCATACATTAAGCTAAATAAAATTCAATAAAATGTATTACATTTTTAGTGAGAATTTTTGACGTTTTGTTTCGTTTAAAAAAATTGTTTAATTTAAAGTTTTAATTTAGTTATAATTTGACTGTCGGTGAACTATGTCTATAACAAAAATGCAGTAATTGTTTGTGCATTCAGAAATTATGTTGACTGCAGACGTTTTAAATTGTTCTTTCCCTAATTGGTACACAACTTTTGAGAAGGTTACAATCCCTAGCACTATTATTCCTCTACCAGAACCTGTTCTTGAATACCTTCTCGAGGACGCTCAACTCGTCCTACCAGTTGAGTGTAACTCTGAGAACATGGATGGAGTAGAAGACGATTATGAGGATTTTGGTGATATCAACTGGGAAGAGAATACAGTTAGCTCGGAACTACAACAGAAATCATTCTCAGAGTTTTCAAGAAAAATCACAGAATCACTGAGGTAATAAACGTCTTAATCTGTGAATGAATAACTTAAAATCTAAATGATCATTTCTAAGATATGTATTTAAAGGTTTGGTTAAGAAATTAAAAATCAGATCATCCCCTCTTAAGATCGTGTAAATATATTATTGTAATAAAAGATCCAGGCGCGCAACTGGGGGAGGCAAGGCCCCCCTCTAACACAACGTCTAGTTGCGCGCCTGGGAAGTAAATCTAACTAAATCTTTCTTTAAATCAGAACCATAAATAAACACCTTAGAACATTTTTTGATAGGGAAATGGGCGGACAGATGTTTATTAAGCTTAACTGGTCCAGTCCTAAAGATGCTACATGGATAGTGTTCAATAACAGTCTCCGATGCTCCAGCCTATCACAGTTGTATCTACTTCTGAAAAGCTCAGATTTTATCGTTCATGATTTGACAAGACCCTTCAAGTTCTGTATCGATGAAGAAACTGTAAAACCATCCGTACAGTATTCACTAATTCTCAGGTAGAGAAGCGAGAGTTACTCTACTATACATGTTTCATTCATCTTAATATGACTTAGTTTTATTATTTGTTGTCTTATATACAGGAATTGGTTAGATGTAAATCCAGGCTCAGAATTTCGATGTTTTGTCAAGGAAGAGGAACTAATAGCTATTTGCCAAAGAGATAATAGCAATTACTACGATCACATAGCAATCCAACAAGAAAGCATTAAACAGGATATAATTTCTTTCTTCCGGGAGCACATTAAAAATAAATTTCCATCAGCTGACTTTGTATTCGATGTTATCCGAACTAAAAAGGACAAAGTGATACTTGTTGACTTTAACCCTTTTGGAGAAACGACTGAGGCACTTTTCTTCTCCTGGGATGAACTTCGAGATAGTTCATTGGACTTGGAATTCAGGCAAAGATAAATTTATATTTATTTTCCTATTTTAAAAACTCTATGGAAACGTGCATATGATTCATAAATAGAATGATTTATTTGTTAGCAGTCCGTATAAGTTACCCTAAAGCCTACAAGTGGAGAACAGGAAACTAGAGTAGATATCATAACAGTTCAGCTCCTTAAGTTCGGGATTCTAGTCTTGCTTATGAAATTGGATTTAATGATATTTAAAAGTACAGTGAAATGTAAAAGGGTTAAAAAGATTCATAAAAATAGAAATTAAATTTCCGCTTTGAAGGTTTGCAACAGATAGTAGTGGCGTTCAACCCCACCCTTATCGACACTACAGCATTCCACAAGATTTTGTTGATCTTAGTTCTGGAACTGATCCCAACAAACTCATAGATTTCATCAATCTCAAAAACAGAACAGAGGAACAAAGACAGGATTCGGATAGCGATTAATTGATTTGTATTTAATTAGGCACACTATTTGCATTTAAACTTGTCACTAATTTACGACAAGGATCTTAAATTTACTTAATTATTTAGAAAAAAATGCCCGAAAATGACACTCCACCCCACTCCCCATATAGTGACTTAAGGTAACAGGTCTAGTCTAGTTTCTTACAAATTTATGTATTTATCGTTCACATTTACTTGTTGAATTTGCAATTGAATTCAAGATGTATAGTGTGCCGCATATTAATACCAATAAAACAAATATCGTCGTTCTTTCCTCGTTGGTTATATTTGCTTTTAACAAGCTAGAATTTTTTTTCGTCTTACTGATGATTCAATTATTTGATAAATATTTTCTAATATTATATTATTGTCATTAATGATTTATTCACACACATTGATATTCATACATATTATACTATCATACAAATATTAATAATGAAGTTTAAATTTGTTATGTTTATTGTATATATAATTCCATTAAATAATCAAATAACTTGAAAAAGGGATACATATACGATTTATCATATTGGGAACATTTTTTGTCTCGAATTCTCAGGGGGGGTAAAGAGGTCCTAACCCCCCCCCCCCTGTATCCGTCCCTGGTGAGGTTTTCAGTTCTGATTCTATTTATAGGGACGAAGAAGATGATGTTGAGATTAGGGAGGAAGATATCCTTGAAGAGATACCTATTGGTGAGGGGGATCAAGCTCCTGAGGATCTTGATGATGAAGAGGTAAAGTAAAGATATTCGTGTATCTAAAGTATTAAAACTTTACAAAGCAACAACTATATTTTAAGAATTTTTGCTTTGACCAACCATTTTTGAACTTTGAAATTTTCTTTGAATTGGATCAAATTTATCGGCAATAAAACTTAGAAGTGGTCAATCTATGCTCTTGAGGAAAGTGACACTTCCAGATTGACAGATTCCCTGGATTTTACTTAAAGTATCTGTGGCCTGTTAGGGTTTTTATTCTCAGTGATCAACAATAACGTGTTATATTCAAAATTTGCAGAGGAACTTCTTTGACTTGGCTAACTTTCACATTCTGGCGTTTAGTAGAACATGCCTAAACAATTCAAGGTTAAACTTCTTAGTGTTTTATTTTGTATGAAAAATTATTAAGGATCAGATGTCAGATGATGAACTTGTGGAACTTCCAGGAGGAATTGATCAACTCGAGGCTATTGTCGAGGATATGAATAAGCTTACAGATAATTCTAACCTAGTTTTTCCAAACCATTCTAAGGCAGGTCAGTTAAATTGAGTTTTCACATTTTTTACGGGGATATAATTTTGTCCATCCCATCCTATACTTTTAATTGTGGCTCTTATCTGTCAGCATCTTCTCTTTTTACAGTAAAAAACAAAAACAAAAAAGTTTGTGGATTTTTAAACATTTTTTCGAGCACTTTTAAAATTTCATAAACCAAAAGGTTTTTGTAATTCCGAGCATCCATAAACGTTCCATGGTGTCATGCGAGGTCCAACCAAAGAGAACAGAATATATATTAGAGGGGAATTTACTAGATATAAGTGTAAAACGGCCATTTTGTTGTACTGTTTCCATACTGCAGGTGTACTTCACATATCTATGCTATATAACCTTTTGGGCCCTGGAATATCATTTTATAGAAAATCTAAAATTAATATTAAAAGAAAACCAAATTATGAAATAGGCTTGTTACATATTTGACCAATGATCATTTCAAATAGACTCTATGCCTTTCACTTTACAAACGATGATTTTCCGTTATAACTATAAATCAAATGATGTTTTTTATTCGCCTAATTCATTATAAAGTTTATTTAACAGCTTTAAAAAATTCGAAATTGAAATGGATAGCCTAGGGAACATACTGTATTAATGTACTCTACTGCATATAATTTGTGAACATTTACATGATTTGTACACTTTGAACTCCCTTTAAGGCTGAAAGGGACTGAAAAATTCATACCGAGAGATTCGCTAAATTCCCCTCTATTATATATTCTATTCTCTTTGGGTCCAACACAAAATAACAAATAACTTTACTATATATTTTTTCAGTATTCTGTTGTTCTTTCCATCCCGAGCTTCCAGACCTAGTTGTAAGCGGAGGAGAAGATGATACAGCGTATATATGGAACGCTACCTCAGGAGAGGTTCAGGACAAGGTAAACGGTTTTTATCATTATTTTGATTTGTATTCCGTAATTTATTCGTTAGGAAAATAATATTAAAAATTTTATAGAGGATAATTGGATGGGTTGACATTTATATGGTTTTAGTGCACTATTTATTCTTGATTTAACTTTGAGAAAATTTGTAAATTTTCTTCAGGTTGAAGGTTGGAAGGATAGTGTCCATTGTGCCGCCTGGTCAACTGACGGTCAACATCTAGCTTTGTGTGATATGGCTGGAACCATTAAGGTAAGATTGCTAAAAAACTTCAGAGAAACGTTTAATCAGAAGGGGGGTAATTTTTAATTATTATTTGCCTTTTCTCATTAATGTTACGAATAGATTGATTTTAAAAATGCTAATTAGGTACATGATTGTTTTATTTACTGAAGACTAAGGGATGTCTTGGGGATTTTTTAGGTTAAAAGGATTTAATCAAGTGCTGCAGGTATTTAAATATCCCGGATACACTGAAGAATGGGCATTTGATGTCGGAGATATTCTCTGGTTGCGATGGCACCCTGTAGCTAATGTTCTCTTCTGCGGAACAACAGATTCTGAAATGTGGATGTGGAAAATTCCATCAGGTTAGCATCGAGCAGTTGACAAATTAGACTTTATTAATGTCAGTCCCAATTGTTGAAAATGCATGACAGTGGATCAGGATCCAGATCGTCACCGAATGTAGGCGCCAAAAGATCTTCGATCCGATTAGTTTAGAAAAGCAACGATTTTTATATGTTGTTAAATTGCAACAATACATCAATTGACTCCTGTCCAGGAGATAGCAAGCTGTTCAGCGGGCAAGGTGAGAAGGCCGAGTGTGGTTCTATAATGGCTGACGGTCGGAGAGCTGCCTGTGGTTATGCGGATGGTTCCATCAGGTGTTAAGGGTTCTTCATCCTAGATGATAATTTACATTTTTTTTTTGATATTCATTCTACGTATATTTTAATAATTTGCATTTTTTTTAGAATTTTTGATTTAAAAAGTGGAAATCCTTCACATACATTGAATAAAGGTCTTGCACATTTAGGTGAGAAACGTTTTTGAATGTCAAATTATCGTTTTTAGTTTGAACAAATAGTTGGTCTATGAGAGAGAGTGAAAAAGTAATATTTATGTTTAGATGCTGTTAATAGCGTGGATTGTCATGTTAACAACAGTTTGATGATATCGGGATCCATGGATGGAACAGCTAAACTTTGGAACTCAACTTCAGGGAAATGTGTTGGAACGCTTCTCTGTGGGGCAAAGGTAAAAGAAAGACATAATTTATCCATGGTAAATTTGAATGGCCCCCACCCCTTCGTTAAGGGGTGTATATTTTCTCGAAAAATCATCCCCCTCAATAGAAATGTCCCAAAAAAAAATTTTATTATTTGCCCAGGAGTGAGGGGTAATTATGAAACATATACACATCTGCCTTCTTTACATTTGTATTTTTTGAATGCATTTAAGACATTAACCATTTATTTGGCAATTATTCTTCTATGAAATCCACCAATGTACCCATATTTATTTATTTATCTATTTAAAGAGAATTGCTTGGGTTGTTCCTGGCCCCAGGCAATCCCACCCCTCAGCACTCCCCCTAATGATACGTGTATTCCTCACGCCTGAGGGAATCTGGTTAGTCCGCTGAAGGCATGTACTATTTATGAACCCTGGATGCAAGCGTACCCGGGTGTAGGGATATCAGAACCCGTAGTATTCTGTAGCCCCAGGCCACCATCCTTGGCCCCCCTAAACTCTTGGTTTAGTATGATCTTTCGCATAGTACATGAACACCTTATCCATTTATCTTTCCAGGCAATCTGAATACCCTTCCTTTATTACATTTATTGTTAATCCGGGTCCCTCTCATACCACAATGATGGGTTTTCCCTCTTTATCAATTTTGTTACCTGTTCTCATGGATATTCGGCTGGCTAGGATGGAATAAATCCGCTAATGGTCAAGACTCAGGATGCATTATTCTGGCAAATTCTTCGTTCTGATGAGCCACTGTCCTACTAGTTGGTGGATACGCACAGCTCTGTTTCTAAGTTCCCCCATCCCAGCTTTATCTTGTCCAAGATATTTTCTTAGGATAATACTTATAGATAGTCCTTGGTGATGGTTTACAAACTCCTCAATCCCTGTGCTATACCTTGTGCTTGATACTAGTGGACATCTGAGGATCACATGTCCTTCATCCAGTTTAACATCTTGACCAATGTTCCTGCAGCCTGGGCATATCTTCCACTGTTTACCAAACTTGTTCTGCATACGGTTTCCCAACAGAAGATTCCCTAACCTTGCCATGTTCAGCACCATACTACACCGTGAATCATTCACGTGCTTTTGTAAACTGAACCATTCTGATGGTTGAGGTTGAGATCTCAGGGATACATTTTCCCTCTTCTCATCCAGGACGAAGACGACCGCTCTCTCGGAACACTTTCTCTTTGAGCTCCTTGAGTTTGAGGACCTCAATGGGTGTACCAATCTCTCCTTCTATCTCCAGTATCAGCTTCATCCAAGGATCATCTGCTCCTTGATCTCGTAACTCCTTTACACACTCCTTCAGGATTGGATCCTTTTTCCTGTTCAGAATTCTCCAGTAATATACTGCCACTTTAAAAATCTTAATGTTAAAATTGTGCTAATGTAACTTTCAATCCTAACCATTTTTTTAATCAATTATACATATATTTTTCTACCTTCAGCCAGATCCTGTACTTGAAAGGCATCAGGCCAGCCTCCGTCCACGACGATACTTTGGAGGTCAACCTTTGGTTTTGCAGGATAAAGTTGCCAACCTCGGTCTGGATCTTCTCAATGGCTACCACTGTCTGCTTGCTCAGAGTCATTGCCTCTACTGCGTAGAGAATTGAAGGTATTCCACAGGACTCCCACCGAATTCTTGCAACCCGCGACCTGTCAAAGTTTGCTCTTGTCAAACTCATGATGGAATGTGCAATTCTCCTTTTACCTGAGATTACATCCTGCTCTTTCCTCACCGTACACTTTCCTCTCAGTTGGATATTAACTCCCAGATATTTAGCCATTATTGATTCCTTCAGCGTGTCTCCTGTTTGACCTATATTCCAGGATCTGCCATTTTTTCCAGTGCCCAGCGCTAAAGTTTGTTCTTTTTCCTATTTCTTTCGTCTCTTCCATGAATCTGTATAGTAAACCATTGTTTTTCTTCATTTTTTCTCAATTATTTATCATTCGTCATTCTTCTGAAGGGGGAAGGCACTTAGCTCCTGGCATCTTTCATATTTAACATATTAATCATATTTTTTTGGTAATATAAGTAAACCTCACTCACAACAGGGTAAGTCAAAAAAAAGTGTGATTTGCAGCGCCTTGTGCAAAACTATACCTTTTTTTGTGCAACTCGCCTGTAAAGTGTTTTCTCAATATTTTTTAAAAATTGTAATTTTTTTTTTGTACTCCAATGGCCCCAAAAAAAATAAGATTGAATTACAGAACCCCAGGAATATTTAGTTAAATTATCTAGTTCCTTTCTTCTTAGTTTATTCTAAAGTATTAAATATACGCTGTTCAGTTGAAACCTAAAGAACCATTGAAAATCTATTTTTCCGTAAAAATTAGACCAGAACAGAAAATTGCGAATTTTCTTATTACAATTCTGCAAATTTTCTGCGATTCTGTGATTCAATCTTTAAAAAGATTTAGACTTCGATAGAAATAATTTATTTACACATTTTTGTTCTTCTGAACTTTTGATTTTGAGAGAAAAAAAGGTTCGCCGATTTTTTTTGGGCCATTGGAGTACCAATTAAATTTACAAATTTTCAAAAAATAATATTAAAAAAACATACAGGAGAGTTGCACAAAAAGATACAATTTTGCACCAGGCGCTGCAAATCGCACTTTTTTTTGACTCGCCCTGTATAGTTGTCAAAATTTTTATAAGAAATATTATTTTGTTTTAATTTCCTTCTGAACTGTAATAATTTGTACATATCCTCAAATATAAAATTGTTTTTAAAAATAATGAGAAGTTCAATTAGATAGGTATAGAAAAAATATTATATTTTGTCTATAGTAAACTTATAAAACTATAGAAATTTAGCAGGAAGACTTTCTTAAACATAACTCCATCTGTCTGTACATCATCTAATTGATAAAACTTACTCTATAAATAAATCCTCCATTCTGCTCTACCATCCCTCTTAAATAAAATGTATTAAAATGTTTAATGTATTTAACAGAAATATTAATTATTTAGCAAGAAGAAAACTCTAACTGTTCTGTTGAATGTTGTGTATTTCCTAAAGACAAATCTTCAACACTCTGCATCACTGGCTCATTAGGTATATTTAATTTGATAGTTTTTTTTGATATATTTACAATAACTTTTTTGTTGTTTTTATAATTTACTAATTTTTAGATGGCGTTGTATCTGTGTGGGACACGCCCACCCAGATATCTAGGTCGGCCTGCAAGGTTGGAGAAGGCGTAACCAAGGTGGAATTGCATCCTTATGATCCATTAATATTTGCTGGTACACTAGACGGTGCTGTGAGAGGCCTAGACCTAAGGTCTGGTGAATCAATTGCAGAGTATTCAGGTGGAAAATCATATTAAAAAGGAATTTGATTTAGGAAATAGATTTTTTTAACCTATATTTTTAACAAATAAAAACTCGAATAGATATAGAATAGAACTGGAAGTAAATGGTTGAAAAACATTTCTAGGATATTTACATAGTTTTATAATTTTTTTTCAGGACATACTGCCAGCATTCTGGATTTTTCATTTTCCTCTAATGGAGCTTCATTAGTTACATCTTCGGACGACGGAACATGTCGTGTTTACGATCTAAAAATGAACAGAGATTAATTTTCAGATTAGCTAATAATGTTCTAGAGAACAAATACAATGGCGACTTCATTAGCAAGACAGCTTGCGGCACTGCGGACGCCTGCCAGTGCTCCAGTCATTCAGGATACTGCTTACTGTGGGCCATTCCTTTTTACTGAAGCAAACCAGGGATAGAAATTACCAAAAAAATAACAATCAATAAAGGTTGTATTGAATATTAAAGCGACTTGCTTGATATTTTGAAGAATATCTTTAACATGAAAAAATATTAACATTTTTGCAGCAGCAAAAAAATTTACTTTGTGTGATTTTATCAATAACCCAGGACAATTGTGATTTTGCGAGTCTTCAACTTAACGCTGGTGAATCCCTGTCTAAGCTGTGTGAGATAGACGTAGTGTTCGCGAGGTTCACCAGGTTTCTCATAGAGGACAGGTAGAGACCACGGCTTTAATTTTTTTTAAAATTTATTTAGTAGTAAAAAAATACCTTCTTCACCGAAAATTTAGTAACTTTGCACCCAATTTACTTGGACAAAATTAACAGTTTCAGAAGCTAAACTTTATGGATAATATCGGTATGGGTGAATCTTATTATTCAAAAAAAAAAGCATGAAACTTTTCCCTGATACATTATTAAAAACTATTTTGTGAAAGTTTTTAGTGTAAACTTACATTTAGACTTGATGAGAGACTTGATTCTGAGGTTATAGAAGAGCTGTTGTTCCTTCTGTCACCATATGTCCTACTCCGACCTGCTCAGTGGGTTCTTCAACTGCTTATCACGAAGCATAAAGTACGCATTTTTAAACCAAACGGAATACCAGTAAACAAGGGTTGCAACCTCTACAGCATCAATTTCCGAATTTAATAACAATATATTTATTTTTATTACATTATATTTATTTTAATTACATTACATTATATTTATTTGTTAATCAGACCACATGCACTTATAATAAATTTTCAACTCAACTTTTATTAATCAGCCAGTTAAATGAAATAATAAAATTCTTCAACACCATGGTGCATACATAAAAGTTATTTAATCTTGTATAAGAATTTTCATTATTACAGTTTTTCCTTATAAGATTGTCATAGTATTGAAAAAAATATACATTGATTTTCCACCTTGTTCAATTCTTTTTTGCCAGGTCCACTACAAGTATCCTGAGATTTTCTTCTTCTCTCTGCTTCCTTATTATGACTATGATATCTACTCTCAAGGAGTTGCTGCTATTGAAACAGTCCCAGGTAAACCCTTCCTTTCATATAAAATATGTTAATTGTTAAACAAAAAGGAGATTTTTGACAAAAAGTTTCTACAATAACCCAACAGTTATCAATGCTGTTTTGATATTGTAAATTTTTCCAACTGGTTTTTAAGTGGGAGTGCAGTGCATGCATTACGTCTGTTAATTAACTTAAAATTATCTTGTGGCGACAAGATATCTTTAACATTTATAATTTAGGAGGTGCAAGCTATCCCAACTGGTTTCCCAAGTTCAAGCAATCCTGCTTCCCAACCACCAAACTCAGTTTATACAGGAAAATATCCAATAGATTAATCGTTAAAAAAAGATTGCGAAAAGGTGTGTTTTATCAAGCCATATGTTTTACATATGAATTAAATACGGATAAAAATCTGTGTCAAAGTTTAAAAAATCTTCGATTTGATTCGTCATCCTTTTACAAAAAGATGGAAGAAAAAAATTGTATATGTTGATGTAAATGTATTACATCGACAATTTTCTAAATATTGCCATTAAATCTGCAATATTTTTTTTAATAGAAATTAAAAGTTTTTTTATTATCTTTTTATCCTGTTTTATCGAGATTAGAAATAGTATTGATAAATGAGATATCATACCTTATAAGTTAGAACTTTTTCCCCGTTAAATTTATCCACTAAAAGTAAATAACAAAACAACAACAAAAAATATTGAATTGAATCAGGCATATAGCGGCAGACAGAGGTTTCCTAAAACTTCTAAGTGACTTAATGCTTAGGTAATAAAGTTTTAGATATTGAGTTCTAAACTGAATTTTATAATTATGAATCANACCCTGCCCCCTTATCAAACAAATCTGTTAATATTTTTATTTTTATCAACATATAAATTAATCTAAATTACGATAATATCAAACCTGAAAGAACTTGTACGTTCAGTGGCTAATGACGTTTCTTGTTTTATTTTTAGACTGAGTAAACATGTTGTGGCTTATCCAAGTCTGAAAGTGAAACGACAGGTCACCATTAAAACAAAAATTCAGTTCAATTTAAGAGGTAGAATAACGTTATATATTTTAGTCCAGTTTGTATGTCATGGCTATACTGGGAGCTCTGGAGAATAGAAGGGATTTGGGAGAGGAGCAAGCCATGTACATCTTGCAGGTCATCCTCAACAGCTTGAAAAGCAACAACAACGATATCGTCTCGATGGGCCAAATAATTCTTTCATACATTCTGCCTAGGGTTACATTTAAGGAGAAAACTATGACAAAGATTTCTAAATCCTTTAAGAATTGCATCAAAAAATCTGCAAGTGTAGAGAACCTAATGCTGATGGTGTTGATGGTGAGAACCCAGGAGAATTTGAACACCGAGAAGACGGTAAAGTTGATGATATCACTAGAGCCAGCGCTTAATACATGTGTCAACATGTTAGGAGAAGACGAAAGTGTTGAGGGTATTATTGATAACATTATTTACACCTTGGCTCTGCTTCTGAAAAAAACTCTCCCTGAGGAAGACGAGCTTTATCCTTCCTCTACTCACGAAACCGTTAAGATCCTGTCAATAGTAAGTGGGAGTGCCAAAAAGGCTCCTCTGTCTTCGGAATCTGCTATGTTTATCGGAGAGATTGCTTACAAGCTTTTGAGAGCTATAAACCGGACCCCTGTCGAAGATATAATCGATAAACCTCTGGTCGAGCAAGTTAAATTTTCCTGCGAGAAAATAATGAAAATCATTCATGAATCATATTCTGCAGAATATCAGAGGATTGAAATGGACACGGATAACGTTGATATGTTTTTCATGGGTGGAGACACTCTGGAAAATAGACCTGCAGAAGGTTTGGTCTCTGCTAAGAAAGCAATTATGAACAATAAGTTGATCGGTCACTTCATGGAAAACCTGCTAAACTTCAGGCCTGGGTCAGCAGATCGTGGTGTTGCTAAACTTGTGAGAAAGAACAGAGTTGACATCTCAGCAGTACTGAAAGTTGAAACTGGGTTTCTTGTTGAGCAAATAGAGAAAGAAGGGTTCGAGAATCTTTTGCTAAATCTTCTTGTCACTCTTCCCTCCTTCCCTATGAAAGATAAGGCTCCAGTTGTCAAACATCTCTGTGCTGAAGTCGGATTTAAAAATATATCCAACAAGATCAGATTGGAGCTAATCCTCATTTCATTCTTTCTCAAGGTAATTTAAAGACGTATTAACAGGAAATTAAAGCTTAAGTCATTAGATTATGAAGAATTGCGTTGTTTTGGTGATTTTTTTCGTTGATCACAAACAATTCAAGAAGTAAAAATTTGACAGTTTTGAATGAAACAAATCCGGCCAATTTTTGTGGTTCAAATCAAATCAAATCAAATCATAAGTTGTAGGGATGGCCAAAGGCTCCAGTTGTGGATTTTCAAGTCCTTCCCATTCCTGGTTTTTCAGCCCTGGCCTTCAAGTCATTTAATTCAATTTTCTGCTAATCTGTTTAATTTAGAATGTTATCTTTACAGTGCAGATGTAATTGATTTTAGGAGATGAAAATTATCCAAAATGTGATCCGAGGCAGTTACTTTTCCAGGGAGTCACCGCTTTTATCCTCAGTTTGTGCTCTCAGGTTACCTTTCTATTATCTAACTTTTCCTTACCAAAAATATTTATCCCATTCAAGTTTCTTTTTGTAAGGAAGCATAGAAAATTGTATATTGTCCTTAATGACAAAATAGGATTTTATAATAAATATATTTGTATATCCTCATCAGTCCATAAAGAATGGTTGTATTAATAAAAATAAAAAAATTATAGAGCAATTGTATTTTTTTCTCACAATAAATTAAAGGGCGTTGGAAAAATATTGTCCGACATATTCCATTTCTTCTCGATTTTTGTGTTCAATTTTCAAGTGTCTTCTATACAATTACTTTTTTATGTTGATTGGCAGTTGGCATAAATTGTTATAAAAATTTATAAGAGGGAGGAATATTCAGATAAGAAAATTGCTTTTGTAAGTCAGATTGATTAACAAAAAAAATGTTGTCCTAATATAAACCGAACAGAACAGAAAAATACACTTTGAATTTTATAAATGTGAATAAGGTGAAAATGATATTTATTGTTGTTAAAGTGATGATAACCCGGATATGATTGAATCTGTTGTGGAGAAAGTTCAGATTTTCTTGTCAAATGAAGTTCTCACAGTTTTCCTTCAAGATGCTCTTCTCGGCAATTTTCTAGAGATCAAGGTTAAAATTATCTTGAATTTTTAATTCATTAAATAAAAACACGTGATAATATTTGTATTCAACTAGCCCCTCCCCCCCCCCCCTCCATTAAATCTTGTCACGTCCCTGATGTGAGCTGTTTATATATCAGATTTGATTTTCAGGTTCTACTGTTGTTGGGACTTAGAGCTAGGCTAGATTACGAAGATTCTCTGAATCTAGACAAAGAAATACTGGTCAAGTTTATGCTCAAGATTTTGAAAGAAACCAAGAAGACGGAGAAGGATGTGTTTGAAGCTGGAAATTTTAAAGAGAATGGTAAGGAGTCCAAGGAAACGCAGAATCTTCTCTCTTCAGCTCTCAATAACGGAAGAATTTCGGATGAACTTATTCTCCGTGTTCTTCATAAAATGAATTTTATGTCCGATATCTCCACCGCCCAGCAGTTCATGGAAACTCTACCGGTAATGATAGAAAATGGATTTAAAGAACTCGCTTGCTCTATCGAAGGTTTAATTAAAACTTCCATACCTGATGAGTTTGAGTTACTCAAGCTCTATCTCCAGGTTGTCAAGAACTCGAGGATGGAGAAATGCAAATACCTGTGTTTACAAAGGATTGGAAAACTTCTGGAAGAGAATAATTACCTCGCATTGATGTTGCAAGAACAGCCTGAGAATTGTCTTCCTCCTCTTCTCCTTACTCAAATTTTCAGCTGCAACGATAGTATAAAGAAGATTGCTTTCAGTCTTCTGAAACTGTTAATGAAAGTCACTGATGAAACTAAATTAAAACCGATAATATCATTCCTTTGTGCTCATAAGACCGAAATCTTGAGCCAGGAAGGAAATATTGCACTGCTCTTGAAGAAATCTGAAGTTGAAGAGAGTTCCCTGATTGTTCTTCTAGAACAGGCAATTCTTGCACCAGGGAATTGCGTGGAGGGTCTGATAGACTTGTTCACTCCTCTGAAGTCCAAGAATTCTGTTTGTCGGATTGCACAATTTGGTTCAGATTTGCTTAGCAAAGGATCCTGTTCGTCAACAGTGAAACTTATAATTGAAAGATTCGTGAAAAGAATTATCAAATATATCTCGGAGAAACCGTGTCTTCAATTCTTTCTTGAAGGAACTCAAAGTACCCAGAGTATAGAAGTTGCAGGTCTACAAACTAGATTATCCACTCTACTTCTAGAGAAATCTACGTCTGCCAAGCTTTGGCAGGATACTAACGCCGAAACATTGGAAGGCATGCTGAAACAGTTTATTGCCTTGTCCATGGAAACTCAAACCTTCCAGCTGATTCAACTGCTAACTAATTTGAAGCTTACGGTTTCCATGTTTCTAACACAACTAAAAAACATTTGGAACCATCAGGTCAATAATTTTAAATAAAATAAAAATTTGCCTTCGATTTGATTGATTCGGATCGATTTGATTTGAACTTACTATGGTTTAGGACCTCGCTAAGATTAAAGTTAACGAAGAAACAGGAGAGAGTGGTGTTTGGAGTCAGACCCTGTTCCTTTTTGAGGTATTGGAAAGTTTCTTGCCAAAGGAGCAGTTTGGAGAACAGAAATGGGAACTCATGATACAGCCCTTGTTCGCCTTACTCAGGTATAACTACATGTCACTGATTTGAATTGCTTTTTAATAATAAAAATGTAATTTTTTACATCGACATTGACATATATTTTACTTTGACATTTTTTCAGGAAGAGCACCGAAGGCGAGGTTATTGAGTCCTCTTATAAACTCAACTTGAATTTGTCAATCCTCTTGAAAGTGTTTAACCTTACACCTGACCTTAGGCTTAAACAACTCAGCAGCAAGGAATAAAACATCTCAATATTTTTCTTATTATATTTCGGATTCAAATTCTTTTCAAAACGACTTTTAGATTTAAATTTATTCATTTATCTCCATTTTAAGTTAGACTGGAGCATTTTGCATTTATGATGATTTATGATTGTATATTGAGAGACAAATATTTTGATGTTACCTTTAGGATCTCGAGCCTGAGTTGTTAACCAACTGTATCAGAAAAAGTTCAAACCCAGAGACAAGGTATCTGAGGATTTCTATTCTTTAGAAATAAATGTTTTTTTCCTGATCTTTTATTCAGTATTATTAATTGCAATCCAGTAACAATCAAAACATTTTAGACAGCTAGCACTTCGTGTGCTGGCCAGGTGTGCGATGACCAGCCCTGAATTTGTTCTGCAAAACAGTATGACTATATTCACTTTCATGGGATCTCATCTTCTCAGGATGGACTCTAAGCACAGCTACAAGGTTCATTCAGAATTTGTTATAGTTACATTAATGATTTTAATTTTATACAATTTATGTTAGAAAAAATTTCGGCCGGATTGTTTTAATAATAATAGATTTATAAAAATTATATTAAGAATTATAATAATTGTTGCAGATTGCTTGCGAGGCAATAGACGTAATTGTACCTGCAATACAGTCTGCCTGTTCTACTCAGATTCAGAGGCAGAAAACCTCCCTAGGTAACGAATTGATTCCGTATTAAGATTAATAACAATTATTTATTTATTGTTTTGGTTGATATTTTCCCCCATGGAGCTGCATATTTTTCGACCCAGGAAACCAAACATTGAAAGTATCCAACGGAATTGTTAGTTTCTGTTTATTTTTAGATATCCTGAACAGTTTTATCAATGCTGAGGAAGATGTGCCGGAACACAGATATACAGAGTTTATTTATAGACTCGTCAGAGCATTAGGTAAAACATTCTTCCATAGTTGACTTTTGTGACTAGGGAATAGGCATCTTATCGACTCCATTGTCAAAGGATAGCTACTGATACTATTCAAGTACTTATTTTATGAGAGAAAATAAATATTTGACTTCTACGATGCCAGATCGATTTTACTAAAAAAACCGCCGATTGAATTTATGACATCGGCATCGTCTTATAGTTATAGGCTGCAGCACCGGCCTCCTAGACTGCCCTAGCTGCAGCGCTCGGTCCAAAAATTGTCGAAACATAACCTAACCCTTAAATTATAATTAAGATAACATCGTATAAATTTCTGTGTAAAATACTTGATAGCTAGTAATTTTAAAAAAATTAACAAACTTGTTCAATTAAACAAATATTTGTTCAAAGGACTCCAGTCCAAATGAACATTATTCCAAACGAACGTTAGCTGAATTGAGCATTAGTTCTTATGATATGATACCACTTCTACCCGATAACTGTTCAATTTGGTTGGGGGGGGGGGGAGTATGATTAAAAACTTAATTTTGTTTTTATGGATTTACTTGCAGGTATTGATGCTTACCTGTGGATATCTATGGTTCTGAGTGTTAAAACAAGAGCAAAATCTAAGAACAGGAGTTATCAAACTGAACTTACTCACAGGAAATCATATATTTATCTAAAATAGGACAATTTTGAGAGCCTTTAACCGGCCCAACATTCCTAATGTTAATTCTACAAAATGATAAATTTTGAATTCATCAGACGACAGACAGATTTGCTGGGACGTGTTACAGTATCTGAAGGGCTAGGATCACTCCTAAGGTCAGTTTACATCAGAAATTCTACGCCCATGCATTTTTAGCATTTACAACTTATCACATTGATGAGTTGAATCAATTAAGCAGCAATTTTTTTAAATGCTGAAATGGAAATTTAAATATTTACTAGGGTACCTTCAACTTCTATTTTAAATATTAGAAATATGTGATACTGTGGGAATTCGGGAATTCCCATGTGTTTGTATAATTAGAATAGCCAAGTTATATTAGTTGTTTTTAGGATTATGGTGAACATGCGCACTGATGCACCACAGCTTCGTCAAATGTTTGGTGTCGCGATCGATCGCAAAGAAATAGGAAATGATGATTGGGATGTACTACGACTAAGGTAAGCTTTGTTTTCGTTTTGATTTGTTTGGAATTAAGACTAGGAAAATTAAGTTATGGAAAATTAAGTTATGAAACAGGCCTGGGACCCAACAAACATTACATTGTTTTTTTTTCAGTGCTCTTCTTCTTCTTACCCATGTGTTCTCCACTGGAACTTTTATTTCTAAAATTGGAAAAGAACTTTTGGGAGAGGAGAAGGAGAAAATACAGGTATTTTAAAAGAGAAAGAACACTTCAGGAAAAACGGGAAACTATCATAATTATTTTTCCTCAAATTCAACTTGTAAATCCTCTGTTTTAATGGAAATTGACAACTCCAAATGTAAAAAGAAGAAATATGTTAAAATGCTGTAAAATGTTCACAAGATGTAATTATCTAATAGTAATAAGCATCACCAACAAGTCATGTGAGTTATTTAATATTTTATTTGTTTTTTAGGAGTTACTTCATTTAATTATGGAATCGTCTATTCTCTCCCTAGAGAGCTACGAAAGTTTCCCCTCGACTGTTCCAAACAAGTTGAAAACTAGCATAACATCACAGGTACTTATTTATACAATTTTTCACCTTTCACTTTTAAAACTGGTTTTTTGTTGAAACAGGGGTGGGGGCTGGTGGAGAGGAAAAGAACAGTATGAAAAATAGGGTGCCTGTTCAGGAATCTGATCTATAAACCTTTTGATCTAAAAGGAATTTGATTCAAGATTAATCTGATCTATTGAGAATTTAATCTAAAAAACGTGGAAATTGATCTAAAATATGTTTTACCAAAATTGGTAATTTCATCTAAAATATGTAGGATGAGTAGGGGTCAGGTTAGAGATGAGAGGTTATAGGGATGAGTAGGGTTCAGGTTTTAGGGATGAGTAGGGTTCAGGTTATAAGGATGAGTAGGGTTCAGGTTATAAGGATGAGTAGGGTTCAGGTTATAGGGATGAGTAGGGTTCAGGGTAGAGATAATTAGAGTTCAGGTTAAAGATAAGTAGGGTTCTGCTGTTAAGAACAGTAGGGTTCAGGTTAGGAATGAGTATGGTGACGGTTAGGGATGAGTGCATGGTTCAGGTTAGAGATGAGTAGGTTTCAGGGTGGAAAGATTTCTACTCTAACCTTTGCCCTTCTCCACAGACCAATTGAACCATACAGTTTAAAAATGCTATTTTGTTCATTTTAGACTCTTATTCTTCATATTTTAGATCAATTTCTACATATTTTAGATCAAATTCCACACATTTTAGATCAAATTCCACACATTTTAGATCAAATTCCACACATTTTAGATCTAATTCCACACATTTTAGATATAATTCCACACATTTTAGATATAATTCCACACATTTTAGATCTAATTCCACACATTTTAGATCTAATTCCACACATTTTAGATATAATTCTAAACATTTTAGATCTTACTTACTTGGGAATACTTGTAGATTTGTCATCAGGGTTCCAGATAGGAGCATAGAGATGACGCTTTTTTGTATCCAGCATTTTACTCAAAGGTTTCTCATTCCTGCTGTTCTGGTATTTTATCATATAAATTCTTGAAAGTTGTAATATTTCCTGCTCCTTTGTTAATTTGTTCCATTTCTCCGCTACTCTCTTGGTGAAGAAATTTCTTCTAACCTCAGTCCATGTATCTAGTTGTTAATTTATTTAATGCATCAGAAGAATGTCTGGTAACCCCGAGTGATCCGACTGATTCTTCTCCTGGAGTCTGGAAGAACTGTCTCCTGTCTACATCATCATTATATGAGCTTGAACACTTTAATCATTTCATATCTAGTCCTTCTTTCTTCCAAAGATTGAAGATTTAGCTCAGGTTATCCTCATACTCCTTGCTTTGCAGACCTGAAATCATTGTTACAGCTTTCATGTGTACTTTTTCCAGAACTAGTTTGTCCCCCTCTTGCCAGGGACACCATACAGGTACAGAAAATTCTAGGTTTTGGTGCTCAAATTGTTAATATAGATTCAAACACGCCCTTATCTTTGGAGTGAAACGATCTTGAGACTTGACTAAGAACAAACTTAGCTTTCCCAGCAACCGCTGCACATTGAAGTCCAGGTTTGAGGTTGTTGGCTAGCTTAATACCTACATCTGTTTCTTCTTCTAATGATTTAGTTTCAACTCAATTCATGTTATATTTATACTTCTAGTTATGTTTGCCCAGGTGCATGACTTTACACTTATTTATGTTAAACTGCATGTCCCACTCCTCAGCCCACTTCACCAGCCTATCCTGAGATTGCTGAAGGTTCATTCTATCTTGATCATCTCTAATTTTGTTAGCTGCCTTGTATCATCTGCGAATTTTTTAAAGTTTGTTATGTTTATTGATTGGGAATTTGATCTTATTTTTTTAGTTCATAGTTTACGTAGGTTAGATTCTTTTAGATCATATTTCTTTAAGATCAAAAGGGTTATTAGATTAAATTCCAGTGCAATGTTGACTGTTAATTATATTTAACGGAAGTTTGGACTGAGGAAAATAAAATACGAGAATAAGAATGTGTGAGTGTAATTTTAAAAATCCAAATATGGAGGCATTTTTTAAAGAAAGGGGGGAAATAAAAAGAATCTGAGCTTATATTGAAAATGTTATAGTTGAATTTGAGTTTGCTTAAAGAGTGTAGGTTTAAAAAAATACTGTGGGGGCAATGGACCCCTGTTAAGGACTTCTTGCACCCCTCGCCGTAATCGTAATCCTGAGTTTATAGTGTAATGTGGGTATTGGATAAAGCCGGCTAGTACGAAATAATTATATTGTGATATTTTGTATACTAGGCTGAACGAGTTCTCGAGCTTATACTAGCACTTGTTCCATTCCAGCTTTATTTAAAAATTGTCGGCCAACTTTTAGACAGTCAGAATTCTGTTATTAGGTAAGTAAAAAACAAATGTAATTATTTAATTTTGCTATGGATCAGATTCCTGGATCCGGCCAAAATAAAGGAGGATTTTTTTTGATTTGCCAATTTGATTTTTAGGAAGCGAGCAATGGAAGTTATAAAGACAAAGATGGAAGAAGCTGAATCAACTTCTGGTGTTTCAACCCTCCTTGCTCCCCTCGTTAAACTCGCTGTAAAAGAGGATAAACCACAAAATCAACAGGAAAACATCAACAATTCTTAACATCTTTTATTACTTTCAGAAATGAAGTCTTCTACAAGACTTTTTATTATTTAAACGCATAAAAACCGTAAAGAGAAAATCTTAACAGTTGTTGAATTGCTCAGATTGCACTGCTCGGGATCCGACAAATCTGTAAACAAGTTGAGGACACTAGTCTACTCAGGGTACCGTTGGAGCACCTTAATCCATCCTTTCTCACCTCCATCAAAAATCCATCAGTACTAGGAGCTGCTGTTCTAGCTCTTTCTGATATAATATCTGTAGCAGGGATTGTAGGTCGGTATCACTCTAGGAATAATAAGTTAAAGAATTAAGTAAAGTGTTGTTTACATCTTACTGTGACGTATTTGGACAGGTCAAGAACTAGTTATATTGTATACAGAGCTCGAAAATCTTGTTAGTTAACTGTTACACTAAAACTTTTTAGATATATCCTTATACGACATACGTGTCTGTATACTCTCAACCCCCTTTTCACCCTCCTCAGTCCTCATTCATATTGCTTTTTAGATTTTCATATCTGTCTTTTTTGCTTGATTTAAACTTAGCTTGTGACTCCGTTATTGTAGAATTCGATGGGTTTTAACTTTTCTAGGTTTAAAATTTTTTAAAGATTTCTACATCAGTTAATTCATTTTATATTATTTTTAAGGTGTTCCCTTTGTAACTGGTATTACTAGTTGGTTGCTCAATTCACTAGAGACTTTGAACGAATCCTCAGAAGAAGAAAAGGTTTTTTCATACCGTAATAAAAAATTGCATGTACTGATATATGATAATCTTATGAGGAGGAAAAAATGTAATAATGGAAATTCTTAAACGAGATGAAATAATCTTGATGTATTCTTAAACAAAGCCGCAGGCCTAAGTTAAAAATGCATCAAGATTACTTCATCGAGTTTAAGAATTTCATTACTATATTTTTATCCTCATAAGATTATTAACATTCTTTCACGCTCTGGCCATATAATAATTTCCATTCTTACACGATCTGAGCCTTAAAGAATGTGATAATCTTATGAGGAAAAAAATGTAATAATGGAAATTCTTCAACGAGATGAAATAATCTTGATGTAGTCTTTAACGAAGGCCACAGGCCTGAGTTAAAGAATGCATCAAGATTATTTCATGGATATATGATATAATAAGCATTCTTAAACGCCAAGAAGCGAGACAATATTAAAATTGTTCTTTCTGAACCGTGTAATAATAGGATTTCTTACACGATAGGTTTACTACTATGGAACCGAACAGATATGATATAATGAGTAATTAAAATAATTTATATATTTGATTTCAGGACATCCGTATAGTTTACTCCAGTCTGTTGGTTGGACTGCAAAAGGTTTTGGAAAACTTTGGTGGATTCATTAATCCATTCCTTGACAGAGTTATAATGCTGACCTGCAAGCTGATCAACCATCCCTTAGCTGGTCCTAGAGCTTCAGGTATATCCAAAACAGAACATGAACATGAACCATGAATTGAAAACAACAGATATTTGCATGATAAAAGGGATCAAGGGATGATGTTTTCATGTTAATGATAAACATTATTTGTTAATTGTTGAACCCACCATAATATTTCCCCGGCCCCCTATTTATAAGTTAAATATCGAATTTTGTCTATGGCTTTTCATGCACTATTTGTACAAGAATTGTTTTTTGGAGTTACAGGGAAGATTTTTTTTGGATATATTCGGAAAATACCCTGTAGGATTTTTAAAAAAATTTTGTTCAATGTTAATAAATAACTTTCTATGTTTAGTTCTAATGACGAGTATTGGAGAGAATATATCTCCACATATCCTGCTCTCCAGAGCTAAAATTCTTCTAGAAAAGCTTTGGAACGAACCTGAACCTGTGGCGAACCTTGCAGGTGTGAATGCTTCTTTAAATTAAAAAAATCGAGTGTTAAATATTGAAAATGTAACCTTTTCTATTGTTAAGGTTAAAATAAAAGTAATTACATTTGTAGGACTTATTGCCTGCAACTCGAAGAAGCTTGAAAGAGGTCAGCTCAGTTCAGTCTCAAAACAGTTCATGGAGTTCTTTACGGTAGCTCTGACTTATAGAACAAAGCAGAAACCCTCAGAACAGGTAATTGTGAATTTCTATTATCTTAGTGGAAGGAGGTTTCCTACCTGCGACCTATAGAAAACTAAAACGAAGTGTTTTCTAACCTAATTTTTCAGGTTGTCTAAGTAATAATTTTGGTTAAATTGGGCATTCTAAAAAGTTTTCTACTTTTTCATTAAAAATCGCATAAAGATCTTACATATGAATGAAAGTTGTTATGAAAAAGACTTGAAGGAAGATTATTTTTGTAGAGCTCTTAGCGTTATTTTTGTGTACTGTCTTTAAAATTCTTCATACTTTTCTGAAATGTTCTAATGGGTATATGTTAATCAATAAAATTTAACATTTCTTTCATAAGAATATTTTTTCACATAGACAGAGAAAACAGAAGCAGAGATAATATCCTCTTTCCTGACAGTCACTCTTCGACTCTGTCTAGAGGACTTTAAACCAGTTTTCCAGCAGTTTATAAACAAACAAAAACTTGGAGACGATGCAACTCTGATAACGATGTTTAATTTGATCGAACGGGTGGGAGCAAGGTAATAACTGAGTTTTTTCGTTTCTTAATGTTTTCAAGTTTTTTTTAAAAGGTTGTAACGGAATAAAATAGTGTTTTTTTTTGCGTCCTAATTATTTACATTATTGTATTTTAGGCTGAAGAACTTGTTTGGTTTTGGAGTGGAGTTTGTTCTCACCGAGGGAACTTCAATAATTCGCTCTCAAAATAGATCCACTAATGTGGTTGCTGCTGTACTCGGGTATATTCTAGGAATTCAAATAATTTAGTTAACTTCATTTCGCATGTAAAATAAACATGTAATGATGCATAAGTATTTTTGTGTTACTGTGCAGAAAACAAAAGACACAAACACAAGGTCCATAGCAAAAATAAGAAAGCAAAATCTAATATTTTGACATTAAAAACTGAAATAGAAATATTTTTTGACAAATTAAAGGTCCGAACCAAAAGAATGGACTGTTGACGTTTTAAGTATCTTTTTATTTTATTAGATCATTTTCTTTAATTTGCTTTTCTGTTAGATATTTCTGTATTAGTATGAGTACTGAAAAATTCAAATTTAAAATTTTTATGTTTTCTCGTGTTTTTAGGTGTATTACTACGGTATTGTCGTATAATCGGGTCAGTTGCCTTTCTCAGACTCAGTTTGAAGAGCTAGTTGCTGCTCTAATATCTGTGTATCAGGTAAACATAAAACCGATTATTTAGGTCAAAATAGATTTATTCTTTACATTTAACTTCTTGATAAATAGATCAAAGCTTTTCTTGATTATTAGAAAAAAATAGATAGTGGAAATTATTTTCAAACAGAATATCTTCTGTATTATGTATTAGCAATCTGAGAATCTAGATTTTGGAGACCGCAATATGTCTGCCTAAATCATGTAGAGAATTAAATAGCATTCTCATTATGTAAGTTACTATCCAACAGATTCAATTTAAAAGATCCTTGTCTGTCAGGCTCAATTATAAATTCAAAGTATAATGTAATCCAGGAAGATGATGACTTGCATCAGAAATTAGAGGAATCCATTGTCGTCCTTTCAGGTAATCTAGAATAAACTCGATATTAAAGATAATAATTAGTTTAACTTTTACTATTATTTACTATTTAGTGTTTAATCATAATAACCCTGTTAAATGTTTAGCCGCGACTGATGATGATACGAACTGGAAACATCTGAACTTCACAGTACTTATGTCTCTCAGAGATCCGGAGGCCTCTGTTAGAATGAAGATAATTCAACTGATTAGGAGATTCGTTACTTCCAGGTAAACAAACTGCTCACATTTCTACTGTTCTACCTCCCCCTCCCTTTCCTCAAAAAAAGTGTTAATGCAACAAGATGTAAATTTTTATTAATAAGCCCCTTCAAGGAATAGTCGCAGTTTTTTTTTCTTCGAAGAAATAAGTTATAATAAATATAAACTACATTCTGAATTTTAATTTGGGGAAGGGGCTATTTAAAAAATTCTTACAAATTGAATTGATCCAATACAGCCTCCTTTTATTAATTAAGTTTAGAAAAAGTAAGAAACTTAGTTCTCTACTGTCTAAAACAAGGGAAAAAATTATGTTTAGGTCGGACACCTACCTTGTGGTTCTACCGGATGCGGTGCCCTTCCTCTCCGAGATATTAGAAGATGATGATCAGGTATATAGATGGGGCAAAAATTGAAATTGAAACTCTAACCCCAAAAAAGGGATGACTCAAGCAATCCCTGTACGATGTGATGTGATGTGATGTGATGTGATGTGATGTGATGTGATGTGATGTGATGTGATGTGATGTGATGTGATGTGATGTGATGTGATGTGATGTCACATTTGGAAAGAAGTAAATACATCTTTTGGCAAAATAATATAATGTAATATTTTAGGATGTCGAGAACTGTTGCAAGGAGTTGATTCAGCACATGGAAACCACATTCGGACAAAATATTGAAACATATTTCATGTAACAAATTTAAATTTCGGCTTCAAACATTTTTTTCAGACAAAATGCGGCCCCTTACTGGAGAAGAGACTAAAATTTTCTTTGAGAAGTTGTCAAAATATATTGGAGAGAATGTTAAAATGCTCATCGACAGAGCAGATGGAGTTTATTGTTTCAGGTATTCATAATATCTTCTTTTTATTATTCTGACTTACAAATGAGTAAATATATCTGGAGCCGACTCGAAATGCTAGATTAACTAGATGATCTGTATTAAGGTTGCACAAGGATCGTGTCTTCTACGTATCAGAGAGAATCATGAAGCAAGCGTCTAATGTATCCAGAGAAAATCTCATCAGTTTAGGTAACCAAGGGCGTTATTTGTTTACGTACATGCGTCTTAAAGTGTGCCAGGGGTTAGAGACGCTTTAGGATGGGGGCGGGGGGAGGGCTGAACAAAGATATTCAGAATTTGAGAAGTCTAATTTAGGGTTATAATGTAGTTCATGAAGTCTGTAAATATATCAAATACATGGATAATTCTAAATCCTTGTGTTTTTCTTTTATTTGGCGTGATTACTGATTTATTGATTATTGTGGCATGCATTAAATTTGAGCTGAACTGAAACCCATGTGTTAAATTTTTTCCATCTAAACAAACCAAAATTAGCCGAAACTTTTATGTTACTTTAAAAAGTTATGTACTATTTTATATGTTATAGCTGATAACTATTTAAATTAAAATTTTGTTCTTCCAGGAACATGTTTTGGTAAGTTCACTAAATCTAAGAAATTCCGTCTTCACATAACAGCACTGGACTTCCTTGCACCATACTCGCAGCATAAGATCTGGCTCAAGGTAAAACTTTTAGGAATGAAATATTTAAGATGGTAAAAATTAAGAAGAAGGAATTGAACTTTTGTAGGATGCTTCCAAAAGTGTTTATCTTTATCATTAGAAAATCTGAACAAAAAAGACTTGTTAACATTTTGGGAAACTGATTTTTTTTAAATACGTTAACATTTTGGGAAACTGATTTTTTTTTAAATACAGAGACTCCTTCAATGCTTTTTTTACTTTGTAGCCGTCAGCTGAGCAGCAGTTTCTGTACGGACATCATGTATCTAAGAGTGGACTGGGAAGGATTACAGAAAACACTGATCAATACCAGGTGGGATGGGATTATGATTTTCGATTCGAGTTGATTTTGATTTTGATTTTGATTTTGATTTTGATTTTTTAGCAGAAAAGGGGGGGGGCTGAGTTGAAATAATTCGTTGCAGGAGCACGCATGCTAAACATATTTTTCTCAGGGAGTTATAGTATACTCAATGTCTGATCTGCCTATTGGGTTCGGGGTGGCCGCAAAGGCTACAGCAGAATGCAGGCATGCTGATCCAATGAACGTGATTGCATTCCACCAGGTAAAATATATAAGGAACAATATTCTCCCCCCGGTCCGGGTGAATTCAACGTTTGTAATGTTCCATCAAATAATCTTGATTAGACACCAGACACTTGACAGTTTGCCAAAGCTTAAACTTGAGCCATATTCGGAACTGGTCGGATACTACCTGTAGGGGGCTTCTTTCAGATCTTATCTCTTAAAATCATCTTATAATCCAATAAAATAACCTTCGGAAAATTTTCCACCGCATTATGTTTGTTTTTCTGATTTTAAATTACGTTTGTTTAGGCGGACATCGGAGAGTATATTCGTTCTGAGGAGACTCTAACCTAAATCATTGTATCTTTATTGTTCATTTGTTTTGTTTTTTAAATCGCTAATAAAGCATAAAATTATAATAATATTTTGTATTGGATTATCTTGACAAACGCCCTGTTTCGTTAAAGGTCAAGTCAAGATAAAATGTGAGATTTTTTTTAAGTTCAAGCTTTGTTTATACTTTCATAAGATTGGGACACTCCAATAGAGGACAGTTTATTTATGAATGAAATGTTTATATTAACCTACTCAGGACTCTAAATACCTATAAAGTGTAAATATAACACCGACACTTTCTTTCTCAGTCACCATCAGGACTTGCAAACAAAGGTATGCAGTTAAACAACATAAGCTTATGGAACGGACAATTGTTAAGATATTAATATTCAGTAACTGTTAATAATCATAAATTGGAGATAAAAAATAACTTACAGAAATAGCTCCCTGTGAAATGGAAAGTATACCACTGAAATCTGTAAGACTCGGGGCCAAAATCATCGCACTAATAAAATTAGAGATGTTATTGTTAATGCGATCAAGTTGATCGATCATTAACACTGCTGGACTACTAAAGGTCTCCAGAAGTGTGAGGTACAGGATTTTGAATTGGAGAGGTCATAAAAAGGTTTGTACATTATCAATGTTTAAGAGCAGAAATAAGTGTATGAATGGGTAGGTGGGATCCTAAATGATAATTTTAGACAGGTTGTGCTCATAAATGAGGCCCGTGCTACTCTTGATGGCCAACATGTTGTTGATAAAAAATTTAGTGGTTGATGAACAGGATCCTAGGAGCAGGTTTAGGAGAACACAGTGCGTCATATAGTTAACCTTGACTCCATCAGGGACCCAGACTTGACCAATGACAGTATCCCCTACAATACCAGCCCAAAACATGACTCCCCCGCCACCCTCCTGTCCATCAACCACCCAAACTTTATTGAAGCCATCAGGGCCATAAAGAGCAGCATGTGCCTTGTCTGTTTGCACAACTTGGCCAAAGTTAGTCTTTATGTTCTCTACTGCCTCGTCTTTGAGCTTTTATTGCTGTTTCTCGTTAATAGGGAACTGAATCAACCTTTTTTGTCCTTTCTGAATAAATTCAGAATCCTGTACCTGGCACTTTTGGAGACCACCTGCTTTAAGTTTTTTAACACCAACAAAAAAGCCTATGATGTTGAGTTTAGCCTTTCAAATGTACTTTAATTATTAAAATTCGTAATAGTGCGAATCAGTTATTTTTTATCCATTGAAAGGTTATTTTCGCCACATTTTGCAAAAAGGTGTTGCGCTTGCGTAATAAGTTGCAAGTTTTAGTTTTAACGACTTTTTAGTTAACTTTGGCTTAGCACTTCAAAAAGTGACGGATTTGACCAAAAGTGCACTATGTTATATTTTAATAATACACATGTGCTGGCTTTTTTCTAGCCCAATTTTAGGGGCACAAAAGAAAAAAATGCTCTTGCATAATATCCTGGAACTAAGTGTAAAATATAAATGAGGAATCAATATTAAACGAGATTTCTGGGGTCTGGAACAATATCCATATCTGATATCTGAAGTAACCATAGAATAACTTATGGAATAAAATTCAACTAATTCAACACGGATCTGAAAACTGAATTCATCACAAACCATTTTTTCATCTGAGCAAAAATGACGTCAAAATTCACAATCATTTCGTCCGACCACAGTTTTTTTCGTCCGGCATTGTTAAATTCTTTTCATTAAGTACTTCAAACTATTTCATTCGAATTTTGAGCCACGTCATGTTTATAATGGTTTTAAATATTTTATACTGTTATTTTAATGAAGTACATTTTATGAAGGTACAAAAGGCATAACTCTCACAACACAATTCATGGAAATTTCTATTTCATAATCCTTCAAGCAAATTAAAAAATGTTAATTTTTCGTTGTAATATTACTTAACAGTTGCAGTTTAAGAAGAAAATAAGAAAACAACAGAAAAGTCTGCACCATGGTCTAGTCGTAAAATAGTTGAGGCACAAATATTTTCCGTTTTTTGCTAAATTAAGCTTAAATATTGTTTTATTTTTTTAAACAAAATCAACCCATATTAAATAACATGACGTTGCCTAAATTTGAAGAAATAAGGGTTTTTGTTGTAAATAAATACAGTTAAAGCACAAAAGCATCGCCGGACTAAAAAGGTGTGGTCCGAATAAATAACATCATTTGTGGACGAAAAAATAGTGTGGTGTGCCTTCCCTTGCTCATTCATCGCCGATTCCAAAGACGATAACCAAATCATTACTTAATTCCCGTGTTTATCAAAACCTCACTGGGCCATGTGATCACATGATTATTGATAGATGTTTTTAGTTTTGAATTTTTGAGTGACTGCATCTCTTCTGAATTAGACCTAATCGAAATGAAAGGTAACTCTTCCGTTTGAAATTTAACAGATCTAGAATAATTCATAGGCTCAGACATAGGGTTTCCACGAAACTTGGAAACCCTAGCTCAGCCCCCCCACCCCCCCGGGACTAGTGCAATCAATAGTTTCTAGGAGGTTTTCAGGCCCCAACGGTTGCTGAGCCCACCCTGTAAAAATTCTTGTGTACGCCCCTGATTGAAATAGACGTGAGACGTTGAAGCTATGTATTGCCTATAGAACTGTATAGTTTATTATTTATCCTTAAATAGTATTTATATGCCCTAATTAATTCATCTTTACTCGGTTTGATTGGCGCTTTTTGGGATCAATGGGAGCAGTGGCGGATCAGGAATTTACTAAGGTTGAGCCATTTTCCTTTCCAATTTCCGTAGCTTCCCTTAATTTTCCAGTGGTGCGCCATTGCTCCCAGGCTCACCCCTATATAATCCGCCCCTGAATGGGAGAGAAAATAAGGTATGCGTTTATTAATGTACAGTGAATAAATGATCATCTGTCAAGCATCATTCCGTGGAAGTAAACGCTGAGCCCTCTTCAAAATAGCCGCCTAATTAAGGACGGAAATTAATGTAAATAAAAAACCTGCCCATCCATGCATGCATTGTAAGTAAATGTGTAAATTTAAGTTATTTTATGACATTTAAACTTTATTTAATATTTGATTTGTAAAATGTGTTAAAGTAATCCATATTACTCTATACTTCCTTTCCTAGATTTTAACAAAGAAGAGATTGATGTTGTAAATATTAATCAACCAATAGAAATGGAACTAGATCAATGCATCTTAAAGGTAGTAATTTAGACAAGGCAAATTTTGGCTAACTAAAAAACTAATATTTAAAATTTTTCTATAGAATGTTAGACCTGCGGTTCCTCCAACGCACTTAATATTTCTTTCTTCATCTTTAACTGAACCTTCACAGGGTTTGATATTATTTTTACCCCATTCAGAATAAAGAATTCAGGAAGAATTAACATGTTTTTATCTCTCACTACCCCCATTTCCTCAGTATTTTGTATTGTAAAAACTTTTTCATAAAAAAATTATTCACATTTTTTTGTCTCTTGATATATTACAGTGAGAAACAGAAAACTCGGAAATGGAAGAATACTTTTTTCAAGTTTTGACTTTAAATAGTCAAATGAACATGAGAATTGTGAGTTTAAAAAAAATATTTTACTTATATGTGATTTAATAAGATTTACTATTAAAACTATCGGCTTTTAATTTCGTTTTCCTATTCCAGCGTTTTCTGGTTCTCACTGTATTTTAATAATTATGAGTTTTACAAGTCTCGGGGATACAGGAAAAAATTCTGGAAATTTTTCTTTAAATTAAGTTTTTCTTTTTATAAAAAACAGTGTCTTCTCTTAATTTTTTAAATATCAGAAATGCAATGAAGAGGTCAATTGATGTTGTAAAATATATATTTATAAGATATCGTAGTTACTTTTAGAATGTATGTCTGATCATTGTTTTATTACAGCTTGCAGTAAAAGTATCGTGGAGAAAACTTCTAATTCTTTACTTTCCAAATCTTCAGAACTTTTATTCAGGTAAAAAATGAATTTTTTATGAAAATCTAAATGGCTCTAAAGGCTAAATGTTTATTAGTGTAAAGAGCGTTTATATATTTCTCTTACCAACTGTCCAATCTAGATAATGCAAACAAACATCCTGACAAAAATAAACAACATTCTTTCTTTAAACTAAAAAATCAAAGATTAAGGAACAGTTTATTCTCTAAAATAAAAATAAAAAAAACTATATTAAAGTTTTAAGTTTTAATAGTTTTTTTTTCAGTGGAAATAGCATGACAAGAAATACAGGGTGAGAACAACTCAGTTATACTTATAGTTAAATTTGTATTTTTAATAATGTCACCAGCGCGCAAAATCCAAATAATGATGTGATCTTACTTTATTGTAGACGCTACTGGTACATGCAATTCAGGCAGAATGTTAAGCGCTTGTGAAGTAGCCATTTGAAAATCATCAACCTCTTCCCAAATTAAAGAAAATGTAAAATGCAAACTGCGGATACCAAATCACAAAATATAAATAAATTTTACTTATTATGCAGTAAACATCACGTTTACTTAATGATGAATTACTTTACTACTCTAAGGCCCTTTTTATTAACAGCCTGTAAGTGGCATAAGGGTGGGTAATTTTTCAAGACCGCTAACTTAATTAGTTCAGGGGCTAAGGTTTTTATTAAAAATGTTTTTAAAAATTGTCGGGAAACTGTTAGAACTATTTATATTTGTTTCTGACAAATAGACACATGTAGATTGTACCGTTGTACGTATATATATCCATTTTTAAAGGGCTTTTTCAAAAATATAATTTTAGCTCAAAAAGTGATGGGCTTGTTAATTTTTTTTTAAACACTGACCGGCCTTTTTACGGTTCTGTATCCATACCCTAAGCATTTAAATTACTATTTCTTAAAAATTCAATTGCTAAGGCATAAAACGCCCCTCTCGAAGTAACAGTTGAATTTTGACATTTGCTTGAACCATCTGATTGAAAGAGAGAAGCTGTTTCATGAGGTTCTCAATCCTACATCTCCGCCTGATTCAGACTCAGAGTAAGAAAGCTGTTATAAAACTTTAAAGCTGAAACTTTCCACAATTTTCTTACTTTTTTATTCATCAAACTATCAAGGAACAAAATTTTCTATTTTACGGATTTTTAGATAAAATTCTTAGCAGACCACATTTTGGAATCCTTTAACTTAAAATATCGAATAATGAAAAAATAGCGCACAACTTTAAAGCTATGATTCAGACAACATGCAATTTAAATTAAGTTTGAGAAATCTAAACCACTATTAAAACTTTATTATTTGAGGATAATAAAAATTTATTTTTATTGTTTCAATTACAGTGGTAGGCGATTTGTTCTAAACAAAGAAAAAGACATTTTTATAAAAGTTTCGATTATTAACAAGCTTTTTTCGAATTAGAAGTTTACAAGTAATCAAAGAGAACCTTTTCAATTCACAGCTTCACTTAAGTTCTATGTTTATGTGTATACATTCTGTTTAGCAGCTTGATATAAATTAAAAATTGAAATCAAAAGTCGTCTTCACTGTATTGATATCATCGCCTACCACCGTAAATTAAAAGTTTATATAACACAGTGTGAATCAAAGTTCACATTTTGGATTGTTATTTTAGTGAAGAAGAGAATATTCAAGAGCTTGATGAAAATAACACTGAAACTAAGAAGGAAATTGATGTAACTAAAGACGATGGTTTTGAAGTAGAAGATGAGAGAAGGGTACACAAAGAAGAAGGATTTCAAAATTCAGCTTTAAAATGTATTGATCCAATCGTTTTCGCTCCTACTGGGGATATATACAGTTACTTTCAGGTAAATATACTTTGAAGAATTTGTTTTAACGAAGATCATGCTCGCCTTAAAGTTATAAAGTAGCGTAACTGGTTTTTATTAATAAATAAGTAAATTTTTAAAACAGGGGGTGGGACTGCACGACAAAAATAGTTTCGTTCAATACTTTCTAATTTAACAATGAATCACGATATCCTGAGTATTCTATATAGTTCCTGTTAAAAGATAATTCAAAAATTTCTGTCAAGATCTTTAAAAATCAAAAGAAACGTAAATTTCACAAACTTTTTCAGGGCTCAGTAACATTTCGTCTAGTACACTTTCGTCTAAGTTCACTTTTGCCTAGTTCATTTTCGTCTAGTTCTCTTTTGTCTAGTAACATTTGGTCTAAGTAACATTTGGTCTAAGTAACATTTGGTCTAAGTAACATTTGGTCTAAGTAACATTTGGTCTAAGTAACATTTGGTCTAAGTAACATTTCGTCTAAGTAACATTTGGTCTAAGTAATTTGGTCTGAAAAAATGTTAAGTGATTTTATTTTAACACTGCAAAAAAAAGAGGTAACCCGTGAAACAAAATCAAGAAATCCGCCATTCGTATTGGAGAAATTCTCCACTCTTCTAAAACACGTTGAACTGAGAGGAACTCAATGGCGGGATTAATTATGATACTCAACCAGCACTTTTGTAGATAAGTACTTCAGACCAAATTCCTTATACTAAAAATTACTTATACCAAAAGTTACTTGGACAATATGTTACTTACTCCTTTCTTAAAGTTAGTTACTTACTGAAAGTTACTTAGACCAAATGTTACTTAGACCAAATGTTACATAAACGAAATGTTACTTGGACCAAATGTTACTTAGACCAAATGTTACTTAGACGAAATGTTACTTAGACCAAATGTTACTAGACCAAATGTTATTAGACGAAAGTGTACTAGACGAAATGTTACTGAGCCTTCTTCAGTAACTAACGTCAAAATTTTGTAATTAAATTAAATCTTTTCATGCAATACCAATCATTTAATTGATTTAAAATATCTTTTCTTATTTAAAAATGTGTCTAGCGGAGAAGATTTGAGGCTGACAGACTGAGGTTTCCATTGGTCCCCTCCACGATACTAACATTCAAATAATAAAATGTATCTTAATGCAGTGAGGCCAGTATTCAGGGATGTACACAAGTGTAAACTTGGAGGATTTAGTCATTAACAAATTTTTTTTTTTAAATAAAGGCCCCTACTCCTCGAAAAATTCCTGTATTGAATGGTTTATGAACATTAAATAGTTTAGAATGTCTTCTGCAGTTTTTTTTACAAGAATATGTGTTTTTTTTCTATTCAATGAAATTTCTTTTAAGTTAGAATGTAGGACATTCTGGAAATAAAAGTTTTCATTTTATAATTTCTCCCACGCTTTCGTTGGTCAAAATTTGATCTACCAGTAATTTATCATCGTTCTTTACTTGACCAATATTGATTGGAATTATATTATGAATTTAAGTAGTTGTCAGATATTTAACGATTTTACGCTTGGACTGATTTTGTTCATAAATGTTTATTCTTTTCATAAAAAATTTTACTATAATATGTATACACCATTACATTAACTTTACTACACCATGTTGGCTTAAAAAATAAATTCAATATTAAGACATTAGAAACAAAAATTAAAACATTTGTATAATCATGACTTAAACATGCCATATAATTATTAACTGATTTTGAAAATAAAATATACATTGTAATTTATTTGAACATCATAAAGCTTTTTTACATTTTACATTTTTTATTTTAATTTCATCACTTTAATATTCTCTAAAAACTGTAGATCAGATATTAACAATTGATAAAAAGTGTTTAATAACATGTAAACAAATTCTGACTTTACAATAGGCATCATTTTTATTGAGTCATACTGTTAACTATTTCATCCACTCTACTTCTGTTATAGCGTTCTTTTGTTAGTAGAACAGCTGGTATAGAGAAAACTACTGATCCAAGAAGAAGATAGTTGATCCATAGGGATCCAATGTTTGGAATGAAGAATAAGAAAAGAAATATAATTCCTACTAGATTGTTCATTGATGTAAGGAATCCACCCACCAAACTTTCGCTGATCGGGTACGCTATCTCAACACAGAGCTCAAAGAAGAGTGGACAACAGGCGTAGTTAAGGGAAGTGGCAGCTATTATCACAATGCAGAATATCAAATAGTTAGATGGTACAATCTTCAGGCACATCAGTATCAGAAGAAGGAAAAGAGATCCTGATATGGATAGAAGTAAAACTAATGTTAATTTCATCTTGTTTCTAAGTTTGTCTGTGAAAAATCCAGCCAACATGGATGTGAAGCATTGACCTATGACTGATCCAAGTCCTATGTATCCAACCTCCTGATCTGTTATGTTTAGATCCCTCAGATTGAAAACAATAACACTCATCCATGCCCCCATAATCCCCTGAGAGAGACTGTATGCAAAGCAAACAAGAAGAACATCTCTATTTGTAACAAGGTTCTTTATGCCAGTAGAAAAAGTTGTTCTTGTAATAACCGATGTTGCTGTGGGTGCTAATTCAGGCCTCGAGGGGTAGTAAATACAAAACAATGTAAAGAGTATTGCAGCTATGGCAGCGTCAACATACATGTAGGTGTTTATATCATGTTTTATGTCCTCTTTGTCTCTGTTGAACGGAATTTTTATTAATTGTATTCCAAAATTTGATAGATAATCAAATTTAGATGTATCATTACTGTTTGTTTCATTTACCATAACTAGTGCTGGACCTATTAGCATTGAAAGGCCATTTCCAAGCATATTGCCTGCTTGATTGATACTGGTTGCTGTAGTTCTCTCGTTCTGAGGAAACCAGAGACTAGATATAAGTGGAGGAGCGGCCATTATAGTGACTCCAGCTATACCATTAAGAATAGAACAAATGTGACAGCTTGCCAAAAATAGTCTTGCGTCTGTTATAAAAACTTGACAACAGCGAAGCACTGATCCAACTAATATAAATCCCGAGACCAAAATACAGGTTGGACGAAGCCCCTTGTGTTCTATAAACCAGGAAAGAGGCACCACTGATATTACAAACATTATAGTACCCCAATTAGCCATCATGGCAACAGTGCCATCACTCCAGCCGTAGGCAACCTGAACAGAGCTTGCTATTGGTCCCCAAGTGTTCCAAACCGTGCACTGATGACAAGCTAAAGCACTAAACACAATGAGAATGTACCATCTTCTTTTATAAGCCTTCATTTCAGGAACACCACAACTGTCTGTACTGTCCTGTTTCGGTAAAGCATGCTGAGAAGGAGGTTGAGGTTCTAAATAATGTGGATTCAAGGAACCATTCTCTAATATGTGCGGTGTTTCACGAGATTCTTGAGTAGATTCATCCAAAGAATCATCAATAAGTACAGGAATGATCTCCTCAGTATCTACTTCCATTTTGCTTTAATTATTTAGATCTATATGTGTAATATGTGAATCTAAAAGACGTCTCACAGAGTATCATGAACTGTGTTCAGAATAAAACAATTTCAATACTGTGGTTCAATTCCTTCTTATTGTGGTTAGAAGTTTAATAATAAACAATCTGTCACAATACATGGTGTTTAAGGTAAACCGCCCTAGTAATCAGCTGTCCCTCTACCTCCCACTTTATATATAAACTACATATCTAGATACTATGGACTGTGTACAGGGAGACTGGGACTAGAGAGAGAACTAAAACTAACTGGGTTCCGTGAGTTTCGTACCGTATACTTTACAACCTGTTCTATCAATGCATCTACCACACAGAGATTTGATATGTAAGGAGAGGGGGTGAGGCGCCATCCTTTTTATTACATTCCAGGTTACCCACTCTTTAATCTCTTTCAACGTATATATCTGAAGGTTTTAATTTGCGTTCTGTCTTCAAAATAGTTCATTAATGGCTTNTACTTTATAGCTCCAAGGAACCACAAATTTAAAAACAAAGGCTGAATATTCTGTCCAGTCTCAATTCAGTCTCCATTTTTGTAGGTAACCCTGAAGTAAATACATGGGGCACAAGAAATGAAATTGATAAATGTAAATTTCAGGGTGAGGGCACCTCCCCAACCCAAAACCTCTTTTTTGCGCCTCTGCATCCAAACTCACTACGCATGCACATAGTCCAACAGGATCAAGCGAAGTGTAGATTTTTTTTTTATTAAAAGTCGAAAAAGAATTTTGACAAACACAGATCTGATGTTTCTAAAAAAGATTTCTGAGATTTTGAAATTTTTTACTACGTTTCTCATTATTATTATCATAAGAAAAACTATTTAAATATATACAGTAAACGAACAAAACCGAAGAATTTAGTTTTTTACATTAAAAAAATACATCAAATCCAAATTTATAATAATTTATTTGTACTCCTTGTTTATTTCACGGCCAATAACCAATCGTCTAACCTCGCTGGTTCCACCTCCAATTTCAAACAATTTTGAGTCTCTCAAATACCTTCCTGCAAACAAATAGAGCTTTTTTGGGTACTTGTTATTAAACTTAGCAGAAAGAGTAAAGCATGTAAAAAAAACCGAAGAACAAAATTTGTCAGTAACAAAATAAGCAGTAGGCCATTGCACAATATATATATATATATAAACATATACAAAAACTAGGAGATACAAGGGCATAAAGTTGTACTAGTAAAACCAAAACTAAGAGCTACAATATCAAAAAGTCGTAGCAGTAAATCAAAACACGGAGGCGACGTTTGTAAGAATAAAAATAAACAGTGGTCCGCAGAAAATATTGGAAAACGAAGAAGACATTTGTTAATAAATACAGTGGTCAGCAGGAAAAGTTTAGATATCTTATAAAGTTATAAACAGTGGTTTATAGAAATTAACTTTTAATAATTGGTCCTAAGGAGGGCTCTCAGAGAAACCATAAGTTTCTAAACTCCTGATCAGTACATGAGAATTCCCCAATCATAAAATAAAAGATAGCTAATGAATTTATATTGGTTAGGACTTAAAATAATTCTCAATATAAAACTTACTGAATAGGATAAAGACTGTTAATTCAATGAACATGAAACATATGCATCGATTGTGTAGCGTTTCCATATAGTGCACAAAACAATGCCTTCATGGCAACATAAATAAACATGATTGCAAGGTTTTTAAAATATCTTCTTCTTATTCCTGCCGTTCCCGCAAATAGCACGGGATCAATCAAGGAACATTGATTTTCCAATCTTTTAAAAAAATTCATTGTTCATTTGACCTGTAGGATAATCGTTAATGTATCCGTTTCCTCCGAGTATCTGCACTGCGTCTAGAGCAGATTTTGTACTGTTTTCACCACAGAACAATGCAACGGTAGCGCAATCCTTAATTTGTAATATCTCTTATCAAGGTTTGGAACGTATAAACGTGATTTTTGTCTAAAATATGAAAAGGTTTCCAAAAATCCCAATTCAACAATTTTGTTTAACATCATCCCTTAATTTGTAAGAAACAAGAATTTGGGATACTGTGAGTTTTGGAGTCATTCGTTTTTCTATTTCATATTTTGCTAAAGTCTAAAATATCATCAAGCATGACTGAATAGTGTATAATCTACAGTTATATAGATTTTTTTAAATCAAACTCCTAAATAACGTAAACCTTAGATCACATTTACCTTGTTGCAAATAAATCCATTATCACAGGCCCGTGCAACATTGTATAAAAAACTTCTAAAATAGAATGCATATTAATGATTACACTGTACATTTAGCAAATAAACAACAAAATTTCTATGATGTGGAGGCATGAAATTGCAACGCCAATCCACATAACAAACTTTGCTTGTTTAAGATTAGTTGTAATTTGATTTTCTTAAAAAATCAGTAATTATAATATCGAAACTAAATCTGTAAAAAATAGTTCTGATTAACTCATAACCTAGATCTAGGAATCTATTTATAGCTGCGGCAAGATGAACTACTTCTCCTGCTTTGAAGCACTGAGAACTAATTGACTTATATTTATCGAAAGCTAAAGGTAGTTCGTTCATAAACTCCCTTCTCAATGCATCTTATATATAGATTACCTTGATGCAGAGAGTCGAGTATGCATGTCAGCCATCTTTGCTTGAATAAGTTGAAACTCTGAAATGTTGTGACCAAATTGCTTCCTTTCATTAGCATACTTAAAAGCTGTGTCACAACAAGCCTATAATATTAATAGTCAATTGTACGATGTACCGCTAAATTTTGCTTCTAAGAATTAGGCAAAATTTAATATTAAGATTCAACTTTGGTTAAGAAACATTATTTATTAAACAAATAAAATAGTATGACGACAATTCATTGTGCCTTGTCTAAGTTGGATTATATAAATAAAACTGTCAATAACACTTTTGTAGGATAGAAATTTTGTTATAAATTCATTTAGGAGAAAGAAATAAAAACCTGCATAACTCCAACCGGTCCTGCCGATAAAACTAATCTTTCTATGTCTAATCCTTAAAAAGTTTTAAAATAAAAATTCTACAAGAATTTGAAATAATTTGTCATAATATAAATGCTAGATTACGTTTAGTTAGACCATACTAGACTTGCAGGGCCCATTTTGTGAACATTTTCTCTTTGTATACATTGAAAAACAAAAACAAAAAACAAATCGCGGATTTATAAAAAAAAATTACATATTCAAAATTTAATAAAATTCGAATTTTGTCTGAGGCTAATTTATGAAATTTAGTTCATCCATAAACCTTCATGTGAGGTCCCACACAAAATTTGGTCCCGATCGGTTCAGCTGTATTTACGTTTATTGGATACAAACAAACAAACAAACAAACAACGTGTATATATAAATATTCTAAACTTTTAGGGCGCTTCGCGCCCATCTTCTATTTCAATTGTGAACATGTTTTTTTTGTGTAATTTAAAACAAAAGCAATAGATAGATAGAAGATACATTACAGTTGTTTTAAGCAAGTTTCATCATTTCTTGACTTATAAAGATTAACGCAAGTTAAAGTAGTATTAATTGGAGCTACTATAGGAACTGTACGGCTATATCATATTGATAATAATCTATATATTTATTCTATGAGTTTCAAGTTCTTATTGATTCTAGTTTGGGAGCCAGCTTTTTCTGGAAACAGATATTACTTATTTAGATTTTTTGGGTAAAAATAAAGATAAAAATATTTTTTTGCTTTCATACTTTTACCTGCAAAAGTTGTAAAAATCACTTAAACAATAAACTAACCTGACATGAGAACGTATACACCCTTGTTCAATCCTCCTAAAATGTTTTCTTTGGGCACCCTACAAATTTACAATTGTTCTCACATTTTTATATAAATCATGGCAGTATGTTTATTTTTCATGTTGGAAGACATTATCATAACTTCCCAGCAAGGAATTAAAATCTAACTGTTTATTTTCTATGGCTTAGATTACCTGCAATTGTCAAAAATAAGTTCTGATGTATTTGATCCTCGCATGCCAAGTTTATCCAACTTTGGTCCACTTTAATCGATATTTCATCAATTGAGAAAGGAAAAAATATAAGACATTCAAATGTTTAATTCAACGCTTGTCCCATGTTATGATTCACAAACACAGTATGTTTTTTTTTGGCCATGGACGATTCTCACTTATTCTTGTTTAGTAAGGATGTAAAGTCAAGTTTTAAATTATACTTGGAGTTTACTATCAACTAATCCTACATATATATATTTCTAAAGCTTAAATTATCTTATGTTAAAATGTTTAAAAAGAAGATGATAAAAGGTATTTTCCCAAAGGCTTATTTCCCAAGCGGCAACTTCCCAAGGGTATTTTCCCAAATGTGCAATTTCCCAAGTCTGTCCTAGCCGCAGCATTTGGCCCCCTAGCCTGTTCTAGCCGCAGCGCTCGGCCCACTAGCCCATCCTAGCCGCAGCGCTCGGCCCCTATGTAGCCTGCGGCGTCTCAAAAGGTCTAACATAACATTGCCGCTCAGAAAATGGCACATTTGGGAAGTTGCCACTGGTAAAATTGTCACTAAGGAAGTCGCCCTTTTGGAAAATGCCTTTGGGAAAGTACCTAACACCAAATAAACTTCCTTGAAATATTAGAAACTATCGTCCACGTACCAATTATTACTTTAAATATTTTGTCCTCATTTGAAAAACTATTTATCGATGGACTGCGACTTTTGATCGCAAATTCAATTTTGATTTTGTTGATGACATAATGAATTCCTTGAAAATCCTAAAAAGTTTCGCTCTACAATAAATGCTGTAATACCATGGTGTGGCTGGCTAGATAATAGATATGAATAATTCGTAAATTATAAAGGAAAACAAGTTTATTTACAGTTAACAACTATATTTTTTTAAAGTGAGAATATTAATAAGTATCTAGCTTTGTTCCTTGAAAGATCTGTTTTAGCGTAAACAATGAAAACATCAGCATCCGGACCATTAGTAATCCAGAACTTGGTTCCATTTAACACAAAATCATCTCCTTCTCTATAGATACCAAAAAATAAAAAAAAATTCAATATTTAAAACAAGGTGTTACAAAAAACTGAGACCATAGGTCACAAATTCATTTAAAATCACATAATGAAAAACTTTAGGTTTCTTAACTTTTAGTTAGGTTTCTATCTTTATTTCTGTAGTGAGAAAATGAGATAAAGCAGAGTTTGGTTGGAAACAATAGAGAAACTGAACACTCGTCATAAGTTTAAAAAATAAAAGGTTACACCATTAGTTTGCTAAAATATAAGGATTTTAAAATTAGAGATTGTGATTCATTTTTCTTTCTCCTTACCTGTCTGCCTGTAGACGCATGCTAACAACATCTGACCCGGATCCAGCCTCAGACATTGCCAGAGCTCCACACCATTCACCTTTGTCAAATTAGAAGTTTTTTGTTGTGAAAGTTTAAATATTTATTGGTTTAGACAGTTTTATTATTTTTTAACAATAATTTTTGAAAAATTTGTTTAAAATAGTTCAGCATGTTTTTATGTAAACATGTTTTCTAATAAATTAAGTTTAAGAATTGTGTATTAATATTTTAATAAGAAACACAGGCGCGTACAAAAGATTTTTGCCAAAAAAAAATCGACAAGAAACATTTCGAACTACTTTTTCGAGGGACCAATTCCTTTTTTAGATAAGTTGATGCTAAATTTAGATTTGGCATGTTGAATGTGCCCTGAGTTTGTACATGGAGAGAAGTTAGAGAATAGTAGTGGATTGTCTCAATCTACTGAACAAAAGCGTGAAATCATTTACAGATGAAATCATTTGCTGGATATTAGATCCTAGATCTTCCAAAAAGAGGAGAGAAAAGCAGGTTATCTAGCAAGAACTAGTTCAAGAAATGAAATGATGAAGATCTTTGTCTTTTATTCATGAATCAAGATTTATTGACTTGTATTCATTGCTATGGAGTGCTAAGACCCCCTATAAAGTTTGTGACACTAATATTACAATGACTTGTTTCCATAAGCTAACATTCAATGTTTTTGATTGTGGTACCACTTCAACTCGAGATACAGTGACTGCTGAGGTACTTTAAAACCAGTTTTAGCTGTAGAGTGGGGAGCAAATCGACATCCATCACCTCTTAATTCTGTCTTTTTGGTCCAAATATTACAACTGAATGTGGAATTTTAGAAAAGCTCTTTTTTCAGTATCCAGTTATGTGAAAAAGCAGTTGATTGAAATTGTGAAAAACATGATAACCTTTCCATTTTAGAAAAGCTCTGAGCGTTCTATTACAAAAATGCAGAGATTTTTCAAAATCTTACAAAACTTTGTTTTCAATTAAGAAAAGCTAAAATAATTGTTTGAATAAAGTAGACAGTCGGGTAGAGACTGTTGGATAAAAATACCTAAAGCTTAAAGCATTGTCCATAATTTTTTAGGAAAGGTCAGAAAATTTGAACGTCCTCTGAATCATTCTTAATGAGATATGTTAATTTTACACAGGGGGAGCGGGAGGGAGGAGCGGGGGTCTCCCTTCCACTCTTCTGTCAGGACTAAGCTAGGTCAAGATTTGAATGGAAATTTCTAAATTAAGGTATATCAATGATTCTAAAAATATACATTCTTTCACGCTCTGACCGTGTAAAAATTTCCATTCTGACGCGGTCCGAGCGTTAAAGAATGAATATTCTACATCCCCAGTGTATCAAGTTTAAAGTTGCATCTTTTTTTATAGCCAAAAAAAGAAACATTTTTTACCTGAATGATAATAATAATAATAATACCTGAACAGAGTTTAGGAATATATTTCATTTTCTGTTCTTCTGTTCCGTTCCGGTCCAACTGGTTTATGCATAGGTTAGACTGAGCTAAAATATTTAAGAATTTTGTTTACGCTTATTTTTCTCTTTAAGTTTAATATAATAAAATTTTATTAAGTCCAAAGGAATTGAGTCTTTGGAACAAAATCAAATATTTAAACCTCAATATCTTTAGAACTAGATGTTGTAAACCTTTGATATTTCAAACTCAGATTATTTGTTCTAACAGAATTCATAGTTTGAAATATCTAAGGTCTGCAACATTTTTTCCAAGGATATAGTGATTAGAAAATCAGAGTTTGTGGCAAAGACTCAATTCCTTTGATAGATTTAAAAGACTTTTTAGATTTTACTAATAAAGCAAAACAGACAATATCAGTCAAATAATAAAAGAGTTTTATTTGAAGACTGATTGCAAACATGGCACTTTCTTTACAATCATTTACTGTCTACGCAGTAAGGAATAGCTGCAGTTTTTATCTCATATTGGTGTAATTTTCTGCAAGTAATATTTAAAATTATATAACCAGTGGCCGAATTTAAAGAATTTGAGCGGCGGTTTATATTTAAGCCGCGGTTTAAATATGGTTGGTTCCACTTAAAATTGTATCAAATGTTTCAAGATTTAAGCCGGCGCTAAATTTAAACCGGGGTTTGGCGGATTTTGGCGGATTTAAACCGCGGCTTAAATTCTTTAAATTCCATCTCTGTTTGTTTATTAATGCCAAAATACACCTATCATATGTTTTATTATTAAACTTTAATTGTATGCAATATACTTTATCTTAAAACAGATTGCTGTATTTGGGTTGCAATTGTTTTTGACCTTTATTAACATTTGGTTTTTTGGGGCCATGTTTAAATTAATGGTCTAAAATTGAACTCTATAGTACAAGAAAACTATAATTAATGAAATCTTAAAATTTTGTATAAAAATATTTAGTATTTTTATGTGATGATAGAGTCATTATTTTTCAATAAAATATAAAATATATAAGATTTAAAGGCTATTTTAAAATTTTTTGTCATAACATCGAGAGTTCAAGATTTTTATAACCCTGGGGTTTTACTCCAAACACTCCCTAACCTGCAAGATCTCAATAGATCAATTATTACCTCCAATACTCATTCCCATTGCAGGAGATATTCTGCTAAATTCCTCGCCTATTATGATCTAAACCAAAACAATCACAAAAATAATATTCATAACATAATTCTTAGCAAGACTTTCTGATTTAAGATTTTATAAAAATATTCCGAATAATCTAATAAATGAAAATGTTTAATGTGTACATGAACCTGATCTAACAATGAGAGATCACTGCCCCCATATTTGGATTTTGTTGTAATCCCGAAAAATCCCATTTCTCCAATTTTTCTCCACAGAATTTTTCTTTCAGAGGTATCTAATCCATTGTCTTTATCCAACCTTAAACATTTCTGCTGTTAAACAGAAAAAACATGAGAGAAGAGGTGTTTTGAAATGAAAAAGCAACAAATTTTTTCTTACTGGCCATGTTTGAATACTCAAATTGACATCATGGATCGGGCGAATGCCATTCTAAAATTTTTAGTTTTGAAGGTACGCTGAAACTTTTAAATTTAAATTCATAGTTTAAAGAATGTAATGGTATTAGTCCGAACAGATGTTATTAACAGATGTATAGAGATTCAGGAGCTAAATATCTGATATTGTCTGTCTTTGCATCAGTCTTTAGCAGCAAAAACAAGCTAAACAATGTTTATGCGCATATCTTTTCCTTGCAAACGAATTAGGTAATACTCTAGTAATAGATATATGTAAAGATTATTAATGATTAAAAAAAATTCAAATTAAAAAAGGGTGCTATCTTTTTTGCATGGTCGCTACTAGACTTTTTACAAAGAAGAGGCTAGAATTTTTTTTCATCGTAGAACTGTACACCCCGGACTAACCAGAGTGAGGAGCATTCGGTTTCTTCTATTTGAAATCAAACGTGTTTTGGTCTATAATTCAACAGTCTTTTAACTTACGGATTTGTTTATTCTATACTTTTTCATTCAAAATGCATATGCCGACAAAAAAGTATTTTGGAAAAAAGGCTAAAGAATTATGTTTAATGGGTCAAATTGTGATCGAAAGTCACAGTTTTCTGGAATATTGGCAGAACCGTTAAATCCACGTGTGTACATTATCGGATAGTAAAATACTTAAAAGAGTTCTGAAATGGACCTGTTTTAATTCTGAAGCTAGGTAAAACGTGTGTTTATGTATGTATACGTCTTATATACCTGTCTGCCAGTGGAGCCAACTCTTTTTGCGAAAAGTTAAAAACTGTCTCCCTAAACAGTACACACGTTAATTTTTTTTACTTTTTATTTATTTAAGCTTACAGATTAAGCTATCTTTAATATAGAACAGTAAGAACCAGAATAATGTTGACTAGGAAGACAGGAAGACGACATTAACGCAATAATTAAGTTTAATTGATAGTGTTACAAACCAAGCAAATAGTTATATACCAGTAACGTGTTAAGTGAAATTGGTCTATTTATATTTACACTGCAAAATTGCCATGTCTCATGTTCATTGGACTATTTAAAGTCTAAACTTGAGCCCAAAAGTCGTCTTCCCATTCCAGACATGTATGATTCTTACTGTTATTTGTGAAGGTACAAATTCTCTCTCAAGGGGACAAAATTTATGTTGAAGGACACGTCAACAAGAGGTTTTGATTAAAAATTCAGTGAGTTTTAACTTAATAACCCATAATCATAAAATGTAGATTTTTTGTACTTTCTGTTATATGTTTTTTGTTGGACTTTATTTTTTATCATTAAAGTATATAAAGTCTTTTGTAAGTTTATGATTCTAGTAATCTTTTTTTCGGGTTACAGTTTTTGAAAAGTGTATTACAACTTCACTTGAAAAAACTGAAAAGGGAATTAGCCCAACATAAAAAAATCTCCAACGGTATGCAAAATGTATACGCCCATTTGTAACATTTCTTTGAAGATATTTAATAAAACACAGTTTTCCCCAATCAGGACCATCTTTTAACCTGTTGGACGGGTCTTAATCTCTTTGATTATAAACATGCAGAGAATACAGAAAACTCTGAATACCTGAGTTGAATCTGATCTGGAGTAAGTCCGTATAACGCCTCATTTATTGGGTAAAAAGACTAAAACAAAATTTAAAAATGTTAAAATAATGATTCGAGACATTATAACTTTTTGGATGGATTCATTATAAACAGTCCAATAAACGTTAATAAAGAGATGTTAAAATAGTCCTTTAATTTCCGATGGATAAAGGTTAGGCGTATTGTGAATTTTCCAAAATGCTACCTTCATAAAGTTAAAACATAATTCACAAGTTAAGACACCCTGTAATAAAGTATTACCAATTTTCTTCTTTGTAAGCTATCCCTGATTTGATGATAACCCATCTGTAATATTTTTCCAGACCTAGAGGACATATTTTTCTGTAACCAACTAAATAAAATAAAGTTATTAACACTGGTTAATTTTGAGTATTTATATTTGTTTATTTTACAGATGTGCAATTTGCATTAGTCATATGAAACACCGTTTTGTTCATGCAAAACCTAAAAAAGCCGAAAGAAAATTAATTGGTCTAAAAGAAATACACAATTTGGTTGTACACAGTATAATGTTTTAAAATATTTTATTTTGAAATCTTTCTCGAGTTTGTATTTGGTCCAATATTCATGTGTACGGACTACGGAGCTCTGTAATGGGACTAATATATTACTTTGTGTATTTATCACAATGAACTTTTAAAATTCACTTGCTAATATTTTAAACGTTTAAACAATAGTTTTCTTCGTGAATAACAAACTTTATCGTATGCGTATGATTGCCTATTGAGTCTAGTTCCAGCTTTATAGAAGTGTACTGTATACCGTATCAGCAGGCTTGAGACACTACTGTCAGACTAACGAGACTAACATTCTGAGTCGGAATTCAAGATACAGGGGTATACACACAGAATGAGACTTTAGAGACCACTAAATTAATTTTAATTCTTATTTGAAAAATAACGAAAGTAAAAGAATTGAGTCTTTGCCACAAACTCAAATTTTCTAATCCCTTGTAACCTGATGGTGTAAACGTTAGACATTTAAAACTTAACTTATTTGGTCTAACAGAATTCCTAATTTGAAATATCTAAGGGCTATGGCATCAGATTGCAAAGACATAAGGATTCGAAAATTTGAATTTGTGGGAAAAACTCAATTCCTTTAGAAATATTTATTTATATACATTCAAACTTATCGTGTGGCATCGTTGAACCTGTTTATAATTTCAACTTGTACCATTGAATAGTCTTTTTACATACTAGGAAGAAAGAAAAAAACCTAGAGAACCATGTAAATGAAAAATTTTAGCTCTGTCTATATATGATTTTTGTGGGTTAATTGTAGAGCATTTACCAAACACAAGTTAGATGCAAAAAGGAATTTTCTTTTGTCCTAAAATGGTTTAATGCCTGCCATCCAATCTTCATGCATTGCAATGCAATCTTGGTCTGAAATTTGTAGGATTGACTACACATGTACGAGGGGAGGAAGGCCAACCACATCAATCTCTAGTCCGAACCACATTCTCCTCATTTTCTCGTCCGAACCACCTCGAAATCCTCGTCCTTTCAATATTATTTTTTTTAAAGTGTCCGATCCTTGAAAATAAATACATTTTTTAAAAATATGGCGACGTTAGGGCAGAAAACATGACTAGAATAAAGTTTTCCAAGGATTTTGAGATGTTGGAATCTTCAAATCTACGAGAATGATGTCAAACATTATTTAGGTAAAACTTAAATCTCTTCTGCCTCCATAATGCCTAACCTTCGTGATATAGAATAAATAGAAAAATATTCGGCATACCTCTGCCTATAATTTTCCCCATGGAACCACCCGGAAAAATTCTATGGTTTTCACTATAGTTAACAAAAAAGATTAAAGTTCTATAAACTTGGAATTATTTGCGGCATTCTACACCAGGAATATCTGAAAATGCGCGTAAAAAAGGTGTACATTTTTAAGGACATTAAACTTGTATTCTTTAATTTAATTGAAACTTTTTACTTTGATTTACAAAAATTTGATATTTCATTTATGCCCTAACGTGGCTTGATTCTTAAAAAATAGTTTTATATGGAAGGATCAGACACTTAAAAAAAATAATATTGAAAGGACGAGGATTTCGAGGTGGTTCGGACGAGAAAATGAGGAGAATGTGGTTCGGACTAAATATTGATGTGGTTGGCCTTCCTCCCCTCCATGTACTCAATAACCTCTTGACCTGAGGCGCAAACAGGTTTCATCCTTGCATATAAGGATTATAGTTCAACTTGAAATAGATAACAGTTACCTTATAACTAGTATTTGCCGGCACGGTTTCCTGCAAGGAGGTACACTACATATCTTAAGTTGTTTATCCAACCCACACAAGTTCAGCTGGATTAAAATTTATAGTTCGTATTTCTTACCAAAACCATAAGTAAGTCAGTGTCTGTGCTTTAAGTAGATTAAAAACTAGCCCCTGGGTCGCAGATACAAAGAAATTGAGCACTCGCAAGAAACCTTAATTTTCCAATCCCTATATCTATGCAACTTTTATGTTTTTTAGATCTTTAAGATTTCAAACTAAGTTAATATTACAATTCTTTCATAGTCCTAAAGTATTTGATATTTATGTTTTGTAAATCTGTTTTGAGTTATAGGAATGCCATTGAAAAAATATTTGCTAACAATTTTGAAGTAAAAAGTAAAAGAACCCCAATACTTGCCCCAAACTATAATTTTCTAATCCCTTTACCTGTACAACCTGATGATGTAAACCTTTAAAGTTTTAAACTTACAATTTGTGTTAAAGAATATAAAGATTAAAATAATAGATTTCGTGGAGAGTAATCATTTCATGTTGTCAAAATATGAGAAAAAAATACATTTTGCACGAATAATTACATAATTACGTAAGACGTTGGTTTCGTTTCAACAATAAATTTTAGGCGAACCTACGGGGGTAGAGTTATGAATGCTTCTTTTCTTCTGACTGCAGTGATGCTTCTTTTCTTCTCTTACAATAAGGAAACGTTTCTTAATTCTCTTGATTATAACTTTAATTGCATTCATTGTCATGAATCAACATTTCACTATTGCAAATAATTGATTTGGTCTCATATGGGATAAAGAATCGCTTTTTCGAAATTAGCCTCAAAACACTTTTAGAAAGAATTGTTTGTATCTAGACCTGCACTTCCAGTTTTTTCCAGAGTAGATTCTTTGTTCCACACAATAAACTTTATACCCCTTGGGGGGAAAATCTTACGGGTACACCCTGGGCAGAGTATCCAAGGTGAGACAATATAAATTTTGTCAACATGTTTATTATTTATCATTTTTAATAATGTATAATTTGTCATTATTCTTTTATTATTTAATAATAATCTAGTTTCTTTTCATTTTGGCTAAATTTTATCATCAATATTTAGATTGATTTATAAATATTTATCGTAGAAAACTTTTATTTCAGGCCCCAGTTTGAATAAGTAACAGTTTAATAATGTGTTCTGCAAAACTTTTTTTGTAACCATAATTGTATTGATATTTACTTTCTCAGGCCAACATTGGTTCGTACAGATTGGATGAACTTAAATGGACCATGGGATATATCAATTACGGTAAATATTTTAATAATATAATCTTAGAATAGGTTTTGTTTCTGTCCGCTGCAGAGATTAGTTTTAAAAAGATAAGAATTTATCTATGCACGGGCAATAGCATTGGCGTCATAAAATAAAATTTCGTAAGAAGCAGGAATAAATAAGATTAAATCAAGTAGATATCCAGGAGTCAGTTAGTTCCGTTTTGTTAGTTTTTTGATTAAATATTCTAGGGTCAAGAAAGGCATATTGTTATATTGATCTTTTTCGCATCGTTTTGCCATTTTTCCCCTGAAAAATATTTAAAAAACGCAAACTTTAACTTAAAATAGTTTTGATGTCTTGGTAATTTTATTAAACGTTTTTGAATAAAAAACCAAATTCATTAACATCTCTATATAAAGAGCTTCATATTTTTATATTTTTATTCCACTACAAAGCATGAGATATTACAAATAAGCAATCACAATTTATTATAGCTTGAATGTATAAATTTCCACACATCCACTATATTTCTACTGTACATTTTGTATGTACTATAGTTAGCGTTCGTTTTAACCCCTTAAAGTTTTATGTTTTAACCCCTTAAAGTTTTATGTTTTAACCCCTTAAAATGTTTTAACCCCTTAAAGTTTTATTTTTTAACCCCTTAAAGTTTCATATTTTAACCCCTTAAAGTTTTATGTTTTAACCCCTTAAAGTTTTATGTTTTAGCCCCTTAAAGTTTTATGTTTTAACCCCTTAAAGTTTTATGTTTTAACCCCTTAAAGTTTCATGTTTTAACCCCTTAAAGTTTTATGTTTTAACCCCTTAAAGTTTTATAAAAGTAATATTATCATTTTCGTTTAAAAATCAAAATAAAATAATGAAAAAGATTTTCAAAAACTGCACACAAACCTAACTCTGGGTTTAAAAGTTAAAGAAAATTGGGTTTTGCAGAATCAAATTATTTTTTAGTTCTTTGATATTTTTAGAATAAGCTTTCTTTAACCAGGTTCATATAAGTCCGGTTTATTTATTTCCAAGTTTTCCTTTTCTCGATATATTGAAACTAGATTCTAGGGATTATTATTTTTAATGCTTGTCACAATTCTTACTCTTTTTAGATATTTTATTCCATTTTTATTATTTTTGTTTATTAGAAATTTATATTACAAAATATCAATTCATGCTTTTTGTTAGGATTTTGAGAATCTACCATCCTTTACAGATTCTATTCTGGTTCCTTTTTGTGTTGAATCTATTTTAGGAGGTGAGTAAATTTTAGATGATAAAAATGTTCAATGTATCTTTCACATTCGTTCATTTAGGTTTAGAAAAGGTTGCCACTTATGAAAATAACATTTGGTACAGGAAGATTCTAAAGTAATGTATTAATTTTTATTTCTATTTTATCTCAATTTTTCTTGTTTTGCAAATGAAAATGTTAATATTTTCTCTATTCTATAGAATTCCAATTTCTTGGAAGGAGCGAGTATTGGTGCATTTTGAAGCTGTGGACCATGAAACATATGTTTTTATAAACAATCAATTTATTGGTTCCCATAAGGGAGGATATGATAGGTAAGGATTAGAGCAGTGAAGTAAAATTATTCTTTTTTAAAGCTTGATATATTTTTGACAACTACTTTTACAGGGAAATTGAGTACAATTTTTAATTTCCCGACAAAGTAGTTGTTTACAATTTTATCGTTTTCAAAGATGAAAATGCGTGAATTTGTTTACGAAAACTTTACAGAGCGGGTTGTTATTTCATTTAATTGTCCCAAGGGACGTTTAGTAAACAGAGAAGGAAATCTATGAATGAGAGATGTACTTTTGTTAGGTAGTTTACCTCTCTTATTGGCATAACAAACTATTCCTGACCTCTTTATTCCTGAGACACTCGGGTGGTTAACCCTATTCCTGCTGACTTTTCTTACATGCCCAAAGCCCTCCCTTTAGGCCTAAAACCGGGCTTTAATACTAACTGCCTGAGTCCTCAGGCACACTGCCTGAATGACTGTTTTTGCCTGTAGCATACTAAATCTTTGTTTTGACCCACTTTCACTTGTCAGATTTTCATAAAATTTAGCTCTTTAGAAAGCCTATGACATAAGGAAACGGGTTGCACAAGTTTTGCGGAAAAAAATGCAATTTTTTTGCAAACGACCTGTCAATGGAAATTTGCACATTTTTAGTTTTTCTTGATTAAAAATCAGGTTATTTAAAATTTTGCAAAAATTTTTGCATATTTGAAATGGCATGGTCAAGGGCTCTTCGAAAATGTATAATTTTTCATTTTTTGGACAATTTTTTTTTGCAAACATTTTTACTATATAACTGGATTTTGCAATAAAAAATTCAATTTTTGCAAATTTGCAAATTTTTTGCAGATTCTAAAAGTAGAGCACAAGAGCTTTCTAATGATGTATCATTTGTCATATTTGGACATAAAACATGGGATTTAGGGGGGGGGGGGGGGTCAAATTGACCCCCCCAGCATATCCTGGTTTTCAAGTACCCCAGCAGGGATAGGGTTAAGCAATCAACAGTTGCATAATTTAATCCTTTTCAAAGCAGTTTAAACCATTTAAAATTCAGCTTACAGTTTGATTTAATCCACAACATTCTTAAGTTTACAATACAAGCGATACTATTTAGACTTGATTATTGCATACAAATATCGTGTCTGGAAAAAATATAATTTTTTTAAAGGTTTTCCTTTGACATTACAGAATTTCTCAACCGGAAAGAAGACATACTTGTTCTGAAGGTAAACTCTTACATTGCATAAAAGAGATTGCCAATGCAACGTAAAATCTCGTTTCCCAGAGACTATTTATGATTCGTTTTTTTTGGATTTATATAAATTTAGGCAACATTCCGGTACTTCTGTTCTGTTCGTAAACAATCTAATTTTCCAGATTGAGATAAAATCATCTAAACATACGTTAATTATCCTTTAAAACTTTCACTTTAAGAAAATGAGTTTTCGCCACAAACATAAATTTGCTAATACCTTCTTAATAAATGCAATCTGATATTTGCATTTTGATATTTCGACCTTAGATTATTTGATCTAACAGAATTAATAGTTTGAAATTTCAAATGACATCGGATTGCAAAAATATAGGGATTAGAAAACCAGAGTTTACGGTAAGAACTCAGTTCCTTTTATCGCAAACTATTAAAAATAACAAGAATTAATTTTGGACCATTCATATTTAATCAGTCGGATGATAATGTACACTATTGGTTTAGAACTTAATGAAAATTAATTTAACTAGATCTATGATCCCACACATGTTCATCCAATCCCTCAAGGGAAACAGATGCAGTCTGATCACGTACCTGGAGAAATATTCTATACTCCTGTATCTGGTGTATGGTAGGTTTATAACATAAATATTTCTAAACTACAAGACGTGTCTTCTCTAAGATTTGGTTTCATATTATTAAATATTTGCATGTATTGGATATCTATATTTTATACACAATCAAGAAATTAAAAATTGCCATGGAAGACTATCAAAGAGCATGGAAACACAATGTCGGCATTAAACAGTACATTGCGGGATATTAAAAAGTAGTTTTGTGTTTACTTTTACTGTTTTCATTTACATTTAGGGGGGGTAGGAACGTGAACTTTGGAGTTTTAAAACACAAACTTTAACATAAGTAGCTTTCTTCATTTACTTTATGGCATTTGAAATATCTAAAATTCACTTATACAATACATATGCATGAATAGTTAATAAGTTCTGTTTGATAAATAGCTTGTTTAAAGGAAAACAGTTTGGTTGGAACCTGTACCGGCAACATCAATTACAGGATTAAAAATAACTCCAGATGTTGACAATAGTCTTGTTTCTGTTCAAGTTAGTCTGTCTGGTAACACACAGGTTAATAAAAAAAATCTTTATTTTCAAAGATCATGGGGATAAAATTAATAAAATACGAATTTGTTTTGTAAATTGTATCTGCCATTTTACTAATCTACTAAAAATTAATAATTACGCAAAAACCCGATCAACATATTTGCATCTCGTGCTAGGTTAATAAATTTGCTAAATTTTATATAGATAAAGGATGTCCGATAAAAAATGCATACATGCAGTTTAAGACAGTAAGACCCATCAAATAGTGAAATGAAAAGACATTTAAGCAACCTTATGCTCAATGCTTCTCTTTGGACCATTCAAAATCATATTTTGATTCTAACAGTTATATTCCTATTCAACAGTTTTATGGGTTTCATTGTATAAATATATATATCTTTTTAATCTCTTAGTCTATAACTGTATACTTTTTAGTCCGAGGTGACAGTTATTGTAATTGAGAATGGGACATCAGTAGCAGAATCAAGATTTAATCAGACCAGCAACTATAATGGGACTATCAAAATACCCAACCCAAAACTTTGGAATCCACAGGTATATATTCAAATAACTTACATTTAAATTAAGAAATAATAACTGCTTTTTATCATTTAAAGGCACTCGTAATTGTTGAACACTTTTTTGCAAGCTGTTTTTCATTTAAGAAGTCTTTTTTACTTAATTTCCAGATATCGTAGAATATAAAGATTTACATTTGAATTTTGTAAAAACGCGCTGGACATGTAGTAAATGCCCTACTCCATAAGGGTTTCTCAAACCCGTATCTATCCAGAGATTCACTTTACTATCAATGCCAAAATACGATCACTTGTTTGTAAACTATCAATGCCAAACCAATGGGCACGATCTCGTAAGCTATCGATGTCAACCGGACACTAGCTTGTAAACTATTAATGCCAAACCAATGGGCACGATCTTGTAATCTATCGAAGTCAACCTGACACAAGCTAGTAAACTATCAATGCTAAACAAATGGGCACAATCTCCTAAGCTATCAATGTCAACCAGACATTAGCTAGTAAACTATCAATGCTAAACCAATTGGCACAATCTCGTAAGCTATCAATGTCAACCAGACACTAGCTTGTAAACTATCAATGCCAAACCAATTGGCATGATCTTGTAAGCTATCGATGTCAACTGGACACTAGCTCGTAAACTATCATGCCAAACCAATGGGCATGATCTTGTCAGCTATCGGTGTCAACTCAAACACTAGCTAGTAATCGATCAATGCCAAACCAATGGGCACAATCTCAGCTCTTATGTTTCGACTAGGACCAAATTACTCTCTCGCAGTAATCAAAGCAGAGTCTCTATATCAACTGATTTGTATTTAGGTTTCTATGCTACAAATTAACCTTAATCGACATGATTACAAGTTTTACGTCAATATATATACGGTGCAATTCAGTTTAAATATACATATTTACAAGATTAGCCAAGATATATGTAAGCATAGTTAAGCTGATCACAATACTGGCTTACTGGCGTAGGTTAATCATGTTACGTAGTTATTTAAGCATAGCTAATTGATAATGCACAACGTAGGTAAGGTTTGCAGAACTTATTACAGAATGGGGGGGGGAGAGAGAGAGAGAGTGCTTGAATAATAGGGCTAACCATCCCTCATTTTCAATTATACAGCATCCTTATTAGCCAGCAGTGCTCCCATCCTTATGATTTCCGCAGCAGGTTTCTTCCTGTTCCAGAGTCTGTCTTCAGGATGGGCTGTTGTGCTGTTATACAAATTTTAGGCCAGAATTGTAAATGTAATATGCATAGCTGATTAAAAACTTTATTTAAGCTTATGTAAAATTCTCAGGTTATATTTAGAACACAATATGTGGAGAAGATAAGAGCAGGGAACAGAGAGAGATAATTAAACATATCTTTGTGTGCTTCTTCAAATCAGGTTTTCAGATTCAACCTGAACATCAAGAATTAAAAGATCTGATTTGTATTTAGGTTTCCATGTTACAAGTTAATGTTAATCGACATTTACGTCGATATATATACAGCATAATTCGGTTTAAATGTAGGTATTTACATGATTAGCGCAGATATATGTTAAGCTAATCACAATACAGGTTTACAGACGAAGGTTAATCATGTTACGTAGTTATTTACTGCATAGCTAATTGATAATGCACAACGTAGTTCATGTTGCAGAAATCGTGTTACACGATATTTATTACAGACATAGAATAATCGGGATTTTTTTTATCGGGAGATTAGTTACTGTTCACTAGCCTACTCAGTTTTTTTTGGACAATTTGGACACAATTTGAAAGATAAACACATGGAGTTCTCTACCCCCTATGAACAGCCGAAGTACCGTTGTAAATCAGGCATTCCCCTCTTTGCATTGAAGGTCATTTGAACTGACCCTTGCGCCATGTACCATAATGTTGCTAGTATCCTTTGAAGTTGAACAAGCCGACAAAAATTCTTGTCTTAGATTATTTTTAACTTTTGAGATAAATATTGCAAAATACGTTAAAAATGATTATGTATATTTAGAATCCGTTTCTGTATGATCTAAATGTAACCTTGGCAAGCGGTGACAGTGTTAGCAGCTATTTTGGTCTCAGGAAGATCGAACTCAGAACTGTCGGGAACTTTAAGAGATTCTTTCTCAATAATCAGGTTTATTTAAGAGATTCTTTCTCAATAATCAGGTTTGAAAACCTTACCAAATCATAAATGATTTTTGTTAATTTCTTCTTTCCTAAGCTATCTTGTTTTTTAATTCTTGGCATTGGGATTCTGATTCTAAATAGTCTAGAATTTCAAGAAGATGATTTAAAGAACAAAAAAATCACCAATTAGAACCTCTCATCTCTAATTAACCTAGGAGCTTGGTTTCCAACTTGGACCACTAGATCAAGGTTATTGGCCTGATGGTCTTTACACTCCACCTTCTTTTGAAGCAATGAAATGGGATTTGATAGCAACCAAACAGCTTGGATACAATATGATCAGGTTATAATATACTCATTTAACTAAACAGCTTGGATACAATATGATCAGGTTATAATATACACATTTAACCAAAATCTAACGTGTTCAGTCTTGATTTTGTGTTTCCACGGTTAACTATGGTGAACAAAGGTCTTTACTTAGATCCACGGTTATAGTCCTCTAAATTTATGTCTTTAAAAAATACAAGACAAATTAGGTTTATAAAGACGAAAAACATTTAGGAAACATATAAAAGTAGAGCCAGAGCTTTGGTACTATTTGACAGATAAACTTGGTTTACTGGTTTGGCAGGACTTCCCCTCTATTCTCAGCAGTAAGGTTCTAGCGGATAAGGAGGCTCAGGTAATTTTAATCGAAAATCTAAATATTTAATCATTTTTTATTTTCTTAATTATTGTATTGTGTTTAGGCAAATTTTCTTGTTGAAATAAAATCCTGGGTCAATCAGATGTTTAATCATCCAAGTATAATCCTTTGGGTAGTTTTTAATGAAGCTTGGGGTCAACACAATACAGAGGATGTGACAGCCTACGCAAAGTCATTAGATTCAACCAGGATTATTACAGGTATTATTCATAAATCAAATTGAACATATTTTGCTTTTTATGTTGGTAAAGGCATGATACTATTCTTACCTTTTAAAATTGATTTTGAAATATAAGATATAAGGCTCTAGATGCAAGTGGCTGGGTTGATCATAAAGTTGGAGATGTACTTGATATTCACTGTTATCCTGGTCCTATTTGTGGTTCACCGATTAAGCCAGATCCAGAAAGGTAAAATAGACATTTTTGTTTGTTACTCAAAAGTGTCTAATTTTCTGAACCAATTTAAAGATTCGAAAAGAAACTAAAAAATAAATTTTCAGTAAATAAAAGAATTCAAATGTATAAGAACAAAACAACTACTGCAGGGCTCTAGTTCTGGGAGAGTTTTGGGGAAGAAAGAGAGTTATTCCTGGTCACAACTGGTTCTTGGAGACTGGGGACGTAAGTTGCAAATATTTAAAAGATGTAATCGTAGAATTATTTACTTTAATTCATTAAACATTGCATCGGTTTAAACGATTTCTCCAGTTTTTTTAAAAATATTTGCAGTGTTTTGTATTCTGTTTTCCAGGGATTGAATGAAGAGGATTTCTTAGTAAGATATGAGAGTGCTATAGATATTCTTATCGAATTGGAACAGCTAGGGTATAGTGCTGCAGTTATTACTCAGGTATAAATTGCTGATTTTAATCCTTCATGAATTTACATTCCTATATAAAAAGCTGGTTTTTTTGGTATGCAACAATTTTCATTTAATCCCGCCGGGATATTTTCATTAAAAGATACTTTGAAAATCTACAAAGGCAAAAAAAATCCGCAAAATCCGCAAGCCCTCGGGTTTATCATTGGATCCCCTCTTTAAAAAGGAATGTCATTTACTCTCAGACAAATTAGAATCAATGGAAATTTAAACCCCTCGGGATTCAATGATAAACTTTGTCTGAGAGTAAATGATACATTGATGACCACTGTCTGATCTGTCTCTGATGAATTATATTTTTTGTTAACTAATATTTACAGATTATTATTAACTTTTAAAGTTAACTTGGTCAATGGTGCATAAAGAAAAAAGAGTATCTTTATAATTCCAGAAAATAAACAGTCGTTTACCTACGTCTAATATTTTTTGATTGTATTTACTTATTGACTTGTGATTTTTGTAGATACTGAAGTTTTAGATAAAAAGCCTATATTATAAATAGTTCACCTTTCAGACCTATTATTATTTGCATTGAATAATTTTGATGCATTTCTTTCTATATATATTGAATTCAAATGCGATAGAGACAAATAGTTAGAATTCAAGAATTATTTATTGATTACAGTACAAATTATACACTATCAAAGCTGGGAACTTTAGAATGGTGGATATCAGGATTAATGCTTGATCCACCCTTTTTCTTAATCTCCAGATTAAATATTGCTTGTTTTCCTCATGAATTTAATCTCCAGAGCTGAAAACTTTAGAATGGGATATCTTAAATTCCAATTGTTTAACTTCTCTGGAGTTTAAATTCATGTGGAGAACAAGCAATATTTAAACTGGATATTAAGAAAAAGAGCGGTTTAAGCCTTAATCCTGATATCCACCATTCTAAAGTTTTCAGCTCAGATTAATTAACAGATCGGGATTAAGGATATCACATTCTAAAGTTTTGAGCTCTGATCTTATTTACTTTGAGAAGGTGTCCTTCCCTAATTAAGTAAATAAGACCATATAGAAACTTGTTGAAGAGGAATTAAATTATATTTATTTTAGACGACGGATGTAGAGGGGGAACTTAACGGATTTTTTACATATGACAGGTAAATAGATAATATTAATTAAATTGAAAATTTGCATAAATTCTCTTCTAAATCAGCTGACTAAGAAACTTTACACTCTCCTTAAAATTAAATTTTCCAATCATATACTGCTATATATTTGCAACCTTGTATATTTCAAAAATCACCAATAAATATAGCAAAATTCACAAAGGATAAAGTATCTATAACATCTTGATAAAATGTGTATTTCATTTATAATTCCTAACCCGTACAGTTGTGATTAAACTCATATCCAAACATTACAGGGATTTATATTGCTTACCCCTTAAAACAATTACGAAAATTAAACCTAATTTTTTCATGCTTTAATACATTCAACTTATTACCTGAACTGATGTCATAAAACAATACATTGTCAAAAACAAATATTATTTTACCCTCAAATTTACAATTTGGGTTTGTGTATTTCCTAACCCGCACAACTCGGATTAAAATCATATCCAAACATTACAGGGATATATATAGCTTGCCCCAAAAAACAATTACGAAAGTTAAACCTAATTTTTTCATCTTTTAATACATTCAACTTATTACCTGAACTGATGTCATAAAACAATACATTTTCAAAAACAAATATTATTTTACCCTCAAATTAACAGCTTCTTTTTACATGTTTATATGTCTCTGCTAAATAAAAAGTGTTTTATACTAATTGTATACAAAGAGGCAGGATTCTGGATTTACACTTAAAATTTTTTTTAGAAAAGTTGCGAAGGCTCCTGTATCGGAAATAAAGACTCTGACAAACCTGATTCTTAAGCCCGACAACAACAAGAAACGGAATGTGAAAATAAAACAACAAATTGATGAACAAAGCCCGAAAAAATCACTTTTCTATAAATTCTTAAGAAAAATTTCAAAAATTGTTCATCCCTGATTCTTTTGATTTTTTTATTGATTATTTCAAGTTTGGAGAACTTGTGTGATATTCAAGTGGGACTCATTAAACTGTGGAATAGGAAGGAAGAATTGTTCAGTTAAACAGATCCATTTCACATGTTGATAAAACTATTTGCATTATATATACAATAGATTGCGTACATGTTGACTTCCTATTCAACAATTTTATGGGTGCCACTGTGCTATTTTTTTTTGCAACAGACTAATCTTATTTTAATTGTTAATCTAAAAATTTCGAATTATGTTGATGTTTTGTTATTATACTCATAAGTCTTCTAATTACTGTTTATTTCATTATTCTTTGCGTTGTATGCAAAGAAACAAATAAAACATCTGATGTACTACTGCAAGATGAATATGCAACATTACAACTGAAAAATTTAAATTTTATATGACATGACGGTTTGCTCCTGTGAATTATCCATCATGCAGTTTGGAAGTCGTGTGAAGTCTGCTGAACACAAATTTTCGTTTTTTTTTATGAAAATTCTTTATAAACACGCATTAAAGTCATCGTACACCATTTTGCTATGAAGTTTTTCCCATTATTCTTGTTTAAACACTTTAAAGTTCTTCAAAGTTACCTTTTACGAGTGAGTTAAAACTTAATCTCAATCTTAATCTTTATTTTTTTACATCAAAAGAAAAGGAACACAGTCATGGTATAGAAAAACTTAATTATTACTATTTGTTATAAATGTTTTCTCATCCTATTCTATCCTATTCTAAAAACCAAAATGGAATAACCGAGTCTTAATGTTTGCACTTTAACACAATTTTCTGTATGGAAACATGAACTTTTCGTATTTATACCATTGTTTAATTATTCCATTTATCAACATTTAAAACAAAATACATTTCTCATAATAATATCTAGTCTATCTAGTTGCTCATTATTTTGCATGATAAAATGCAATTAATAAGACCTAGTGCACGACTTGTAAAAGAAAATGTCGAGGACTATGAGTAGTAACTAAAATTGATCCAGTTCTTTTTCTGTAATGATATTTTAACTTTTTTAAAATCTAATAAAATGAAATGTTATTGTTGTAGAAATTATAATGATCATAATATCGTATTAAAGCTGTGGACCGACGAGTTATGCAATTATCCTCGAGGAGATGGGNAGAGCAGGTTGAAACTTTTAAGTTTGATCAATATTTGTTCTATTCTCTACCCGGTTCCTACACAATCTGCAGTTACTCAATAAAACTTTGGAAAATGTCACTTCAGACATCAACTGTTCCTCTAAGAATCCACAAGACAGATTTAGGAAAAAGTTTGGGTCCTACTAGAGGACAACCTAGAGCTCAAGTTTCTTCTAGGGCTCTTTTAGGAGCTCACAAAAGTTTAGAGTCTGGAGTTGTTTTGCAAAACAGAATTGAACCTGTAAATGTTAGGTATAGTTCATACATTCATGTATTGGTTCTGGAAAATCCAATATGTTCTTTTCTAAGTTTTATTTTCTAATTTATGTTTTTAACCTCGAAATTCGCAAAATTTTCAATCATTTTCGCTAATTTTGATGTATTTTCGAGCTCATTTCGTGAAGTGGGGGGGGGAAGGTGTACAGTCTTACAGAGAGGAAAAAGTTGAGAGTACGGTACATGTACAGAGATGAAGGGAATATGGGAGCATGTACATTGTACATTGTACAGAAGATAACTGTAAAAGGGGGGGGGGGTATGGCATGAACTTATGAAGGGAGAATATTGTTGAGGGAGGGGTTTGTTTAGAAGGGATTTGAGAAAGAGAGGAGGGCATTTACAATAAAGGGGGGCTATATAGATGGAGGAGCGAGATTGGGGCTCCATGTACTTCGTACGTGGATATTGGTCACAAGGAGGGAAGGGTTGGTGGGGGGCTCTTAGTGGGGAATAGAGTGAAATGGTTCATTCTTAAACGTTGTTGGAGTGGGACAATAACCTTATCATTTTTACACATTCTAAAACATTTCAAAGAAAATTAGATTTTAAAAAAATGTTTCAAACAACATTTTTGGTTGAATGTAGGTAATAATAGGATGGAAAGAACTGTTGAAGAGCGTACTAAGTATCCGGATAGGATCAATCTAGATAGACGAGCACTCCATGGGATTCCTCTTTTAGGTAACAAATATTGTGGTTTACATATATTGAATTTAACATTTTCATGATTTAATACAACCAAATGTGAACAACACAATTCGATCGGTAACTTTATTGCATACATAATTTTAATTTTTCTTTTTTGTTTTGTTTTTGCCCTAAAAGAAATAAAGAAACATGTAAGAAAAAATAGTTAACTAATGTTAAAAGCTGTTAAATTAAGATATTTATACAGTGAAACCCTTAATAACGAATACATCGGAAGAATTTATCAAATGTCGTCTTGACAATTTTTAATGAGTGTTATACTATATTTCGTAAATTTCAGTATTTGCGAAAATAAATAAATATCCATGAATATGCGGGAACAGTTTTAACGAGTTCCATATAATCATTTAATTAAAAACTAAATATCTGCAACATTCCATTATCAGAAAGTGAAGAATACGACTTTTGATGAATTCTTTCGATGTATTCTTTATTAAGGGTTTCACTGTATATATTTTAAAAAATCAGACGAACACAAAGGAATTGAATCTTTGTAACAAAATCAAATATTTAAACCCCAATATTTTTAGAACAGGATGTTGTAAACCTCTGATATTTCAAACTCTGATTATTTGATCTAACAGAATTCATAGTTTGAAATATCTAAGGTCTACAACATTTGGTTCCAAAGATATAGTGATTAGAAAATCAGAGTTTGTGGCAAAGACTCAATTCCTTTCTTCTACATTATATATAGATTTGAATATCAAGCTATATTAAACCGCAAATACAACATGAACAGCTTACAACACACATATCACATACCAACTACATAAATGGACTGTGTTCGTAATTTTAAATGACTCTTCATCTATAGAGTGGCATGTCCGATTAACAGCGGTTCACTGAAAATTTTTTTATTGCCATGAATGAATAAGATATCCATGTTTGTCTCTTGGAACATTGATTATTTGTGATATCTAAACAAAAGTGATATAAATTTCTGCTACACAGAAGCAGTAGAAAAGTTAATGTCAGAATTAGTCACTTCTCCAAGCTGGAAAAACGATGATATCTTCCACATTATAAGTTATAAGCATGTCCTTTTTAAAAATGTAGCACTCTTCACTAGTCCCCACTATTTCTTCGGTCATAGTACCGCAAATCACTGCAGTGTACACACCAAAAGCTTAGTTGAGGGTGGTAGGTTCACTTGAAAGTACAATGTATGTAGTTTTAACAACGTATGTATTTTATTTTACAGCGGATGAGCCTGGATTGAGATTGTTGAGTCTCCAGCACAATTTCATCAAAAGAATCCAAAATCTGGAGCTGATTTCTAGACTAGGGAAACATACAATCAATAATTTGAATTTATATCCGTTCAAAATCTGGAGCTGATTTCTAGACTAGGGAAACATACAATCAATAATTTGAATTTATATTCGTTGAAAATTATGATGAATTTTTAATCGTAAACATCAAACATGAAAAGGTTGAATGCGTGTTATATTGCAGTATTCTTGGATCTTTACCACAACAGGTTGGATCACATTTCAGGTACTATGGGAGTGGGACATTCCATAAAAAAAAAACACATTTTATAGACAGAACATTAAAAAAAAATAAAATGTCATGAACAGGTTCATGTCATAAACAGGACATGTCATAAACAGGACATGTCAGAAACAGTGCATTTCCTAGAAAGGACGTTTCACAGAAGGACTTTTCAAAGACAGGGCATTTCATGAAGAGGAAATTTCATTTACAAAGAAGATTTCACATAACTAATGTAAATCACTTACCAAATTAATTTTGGATTAATTATGGTGCACAGATATGTTTTTGATATAAGAAAATATATATGAAATATCCTGTCAATAAAATTTCTTATCAATGAAATGTTCAATCTTTGAAATTAACTATCTATAAAATATCCTGTCTATGAAATGACCTATTCATGAAATTTTATAAAAGAAATGTTCATTTTCGAAATGTTTTTTTATAAAACGTCTTGACACCTAATAATCATTAAATTAAGCATAAAAAAATATTTGCTCCCAATTTAAAGTAAAGAATGTTCCACATTTAGCAAGATAATAATAATGATGGTTGGTTGGTTTTTTATTTATGTATTCATTGATCTGTAAACAATTCTTGAATACCAGGTTTTAAATTAAAGTGCTTTCTATCCAAAAAAAATAACTTATTTAAATGTTAAGGATTGGGCCCGTTAAATAATCTTCGAGTTCTGATGTTAGGGAAAAATAGAATAAGGTATTTTTTATCTCAGTAAACAGTATTAATCATATATTTAACAATACTTAACAATAATAAAGACTTAAAAACAATAATAAAAATAATAGATAATACTTTGCTCTACACACGTAATAGATAATACAATAGTACCATGACGAAATTTGGACATTATATTTATAAACATTTAAAAAAAAAAAATTTCAGACGCATAGAAGGTCTAATGAATTGTTCACGATTATCTGTATTGGATTTGCATGGAAACAGGTACAATGGCGACACGATAAATTTAGACAATAAAAACAAAAAAGACAAACTTAAAATTAAAAAAATGACAACTTTAGAATGACCTTTTTAGGATTGGTACAATTTCTGGGTTAGAAGCATTATGTGAGTTAAAGGTATATAGTAAAATCTCAAGATCATAAAACTCAGATTTTGAGAAAGTCTTTTTGGTGGGGGAGGTTGGGGGCGGAGGGATTAGGGAAATCTCAAGTGAAATAAGAAGTTCTATGATCGTAATGCTTAACTATTTCAGGTTTTGAATTTGGCTGGAAATCTGATAAGGTAATTATAGCTATTCAATGTGGATACTAAGCTACAGAAAGCAAACAATTTTTCTTCCAACTATTAAACTTTTACCATTCATACAATTATACCTATTTAGTCTGATTAGTTATATTTAAACCAATTCAAGGAATTACGCAATAAAGGAACTGACACATAGCCTGAAGATCTATTTAATTTTTTAATTCCTATGTCTCTGATATTTCACATTTGATATTTCAGACAATAATTGATTACACAGAATTCATTCATTCATTCAAAGGTTTACGAAACCAGGTTGAAAATATGAAAATAAATATCAATTATTTTTTTTCTTAATTTTAAGCATTTTTTTGGATTCTAAAATAAAAAGTATTTTTAATAATATTCTCAATATATATAAATAACTGACTGCAGGAAGATTTCTGGGTTGGAATCTCTGAAAAATATTGAAGAGTTGAACTTGAGAAGAAATAGAATACGGTAAGAAAATATTAAAAAATAAAACAGATTTTTGACTAAATTAAATCCATATTTTCTTTCAGAAATACAATTGGAATAGATGCTGTGCCTACCCTAACGAAACTATACATGTCAAATAATGAAATACAGGTGAACTAAAAACTAAGTTGATATTGAGCTGAAAGTAACTTAGATAACTATTTAGGGGTTGAGTTCCCTTGAACAGATTGAAAAATTGATTAATCTTGAAGCTATTCAGGTAAATAAGTTATCTCAAGCAAGGGTAGTCAAATAACGGATGGTAGATAAATTGCAACAATTTAATTTACTTCAATGATTTATATTATAATTTACTAGATGGAAGGGAACCCAGTGTGGTCCAATCCTAATTATTCTTGTAAATTGGTTGCAACTCTACCATCACTTGTCAAACTGGACCAACAAGATGTAACCCAGGTAATCATTAATCAAAGCTCTTTGCTCATATATATTTGTTCGTTAAAGCTGGCCCTAAACGACTGGACGAAATTGGATAACTTATTTGAGAATTGAGGAAACCTATTGATATCCTGCAGAGGTGAAGTATTGGTAAAACAAATCTCTTTTTTTTCTTAGTGTTTTTAAAACCTCGACAAAGCCGGGTACTTGAGCTAGTAAAATCATCTATTTTTATAGGAAGAATAGAGAGTTTTTATCGATCAAAACTGACATCAATAAGTTATATTACCGTTGCCAGTGGATTATCTTTTTTATCGTTATTTTTGATAATAAACAGAGACATGTTATAATTTATTCTATTTTTTTCCTGGGGAACATTAAATATCTGCCCCCACCCTTCCGTTGCCTTTCTTTGTTGGCCACCTATGTAAACAAATATCTAAAATTTAAAATCTGGTCTTCCACTTTTGTGCATTTAACGTTGACAAGTTTTAAAAACATTTTCCTGTTTGTCGATTATTGTAATTTACTAGGATATGAGAATTACTTCCTCCAAGTGGAAGCAGTCTCTGGAAACTACTTCACGAGATCTTCAAGAACCGACTCTTCCAATCGAGCCACAGCATGAAAAAGAAGAAGCTCTCACAACGTATTTTTTCTGTCACTTTCATAAAAAATCTATTCGGCGAAGTAGGACAGGGATTAAGTTGTACTATTTTTGTACCGATAAAGTTTTTAAGCTGATACACGAACACTGGTTACATTGAAATTGTGAAATTGTCATCGGTACATAATATTGTTAGTCGTTTATACTTGAAGTACATCGGTACATAATATTGTTAGTCGTTTATACTTGAAGTACATCGGTACATAATATTGTTAGTCGTTTATACTTGAAGTAGTTCAAACCTTGCATGGACTTTGAACGGTTACAGGGGGGGGTCCCCCCCCCCCTGTAATCAGTCTGTATAAGTAAAATAAAAAACTACCCAGTATTAACCGGTAAGATATTCTAGAAATATGAAAAAATGTTTTCCTGCTTTTAGAAAAATACTTTTTAGGAAAACTAGAAATTTTACTTCCGATATTTTGTAGGATTGACGTTTAATCTAAAGATATTGTGTTTAGGTTGGAACTTGATAAAGTTCAGCGGAAAAAGGCATCTATAACCAATGCAATGCAAAGGAATTTAACAAAGATAAACATTAAACACTGTGTACTAAGTGTATTGCATATATGCTATAAAAAGTTGCATCAATGTTTTAAACTAAGTCGACTTTGAAGAAACGCAATGTCTCGGCCTTAAAATTTCACTAACTCACTAATATTTTTTGTTGTTTATTTTAGAATTGTAAAGCATTTATTTTTAATGTTAGGTTTAAAGAAGTTATTGGTAAAGTTCTCATCGAATTTTGCGTGTGAGCTTGCAACTGTTTTGAAAGTATTGATTTAGCCTCTGAAGCAATTAAAAATAAGTTTTACATCTATGTTAAGTTTAGATGGAAGATTGTAAAAACAAAGACATTTGTTCCTGAGGTAGACAAAACATTAAACAATATTGGGGAATATTTTATGATAATGATACTAATGAGATAATAATAAAGACAAAAAAGAATATCAATTGTAACAATAATATTGATAAAAACAACCATAATAAAATTAGGAATTATAGATATCACAATATCAGTAATAATTGTAATAAATGTAATTAATTGTTTAAAATAGAAACATGAAAATTAAAAAAGGTCGGAAGCGAGGAGGAGGATTTTGAAGATTCAGGAGGAATGAGAGTAAGGGTGTCACAACAATCAAACAGGAGTTCAGAAGAAAACAGGAGTTCTGAGGAAAATAGCAACCATAATGAAAACAGTTACTTTGAGAAAAGTAAGTTTGATATCTCTAAACATTCAACATAATTTTCTCAACAAAATATAATTGTTACGTTCAATTGTAAATATGCGTTTATTCATTATCAGTCTTCATAGGAATTGAGTTTTTGTATGCATAAGACCCTTAATTATTTGCTTTATTTTTACATGGACGTTTTGAATGCGTAATAATTTTAGAGTTCTGTTGAGCAAATTTTATCGCCCCCCCCCCTACCCCGGACTAACTAGAGTTAGAGGCATTGGGTTTCTTCAATTTGAAATCATACTCGTTTTGGTTTATATTTTTACAATCTTTAAAGTTACGGACTTGTTTGTTAAATGCTTTTTATTCAAAACGTATATGCCGGCATATTTAAAAGTATTTAAGAAAGAAGGCTGAAAAATTATGTTTAATAGGAGTAATTGTGATGGAAAGTCATAGCTTTCTGGAATATTAACAGAACCATTAAATTCACGTGTTNCCCCAAAAAATATCTTTTTATAGAGGCATTTAAGATGGACCTTTTTTTCTTTTTAAACATTTATTAGAAATGACGAAAAAACTTTTTTACTAAAACTAAATATTTGGCTCAAATTCTCATGACAATGCTAATAATTAGGCCCAAGTTATGACAAAGTGTAAACTAATTTCTATTTGTGGAAAAGTATCGAGGAGTTGTATAAAACTAATTTTTATTGATGGTGACTGGGTGGGCTATATCTTGTGCAATGTTAAGAAAGAAAGTGTGAAGTACAGATAAAGCTGGATGCCGTTCCAACTCTTCAAGATAGGATCAGACAAAGAGGCAAATATAGAACAGGACGAACTTTAAGGAACTGTTTTTTAAATATAAATATATAGAACAGGACGAACTTTAAGGAACTGTTTTTTAAATATATAGAACAGGACGAACTTTAAGGAACTGTTTTTTAAAATATATAGAACAGGACGAACTTTAAGGAACTGTTTTTTAAATATAGAACAGGATGAACTTTAAGGAACTGTTTTTTAAATATAGAACAGGACGAACTTTAAGGAACTGTTTTTTTAAATAAATATAGAACAGGATGAACTTTAAGGAACTGTTTTTTAAATATAGAACAGGACGAACTTTAAGGAACTGTTTTTTTAAATATATAGAACAGGAAGAACTTTAAGGAACTGTTTTTTTAAATATAGAACAGGACGAACTTTAAGGAACTGTTTTTTTAATATATAGAACAGGACAAACTTTAAGGAACTGTTTTTTTTAAATATATAGAACAGGACGAACTTTAAGGAACTTTTTTTTTAAATATATAGAACAGGACGAACTTTAAGGAACTGTTTTTTTAAATATATAGAACAGGACGAACTTTAAGGAACTGTTTTTTTAAATATATAGAACAGGACGAACTTTAAGGAACTGTTTTTTTAAATATATAGAACAGGACGAACTTTAAGGAACTGTTTTTTTAAATTGTTTGTCTTGATGAACTCAAATACTAAAACTGAGCGTAAATTATATTTGTAATGAATTTTTAAATGACATTGAGATGAATATAATTTAATAAGGTTAATGAGTTGTGGGGGGGGGGTAATGGTAATTAAGTAATGCTTAAGTCTTAAAGATGGTAAAAAGACAGTATTTTAGTGGAAGTTTTTCAACAACGAACAGGTAAGGATACCTGTAATAAAATAATTTTTTAAATTATTTAATTAAATTTAATTTAAATTAAAATTAAATAATGTGCATCATTGTTTTTTAGATTCAACAGATCATCCAGCTCCTGTTCAAATATATCTGGCATCTCAAGGAACCTTATTGTAAAATAAACCAGAACCATGAGGACGAGTCAGATTCTGGACCACTTGTGCATTTGTGCACCTGTCAAAACACTAAAATTTATTTATACATGAAACGGTATTCTCATTTCTCAATATCTCAATATCTTAATGTCTCAACTCTCAATGACTCAATGTCTCAATGGTACCAGTACAAACGTTGGAACCACAAACATCGGACGCTATACTAAGGTCCGACAGTACAAATGTTGAACCTACAAACGTCGGACTGGTACAAAGGTCGGACTGAGACAAATGTAGGACCAGTACAAACGTCGGACGAGTATATTTAGAAGGAAAAACGTCTGACATCAGTTGAGTTTGTAAAAAATACCATTGCTATAAGAAATAAATTAAAAATCACTCGCCTATTGTGATGCAAATCAAAGACAACTGAACAAAGGTTCATCCTTTGAAGGTAGCACTGTATAAAACAGCAGACCAAAAAGGAGTTGAGTTCAATTGTCACAAACTGATGTTTCAATTATTCTATACCTTTAATAAGATATTTAACAAGATAAATTAAGATATTACCTTTGATAGTTCAACCTATGAATCTATATGATCAGACAGATTAAGTTTGAAAGGTTTCAAAGGTTAATACCAAATTACCAGGTTGCAAAGGTATAGGAATGAGAATATTTGAGTTAGTGGCAAGAACTCAGTTCCTTTGGGTAGATTTTTATTAGACCAGTCTATAAAAGGAATTTACTTTTTAATAAAACAAAAAAAAATATAAAAATTCAATTAATTTTTTTTCTTAGTCTGACGTTTGTACTGGTCTAACGTTTGAACTAGTCCGACGTTTGTCCTGATCTGACGTTTGTACTGTCCGACGTTTGTAAGTCTTAGGTTTGTACCGTCCGACGTTTGTGGGTCCAACGTTTGTACTGGTACCGTCTTAATGTCTCAATTTTTTTATCCAAGAATAGAGGTGTCTTAGTGTCTCAACATCTCATTTGCATAATACCAGTGTATGCGTAAGCATAGTTTTATTTGAACCATAAAAACAGGCATCTTAATGTCTCATTGTCTCATTCCTTGAATACAAGCGAATTTATATGAACAACATTTTTGATCCATGAAAAGAGATGTCTTAGTGTCTCAACGTCTCATTTGTAATCATAATTTTATTTGAACCATGAACCATATCAAAATGTTCAAAAAGATCAACAAAATTTCTAAAAATCACATTTTTATTGTTATTTTTTCCAAAGGAATGTCCTTTGATTTTGAAGAAAAAAAAGATTTTTGATCATTAACTAATTTACAATTTGTGTATATAGAGTGTCAGGCAGCGACTCTGAATCAACATCAGGAATTCACAAATTCAATTATACTTTTTTATATCTCTCATTTTACCAATTAAAAAGGTTAGAAATAAAAAGTCTCTGGAAAAAAATTAATTATTTTATTTTCGTGAATTCAGCTGGAAGATCAATAAATACTGCTCCCATCGTAATTATAAAGGTTGATATCTAATGTATTTTGTAAAATATATTTTTATCAAAAATAATTAAATAGATATTAGAATTATGCAACCTATTTTAAGATTTTAAGTTTCTTTGCTATAAATAAAATATTCATTAAACATAGTTCACAGCAAACAAGCTTTTTTTTCAAAATGATTGGTTAACATTATTCTTAAAATTGAACAGTGACATCCCAAGACATATATTTTTTGAAGGACGCCTCGTTGAAGATCAAGTTTCCTGGGTTGGAAAGAAGAACCTTTGCTTTGCCCCAGAGATATGAAACCATATCAGACCCGTCCGCCTGCTCTTCAACACTCAGGTTTTTTTGTTCCAAGTCCTAGTTTAATTACAGCTTTTTATCCCCTTTAACGTATAAGTATATGTTTAGAAGGCCAAGCTTAGAGCTGGAACTCGAAAATCAGAAAATAGGATTTTTTAATGTTCGACAAAAATCCGAAAATCAGGAAACAATTTCAGAATTTTAAAATCGTTGTCCACCTTCTATAAATCTTAAAACACGAACATGACAAAATGTTAGTACTTAAAGGAACTGAATACGCGCCACGGATTGTAAGTCTAATTTTTATATCTTTGCCACCATTAACATTTTAAACTGTGAATTCTAATTAAATTAATTTTGTATAGAGACCTTTCGTTCATAAAGTAGTTTTAAGTCTTTGCTACAAACTCAGATTTTCTAACCCCTATATCTCTGTGACCCAATTTCATAGACCTTAGATATTTCAAACTAGGAATTCTGTTAGATCAGGTAATCTAAGTTTTGAAAATCAAAGGTATACAACATCAGGTTGCAAATATAATGGGATTCGAACATTTTAGTTTGTGGCAAAGACTCAATTTCTTTCGCTTGTATATTTGCTAGTCTCCAATAAACGTCAACACGACTAAAACGATCAGGCCCAAAGAAATTATGTCTTTGCCACAAACTCAGGTCCACAGCTTCATGTTGCAAAGATATAGGGATAAGAAAATTTGAGTTTGTGCTAAGACTCATTTCTTTTATGGGTGACATTAAACATTTTGCCTTATCAAGTTTTATTACAAGAAAATTTGTATTTTTGTCAACTATTCTTAACCACTAATTCTGAATGTGGATCAGAATCCAAATTCATTTCTGTCTGATGACGAATACTCGGAGGAATTTATTTCTGAGTCTTCATCAACTTCATCCAATGATACATCAGGTATATTTTGTTCAAACTAAATATCAATGNGGAGTCCTCTCTGTTTAAAATCTTAGATGCATTATTTTTGTTAAGGGGACGAGGAGACGGGAAAGACTAATACGGTGTTGTATCAAGATCATGCTGGGAAAAGACTTCAGGCAAATATTTATTAATTAAGAAGATAATAGGTCCTCAATAAAATGTATGACTGACAATTTCACAAAGTTCTGTTCACGGAAAACTTAAGTTAATTAAACGTAAGATTACAATATTAAATGTTTTCAATCATAACTTCTTTTATTTTCAAGCTATTGAAGAGAAGAAAAACTTTGAATTTTTAATGTAAGCGGATAAATTTAAAAACTTTTTTTATTCGTTATGTTTAGTCTTATTTCTTAACGTATCTAATTTTTCTTTTATGATTTGTAGGAGAAACTAAAATTATCCCGAGGAAGAAATTTAAGTCGTCAAATAAATACATCAAGGTCTTCAAGCCAAATATCGGATGACAGAGGAAATGTTAGGTAACAACATATTAAATAAAAGAGAATCAGAGAGAAATGTTATTTTTTGATTACATGTTATAAGTAGAACGAGCTCAGTAACACTTAATATGTCAGTCATTTTTGAAAGTACAAAACAAGCAAACCACAAGGGATTAAGAGGGGATAAATAACGATTTAAAAATCATTACTTAATTCCTATTTAATAAACACCCTGTAAATATAAGTACCCAACATATTTAAGTTTAATAGATATATACAATATTGATTATTTAGACAGTGGGTAAATAAGCACAATAGTAAACCTTTCTTCAGAAAACCTAGAGACACTGACGGCACAGGTGAAAACTTTGTAAAGTCCCTCTTTTTACTACATTAAAGATTTAAAACAAATTCAGTATGATTTCTAAATCTGTTCAGATTCACGAGGGGAGGAAGGCACAACAATTTCTAGTCCAAACTCCGAGCCACATTCTCCCCATTTTCTCGTCCGAGGAACCTCGATATCCTCGTCCTTCCGATATTTCTTAGGGGTCCAATTCTTTAATGAAGATAAAAACTATTTTTTAATCTGTCTTCATTATAGAGCATAAATAAAATGTACAATTTTTCTAAATCGAGAAAAATTGCTTTAATTAAATTATAGTTTTGAAGTTTTATTTTCTTAAAATTTTTTCACTTTTTTACGAATATTTTTTTAGATATTCCTAATATAGAATGCCGACTTCAAAGAATGAAGTTCTTTATTGCTAATTATATAGTAAACGATACAATTTTTCCGAATAAAAGGCAGTGGTTTGACTAAAATTTTGCAAGTTATTTTATATTTTAAGGTTGGCCATTAAGTAGGCAGAAGAGATTGGTTTTCACCTAAATAAAGTTTGACATCATTTCCATGGATTCCAAGATTCCAACTGGTGTAATTATTGCAATAGTCTAATTCTATTGCAATAGTATATCCCGACCAGACCAGAGAGCGTTCTTTTCTTCTTAAAGAGCTACGTCTCGGCCCATTAAAAGAGCGCACCTCTTTCTTAAGCAAACCTCGTCTAAATGTTACGATTTCAACTCGTTTTTCGCCGCATCTCATATTTTGTCTGGGTATCAAATTCACATCCCCCCCATGTGACCCCCCACGTAGTTTCTCATGGTTTTGAATTGAGCAGCTTGGAGCAACAGCTTTAAAATGATCTGCGTTTAAACAGAGTGTATTTCGTCTCTGGGCCAAAAAGGGAAGGGGGGTGAAGAATATGGGGGGAAAATGGAGGGGACTGATATCGGGTTTCAACATATTTTAAAAAAATTCCTTTTTAAAATTTTGTAGCGTCGAAATCAACGCATTCGACGGGGTCTGCGTAAAATCTACGCTATCTGGTCTAGTCGGGATATAGCCATATTTTATGTCCTTGTGAACGTGGCCAAATTTTCTAAAAATGATAATTGAAGGACTATAGATTTTGAGGCGGTTTGGACGAGAACTTTAGAAGAATGCGGCTTGGACGAGAAGTTGTTGTGGCTGGCCTTCCTCCCCTCGATGACCAACACTCAAAGATCTGTCCTAGGTAGAACGTGTGAGCAAGGAGAAGATTATCTCATAGAAATAGAAGGAGATACACTAAGGTTGTTTCCATCATAAAATTGATACTTTGCATTGCAAATATCAGAATTTTAAAAAATGAAGAAATGATATAATTCAAACAAATCAAACAATCAGAGTTTGAAATAATGAAAGGTTTACTCTGTGGGTTTACACCATCGTGTTTCGAAAAAAAATATGGGAACAGAGTTTGATGTTCTTAATTTACACAAATAAAAATGAAAAGGTTACTGTTATTTAGTGTGTATGGTTCCCCAGCTTTACAGTTTATCGAGAGATCTTGGAACAAATCAAAGGCGGAAAAAACTACAACTGGTAAATGAATCTGTAGGGGATTTGATAAAACATTATAATTTTCTCTCTTTACAAGATTTTATATGGCAAACTTTTGTATAGGGGTATTGCTTAACTTTAGAAAATGAACTTGATATTTAGACGACACACTTTTTAATTCAGGGTTAACTTCTTTAAAATGAAGTGTTGTTTATTCCCGCATGATTGAGCTAGGTAAAGCTAAGCTATCCTAAGATTTAGACGGGAAAGGTTGCCGCTAAAAGATTTTACACGTAAATTTTCCACTCTAAATGAATTATTTTGCAAAAACAATTCTATAAAGATATAATCTTTTGAATGTTTTTAGTCCAATTCCACTTTGTGTCCTTCGATGACCTGGTTTCTCTTCTTCCGAAGTTCAGAGAAAATTTTCCAAATGTTGAACATTTCGAATTCACTGAAACTAATGTGAGAAATATGAGCCAAATAAATGCGCTAGCTCTAGTTCAAGGTAAGCCTCATATTTTTTTCGTTGTTTAATTTAAACATTTTTTTATTTCATAAAAACAGGTTAGCATACATATTAAATCATAGGTTATATCATTATTTGTATTTGTTAATTGAGGGCACCTTATAGTGACTTATTTACAAATATTTATTTTACAAGTTCTATAATACTTTTTACTGTTATTACATAAATAATAACAACAACTTCTTAAAATCATTTTAAAACACAGTTTATACATTTTAGTCATATTTTTAATTGAACATAAATCTTACTTCAGAGCAACAAGAAAAGTTGAAATTTTAATCAATAGAAAAATATTTGTAGGCATAACTTCATTGATGATAAACCGTGAGGGTAATCCAATCTACAGTAAACCCTGGAGACAATATGCTATATACAGACTAGAGCACTGGGGATTACTTTATATCAATAACAAAGGAAAAATTGCGACATTTTTAACTAAATCATTTTTTTCAATAATTACAAAAGTTACGTACAAAGGAATTGAGTTTTTGTCACAAACTCTGATTTTCTTATCCCTATATCTTTGCATTTCAATTTCGGAGACCTTAGATATTTCAAACTATGAATTATTTTAGATCAAATAATGATAGTTTGAAATATCAAAGGTTAACACCATCAGGTTGCAAAGATATAGCGATTTGAAAATCAGAATTTGTGGCTAAAACTCAGTTCCTTTTAAGAGGAAAAAAATGAATCGTCTTTTGATCCAACAGAAGTAAGTGATGATGAAATACTGGCAGCAAATGATACATATGGAAGTTTAGGTAGATTTTAAGATACTACTCTAATTAAAAAACTCTTTAAAAAAATTGATTTTACTTTTAAAAAGATAGCATTACAGTTTAAATGTTTTTTTAGGAGAATTGGCAATTATGACTCTTCCCAAGACCAAGATTATAGGATTATTTAGGTAAATTAAAAACATTTTTGTGAACAAAAAATCTGCAAAAGTATTTTATAGTAAACTCTTTATTATATTCATTTTAGAAAACTAGAACTTGGTGAAGTTACTCGGGAAATGACGGCAAATGAAGATTTTCTAGCTACTGTTAAGGATGCAAACGTAAAGGAAATAATCGCGAAGGTGCAGTTTAAAGGATAAATATTTTTTTAACCTAAATTTAAAGATGTTATTCTAAAAACGAAACCCTCTTGTTATTCTAATTGTTAATAAAATTTTCATGATTATTATAATTAGTATTTTTATGAAGGTCATCTCATTTCTAAAAGTAGAAAGGCAGATAAATATATTTAGGAGTCTCTTGAATATGACCCTCAAAGATCTTCTGAACTAGTAAAAGAGAGAGATTCTCTCAGACATATGATAGAACTTGGACATTCGGTATTCCACAAGGTAAAATATTTGTCGTTCAAAAACTTTAGTAATCTTACAAAGACAAGCAGGTATAATTATATTGCTTTCATTAGGATTTAATTACCGTGCCTTGAGATATTCTGTAACGTAATTTTTAGTTGTTGTCAAATTAGCTAGTCTAACATAGATGCTGGTCAGTCAAATATGATCATTGCAATGTGTAAAATCTTGAGACTAGAATAAATTATACCTAAACGAATAAATGATTGTCGCACATCAAGCTCAAAATCTGTTAATTTTTAACTAAATACCATTGTTTGATTGTTTAGTTTGGTAGACTAGAAGACGAATGGAAATGTATTCTTCCAATAGTTATTCATAGAATACTAACCCAGTACCAGGTAAACAAATACATTAAATAAATTTCTTATTTTATTTCTACTTAATTCTGATGCTCCCACATTTTTCCCATGCAATATTTAGCTAAAATAATAATTTGCTTGTTAATATTTTTACACAATTGGAAAGAATAGAAAAGATGGGGCCAAGCGGTGCATCTGGGTCTCCACATTGCTGTTAGAACAGAATTAGAGATTATACGCAAACTTAAATTTTTATTCAAACAGTGTTTAAAAAAATTGAATGTAAACGTTTTTTTAGGATATTCACAGTTATAAGAAGGAAGAGTTAACTAAGCTTGAACAGACTGTTCAAAAGTAGGCTCTGCATTTTTAGATGATTTTTATATGTTTAATAAAGAGATTTTGTTAAATATGTAAAGTTTATATCAATCTTAAGTTTTTCATGGTTTTAGTAAAAAATATGATAATTACAGGATCAGATCGGATATTATCACCACTTAGGGTTAAAAAGCTGTAAATTATTTAAAGGATTATTATGATATGAAAAGTATTCCTCGTAATTCTTAAAGTAATATTTTGAAATCCCCCCAAAAATTCTGAAAATGTGGTTAACATTTTTATTTATTAATCTATTTTTACTTCTACATTTCGAGTCATGTAGCACAAAACTTGTGAGTGAGTTCTGGCACTTTAAAATTTACTGCATTGGTATTTCTTATCTTTTTTTTCGTGCATGTTATGGAATTTCATTAGGATTTCAAAATAATGAAATATAAAAAGATTTTAAAAAATTAAAGGATTACTCAGAAAAACCTAGGGAACTAAACGAATTAAAAGTTGAATTAGAGAGAGAAATGTGCAGCAATTTATGTGGACATGTGAAAAAGAGCAATGCTGGATATTAGAGCTATAGCTTAATACAATTGCATCGTAAGCACTAAACACTGCCCCAAGAAGCCAATTGAAAATCTGATTAGTAGCACGTAGCAATCTTCTAAAACAATTTATTTTCTTAGATACACAAATGTCTGGTTAGGTTTATACGTTTTCAAGGATATTTAGGTCCTGAAAATGAAAATTTCTAAATATTTCACATAAGAATTTTTTTCCACCTTATACTTTTCAAAAAACATGAAGATGAAGATGCTATAAATCTATACAATAGCACCGAGGGATATCAAATTGCAGAATGAATACTCTTGAAATTTATTACTTTTGTTTCTCTTGCAATGTACTAAAAAATATATTTGATACATTAAGAGTTTTAAATCTTAATATTAGTAATATTCATTTTTAATTGAAATTAAACTGTTTTATAATAAAGCTATTAAAAAAGAATCCATGACAGTATGACGCGCTTCCTGACCCAACAATGTTAACAACCTTCATCATTCTTTAAAAATTAAAATAATTCTAAAATGATATAGCCTGGTAAAAGAGTTGGTACTAAACATATTTTGGGGCATTAAACTAATTTTCGGCTACGTCAAAATTAATAAAAATTTAGAAAGGCTTTATTTGGTAAGATAGAAAGCCAGGTAGTATTGGAGATTTAATTTTTTAAAAGTATTTATTATTTAAAAACGATATGTATATAAAGTTTTTGAGATAAATAGAGTCCAAACGTAGTACAAGATAAATGTGTGAACACTTTTCAACACCTATGTTCCAGCTGGCCGCTACCCTTGCAGGCGGTGGTTAATGGGAAAAGGGTGTGTACACTATATAGTACTAAACCTCTTTTACTTTGAAGCTTAGCCTAACATTATAATCATTAAAGTAAATTTAATTTCAATTTATTCATAAAATATTGTTTCGTAAAGTGTATTAATTTTTCACTAATTTAATCTTTATAACAGTTATTTTCTCGCTGGGTCATATCTTGGAGAAATATGATTATTTGATCTGGAATGATCAAGATGTGAATAGGTAGAATCATCTTCAAACTCTTCAAAGTTTTTACCGTATTTATCCTAAATGTATATTAAAAAATATCAATTAATTAAATTAAGGAATTTTTCATCTTGTATTTTTTATTTTGAATGTTAAATTTGTAATTTCCGACATTTGAATATTTGGTACATCAGGTCAGAATTTTAAAAAAATTTATTCTGAAAAGTGTTGTTGGAAATTTTTTTTGAAGTTTTTCAATTAATTTCGTTGTTTAATGCACCCAAGGGGTACAATAAAGAGAGAAATCGGCTCCACATACAACTAAATATGTTTAACCCCACCTATTCTCAAGATAAAATGTATTTTTCTAGGCACGAATATTCGCCCTATAACCCAATCAGCCAAGCTATTTTAACAAATAGACACAAGTGTATTTATACTAATTTTTCTATTGAAATGAGAGAGGTAAAAAAACCTTAAAATCGTTGATTAAACTCCATCTGTTTAGAATATCCCCAGGCTCCTGGTAAACACTTTCTTCGTCCTAGTTATTAATCATTAATTCATAAACATTCATTTATTTATTTATTTTATTTATGATCAATTCATATTCATTATTAAACCTGATTTTGCGGTTTTTCAGGGAAGGGAGAAGACGAATCAGAATTTCTAGATTGTGATCTATTTATATTCTTCTCCGGGTTTCTGAACAGAAAAAAAAACTGAAGGGATCAAACTGAGTTTACCTTAGGCGACAAGTTTAAATTTGAAAATAAATTTAAAATTCGGTGATGGTGATGGACCAAACTCTGTAGAGTAAAAAAAGTAGCATGTCAGTTCCACATTTATTGAAAATATATTTCGGTCTGGGTTGAAATCGTCAGTTCTTGAGATTGTTTCTGTCGCGAAGATTAAAAACAAAAGTAACTTTATTATCAAAGTTTGAGCACTTTTGACAAAAATAACCGATCCACGATTTCGTTACTTTTAATTACTTTAGGTAAAGGAGATGGTTGGTATCTGGACATACGTGTTTTTGAAAAATAAAATTTAGCTGTAAATTTCGACAAACAATAAACAAAATATTTTTCAAAATTTCAATAATTTCAAAAATTTCAATAATAAGAATATTTTTTAATAAACTGTCCTCCCTACAACATCGCCTGTAGATCAATAAGTCATGTCCTACTTACATCCAAAGAGAATAGAATATATATTAGAGTGGAATTTAGAAAATCCCTCGGTATGAATTTTGTCAGTCCCTTTCAGCCTGAAAGGGAGTTCAAAGTGTACAAATCATGTAAATGTTCACAAATTATGTGCAGTAGAGTACATTAATACAGTATGTTCCCTAGACTATCCATTTCAATTTTGAATTTTTAAAGCTGTTAAATAAACTTTATAAAATGAATTAGGTGAATAAAAAACATCATTTGATTTATAGTTATAACGGAAAATCATCGTTTGTAAAGTGAAAGACCTAGAGCGTATGTGAAATGATCATTGGTCAATTATGAAACCAGCCTATTTCATAATTTGGTTTACTTTTAATATTAATTTTAGATTTTTTATGAAATGATGTTCCAGGGCCCAAAAGGTTATATAGCATAAATATGTGAAGTACACCTGCAGTATGGAAACAGTACAACAAAATCACCATTTTACACTTTTTCTAGTAAATTCCACTCTAATATATATTCTATTCTCTTACATCCCATAAAACCAAGGAAGTACATTGGCAGGATTTCGTTGTGCAGTGGAAGTTGAGAAGAACTTTTTTTAAAAGATGTTTCATCAAAATTATATGTGTGTTTTATATCGTAAAGAAATTATTTATTGCGACGACTTTAATACCAGTTTCAGAAATTTGTAAGCACTTTGTTTATTGTCTCAAAGCTTCTTCCTCTTTTCTATTTCTGGGCCGTCTTTTATGGTGAAGTACAAACTGAGTACAAATGTCAAATAAAAAATGAGATTATAATGCGATGTTTGCGCAACTCTAGCAAACAAACACTTTTGCCAAACATTTTTTTTGGAATTAAAAACGTCAATTATTTCCTTGACCAATCGCACAAATTCTTATTTTTTAGAAAATTTATGAAAGAAATGCATCTTAATGTAAAATCAAGCATTTATTAATTTTAAAAATTCTAAAGTGGAGATTTTATTTTTGGCCTTCAATCAAAAAAACTAAAAATACTTATTTGACACCCTTGCCATATTATTTGTAGTTATTCCACAAATGTAAAGTTTTATTTAAATAACGAGACTACAGTTAAGGAAAATAACAATTACAAAAAATGTACCAGACAAAACCATACCTGTTATTCACAATATACAATGGATTATCTATTCCCTTGTTTGAACTGGTGGAAGAATCCAAGTTGTTCAGGGGCATCTCAGGCATACTAAAACATGGGAAACACTTCATAAGTTTATAGTTAGTCATAATCATAAACCTTCTCAAGAACTTTAAAGAGTTTTCTATATAAAAGAATTTCTAGGTTGAGCTTTTCCTAATATGTCAGAGGAAATAAGTTTTTATTTACCTTAGTTGGGGGATTTCCGGTAGAGGTTCAGGGTTGAAGACATCAGCATCAGGAAACATATTTGTTATTCCTTGTCTATCAAATATCATTTATATATTACGTCTAAATATTTTCAAATAGTCAAACAAAAATTCTTATAAATCTTTATTTGTAACTAGCTGTGCATCTCAACAAAATGCATTTCAAGTTTTAAAATTTACTTTCCTATTCTTAAACTGAACCATATTACATCATTAAATTAAATTTAAATTAATATTATTTTCAAACTGGCAATACTTATCGAAATGATTTCCTGTTTTCTAAATCAGATCTTAATCTTTGTATTCGCCGCTTGTAGTAGATAACCATTAGAATCAGAACAAACAAACCGAACCCGAGCACTCCGCACACTGAAATATTTTAACTGGAGACAAAAATAATACGTCCTATATATTTCAAGTTCAACTTGCAACTTATTAAAGGAAGTGACCGGCAATGTATGGTAGTTGAACTGAGAATGTAGTATAGTGGAGAATTTTTTTAGTATTCATTTTAGACATATAAAACGTTTTAATGATGTATAATTACGAAGTTTGAGAAAGGACTTTCAAAATCATCCATTTGGGTGGTTACCTTTTAAGAATCAATTATTTATTTTTCGTCATTAAATTGGATTTCTTATTCTTTACGATTTTGTTCGCAGATTTCTTCAAATTCTTAAAATGTCGTGTTTTCAATTAATAAAAATTCTAGGAAATCTACAGAACATGTTAAAGAACAATGAGACATCACAGAAACCAATGACTAAATAAGATTTCTTAATTTCGATGATAAGAATTAATTTGATTTTCTCAACCTGTTTCTTAACAACTAAATAGTTTATTGTAGAATTGTTGTTACATTTTTTTACGTCGTTATTGAATAATTTTTTAAAAACCGATTCTCAAAATCACACATCTAAAATGGACAATCTATGAAGATTTTACAGATTGAATTGACGCTCTCTGAATAAATCTGCACCCTAAAAACGTATAATATGTCTCAAATAAATCCTTTAAAAAATTCTCCACAATACTACATTCTTAGTTCAACTAATACCGTACATTGCCATTGAAAATGTGCAAATCAATAATCATTCCACGTTCTATATTCATTTTTAATCCTCTTAAGAATTATTTACAGCTAGCTGTCAACACATGCTATATAGTGTATTGTTCAATTAATAATTTATCAGTTTAAAATTTTATGAAGCTTGATTCTTGAAAAAAACTTGAAAAAATTTAAGAATACCCTTACCTGCAATGATAATTCTCGAGTGTCCTGTTCCTTCGGTAAGCAAACCAATCTCTACCTTAAAAGAATGACTTTTCACCTATTTAAATATTTGCATATTTCGATATTTTTTGGAATTAAGAATGTCCTTCAGGGCAAGAATTATAAATTCTTTCTCTCAAAATAATAATATGGTTTCACCAGAAAAACCTTGTTTCTAAATTGCATAAATAATTCTTAACATTATTATTATTTCCATTGCCTACTATGATATCGCAATGAGTTATCTGTTTAAAAAAGGGTCCCTTATTCAAAACAACCAGCTATGGTTAGATTAGTAAGGAAAAATATTTGTATTATCCTCTTGTGGAAGACGATGCCTGGCCGCCTTAAACAAGTTCCACAAGATTCAACGGAATGAGATAGAACGAATACGGGGCATTGTACTGACGGACGGTCTAACACGTGTGATACTGATATAGACTCATGTTCTGAACCCTCTAGTAATAAGTTATAAGAAATATAGATACTGGAAGTACTTTATGCGTTTTTATTAGAGTCTGACTCTCGTCCTCTATACTCTTATGATTATTAAGCCAAAATATATATCTATCTATCAAACATGTATTTTCGAAACAATTTCATTAGAAATAAACGGAAAATGTTTTTAAAAAATTACGAAATGAACATCAAAATGGATTTTCTGACAAAAAGGATATTATTTATACGACAGAATCCGGTCCTCCTCAACATTAATGAGGATTAAAATCCAATTTGTTTGTTCTTCCCCAAAAAATATGGGTAAATTATGTGTTACTTTTAATACGTAAACAATCCATTTCTTGGTATACAATAAATGTAAAATCCGTAATATGATACCAATTTTTAATCTGTATGTTGTATTGCTGTATTTCTAACCCCTATATCTTTGCAACCCAATGTCGTACACCTTAGATATTTCAATTGCTTAACCTGTTGATCTGGTTCCTCTATACCGCAGTCTATATCCTGGCGACATATACAACCCAACAACAGATCACAGATATACAGATCATTGGGACATTCACACTCTGTACCATTCATACTGTAACAATATTAATTATTCACACTCTGTACCATTCATACTGTAACAATATTAATTATGGAAAACAGCTTGTTTCGGCAACACAACTAATAAACAACTTTTCATTGATCCGATGAACTCAACTAAAATTTTTTTTAAAAAGTATTGTTAAAACACAATACACACACACAAAATCAAGCATAAAAGCATGGAAAATTAAATTTGTTGTTAAAATCGTTATTTACCAATGCTTTTCTGCTTATTGCATCGTAAATCTATAGCGTTTTCCTGGATGACTTTATACTCTGTGAAATTTACGCATCGAAAATTTTGAAGATTGAAGGGGTTGGATTTCATTCGATTATTCATTCAAATATCTGAAAGAAAGATATGAGTTAAGTAACCTGAGACAGGTACCGTCCTGGTATCCAAACGGACAATATGTTTCACAGAGGGGTCCGAAATAGTTTGCTGAACAGTAGCACGTTCCTTCTATGTGCGAACATAGAGCTGTTCCATTCTGGGAACAGGAACAGGAACTGGAGCAGTTGGAACCATAACTTCCTGACGGGCAGGGTAGACACTCCCCTAATTAATAAAGGATTAATAATAATTTGCATTATGCTAATTTGTAGGTGGATTTTAAAAGAGCAAATAAAAATTGTGTTAGGAACTTAGATATTACTTTTTTATAACAAGTTGTGGTAATTAAACATTGTTAATCCATACAAAAATCAATGAAGCTTAGTTTTTTAGTCCTGCGGATTAAATTCCATTTAGTCAGCAACCACACCAAAAAAATTTCGGTCTTTGAGAAATGTAAAAAATACGAGTCAACTGATATTACTGAGAATCGCTTTAAATTCAAAGTTTCCGTAGTTCCTAGCTCTGCCCTTTTTCGGACACGTTTTATGTAATAAAGTTTGACCTGTAATATAATGAGTAGAATACCCAGTGCTACAGTTGTTTTTGCCAGTACATCCTAAACCATAGGATCCAGGAGAACATTTATCCAGACAGTTCGGTCCTTGGAATCCAGGGGGACAGATACACAAACCAGATAGAGGATCACAACTAGATCCTTCACAATACAGATTAAACAGATAGAGGATCACAACTAGATCCTTCACAATACAGATTAAACAGATAGAGGATCACAACTAGATCCTTCACAATACAGATTAAACAGATGGAGGATCACAACTAGATCCTTCACAATACAGATATAACAGATCGAGGATCACAGATAATCGTTCACAATACAGATATAACAGATCGAGGATCACAGCTAGACCACAATTGATCTTTCAAAGCACTAACTTAACAAATAGAACACAATTTCTCATGATTATTCTGATGTTTACAAAACGTAAATTAAAATATTTTACCCGGTGCAGTACATTTGCAATTCATTTGGCATCCTTTCCCCCATTTATTTGGAGGACAACCGATTTCCTGAAAATTTTGTAACGTGATAAAATTCTAAAATATATTTCTTTAAAAATGCACAAATATTTCTTAAGACTAGTTTACTCACAGTAACAATTGGAATCACAGACAGGAGATAAAACACAAAATAAACTTAATTTATGGTTTACTTGCTTATACATATAAAGGTATTTCAGACGTTGTCAAAATAATTGAAACAAAATGTCAAAATGTTCATTAAAGATTAAAACAACCGCTAAATGTCTATTCAAAACGTTCCTTTTGAATTAAAGTTTGTATCTTAAGTCTACTAAACGAAATGAAGCAAACCTGAGTTTAATTGCGTTATGCCTAAATTCACCTGACAAGAACCACCACTATACCCGGCTTCGCAGTCACAGGTCTCAGAAGATACACAAGCTCCATGTACACACGGTGTACTGCATACTGGTGTACAATTACCAACCTGAAAAGAAAAACGAATAAAATTGTAGGAGTACTGGTTACCTATATTTAGTACAGAAGGAGCACTGGTATTCCTGTATATACAGTACAGTAGGAGTACTGCATCTTCCTTTATATATACAGTACAGAAGGAGCACTGGTCTTCCTGTATATACAGTACAGAAGGAGCACTGGTATTCCTGTATATACAGTACAGTAGGAGTACTGCATCTTCCTGTATATACAGTACAGAAGGAGCACTGGTATTCCTGTATATACAGTACAGTAGGAGTACTGCATCTTCCTGTATATACAGTACAGAAGGAGCACTGGTCTTCCTGTATATACAGTACAGAAGGAGCACTGGTATTCCTGTATATACAGTACAGTAGGAGTACTGCATCTTCCTGTATATACAGTACAGAAGGAGCACTGGTCTTCCTGTATATACAGTACAGAAGGAGTACTGCATCTACCTGTATATACAATACAGTAGGAGTACTGGTCTACATGTATAAGCAGTACAGTAGGAGTACTGGTCTACCTGTCTATGCAGTACAGTAGGAGTACTGGTCCACCTGTATATACAGTACAGTAGGAGTACTGGTATACCTGTACATACAGTACAGTAGGAGTGCTGGTCTATCTGTATATACAGTACGGTAGGAGTACTGGTCTACCTGTATATACAGTACAGTAGGAGTACTGGTTTACCTGTATATGCAGTACAGTATGAGTACTGGTCTACCTGTATATACAGTACAGTATGAGTACTGGTCTACCTGTATATACAGTACAGTATGAGTGCTGGTCTACCTGTATATACAGTACAGTATGAGTACTGGTCTACCTGTATATACAGTACAGTAGGAGTACTTTTCTACCTGTATATACCGTACAGTATGAGTACTGGTCTACCTGTATATGCAGTACAGTAGGAGTACTGGTCTACCTGTATATACAGTACAGTAGGAGTACTGGTCTACCTGTATATTCAGTACAGTATGAGTACTGATCTACCTGTATATACAGTACAGTATGATTTTGTCTACCTGTATATACAATACAGTATGAGTACTGGTCTACCTGTATATACAGTACAGTATGAGTACTGGTCTACCTGTATATACAGTACAGTATGAGTACTGGTCTACCTGTATATGCAGTACAGTATGAGTACTGGTCTACCTGTATATACAGTACAGTAGCTGGTCTACCTGTATATACAGTACAGTATGAGTACTGGTCTACCTGAATATACAGTACAGTATGAGTGCTGGTCTATCTGTCCTATATATCCAGTACAGCAGGTGGGCTGGTTTACCTGTATATACAGTACAGTATGAGTACTGGTCTACCTGTCCTATATATCCAGGACAGCAGGTGGGCTGGTTTACTACTCTGGTGATATTTTCCACTGTTATCTCAGTTTTCCAAGTGGTTTTTTCTATTTCACATCTGGTAAAAAAAATCTTTAGTATTTTTTGTCACATCAAATAACACATCTGATAATAATGATAAAAGTATTCCCCGCAGCATTTTTTATATTCATTAATATTTCAAACATCAAAAAGTTAAAGAGGTACGCGAGGCGCCTAGAATTTCTTAATCAAATTATGCTAATTCTTCTGTAATACCTGAGTGACCAGGACCAGCACCATTCCTGTTCTATTGTTTTAATTGGTACAAGATGGGATACATTAGTAGGGGTGGTTACTACATCCTTTATGTAGCAGACCTAAGTAAAAAACAATCGAAAAAGGTCAACTTAATAGGTCAAAGAGCAGAGAGGAGTGTTTTACAGCCCAAATTGCTCGAGGGAACACGAGGTAGAGTAATATTTTTTTATTTTGACGAAAAGGTAGTTTCATGTCAAATTAGATTGTACTAAACAATTTTTGAAATTTTGATAAAATCCTCTGTAAGTTAACTAAAAAAGCTACATACCTCGTCCACTTTATTCATTTGTACGCGTTGGACGCTCAAAATTAGCGGAATAATTGCTAAAATAATGAAAGGATCAGCTATTTAATTAAAATACCCTTCTTACTCTTAGTGCCCTTAATCTAGACCTAGAGGGAGGACAAATAATTGATATAGTATTATGGTCCCGAACTTTTAACTAGAAATGTCATAAGAAGAAGAAAAACGTCTCAAAAAAAGTATTGACTAAAATTAAAAATAGAAACCCATGTTAGTTTGATAAATTCCGATAGTATTATGTGATTAAGACGCCAGTTTTAATTAATTACCTGTTAGGACTTTCCTGATTTCGAATACATTCTCCATCTCACGCATTTCATAAATGTAAATATTTATATTCCTACCAAAAAGCTATTTATGCTAAGATTATCTAATCTTTTAATTAATTAATTAATTAATCCTTTATTACTGGCTTTAATTAGATCTTTTAGTAAGAATTCATTTTCAACAAAAAATAATTATTATTTCATGAAATGACTTTGAACAAACGCTTGTAGGGACTGTAAGTGTAATTGTAAGTGACCGTCGATTTGTAGAAGTTTCCCTGATTTAAAACAATACCCGTTATCCTTAATAATCGTTCATAAAAGCTTGTAATTGTTAAACACATGTTTTAGTATTCAGAAATTTATAATAAGCTTTTGGCGTGCTATAAGTTTAAAGGAAAAGAGTTACTCAACGATTAACTTTATTTAAAAACTTAACTTAACTCGTAAAATAATTGAATATATAACACATGATTTTATATCAGCTGATCTGGAAACTCCTCCTTGGATTTCTCTAGAATATTCAGGAAGACGATATTCATATCCGCCACAAGCTATCTATTAACTTTCAAGTTTTTCACAAATAAAAATAAATTAAAATTGATATCTAATTTATACTTGATCAGGCAAAGTTTTCGATCGGCATTGCTAACTTTGCTTGGATTGCGCTTACAGTCCCTTTAACGTCTCCTGCTTTGTGTGTTATAGATCAGATTTAATTTTTTAATTCATAAAACAAGGACAAGTTTCTCTTCTCACAAATTATTAAATCTATTAAAAAAGGAAGATTTTTATTTTTAAAATATTTGATGTCATTATTATTTTAAGTATTATTTTTTTCAGAAATATAACGGAACACTTTACACCGAAAGATTCATGCAAGTCAGATGTAGATTCAATAGATTTTATCGTAAAATAATATTACGTAATGACTCACTGGCACTTATTGTAAAGTAAAACTAGCTAGTTAACTGGCTCTAGGATATACAAGTGTTCCCAACAATTATATTCAACTGTTGTATTCAGAAAGCCCATATAGCTACAGAGGAATAAAGGCGGGGATGATGACAAAAAATACAAATTTTTCCTTAAGTTTAGAAAAAAAGATTTTTCTCACAAATCAAACTCTGCAGCAAAATTCCGATTTTTCTTTGTCAAAAATCTTGGGAAAATATTGACAATTCTAAACTTATTGAAATTAAAATATAATAGTTATTTTACAAAATAGCATTTCATTCATGCAGCTGTAGTCTTATATTGACATACCTTTATCTTTATCTTAAATATTCTTTGTTTTTCAGTATTGTGAAATTTAAATGGTGGATTTTGTTTAGATGTTTATTGGAGCAAATGGTTGCAAACTATTACATATTAAAGATTTTCTCCTAAAAATTCTATGTAGATTTCTACATACATTTTAACCACAAGATGCAACAATCTTCATCATCAAAATGTACAATGTACAATTGTAAATGCAAAAACCAGCGGGCCTATTTATTGGTTAGAGCATAAGATTGGAGAACATTTATTATTAACAATGTTTTGGGAAAGGAATTGAGTCTTTGCCACAAATCTGATTTTATAATCCCTATAATTTTGCCACCAAATGTCGTAGACCTTAGATATTTCAAGCTGTTAATTCTGTCAGATCAAATAATCTAAGTTTGAAACTTCAAAGGTTTACATTATTAGGTTGCAAAAATATAAGGATGAGAAAATTTAAGTTTGTGGCAAATAATAAGTTCTTTGTTCTCCCACAAAGCACTACAAAATAAGGATTAAAATCTAATAGTCACTAGTAGAGCAGGATTGGTAATTACAAAGTAGGTCGGATAATGCTAAGCGTGTGTGCCAAAAGTTTATCCTCCACCTGAGGCTAATCCTCAAGTACGCCCCTGCGTGTTATAGATCAAGTTGAAGCACTTCACTTGTTGTAGAAATAAGGCACTCATTTTCCTACCCAAGAGGACAAGAAAATAAACAACTAATGTTCCAGGTGTTTTTTCAGTAGCAAAATAAAAATTATTTGAACATTTGTTCTGTTGGTTATTTTAGTTTAATACACATTAAATAAAAATTAGACAAAAAAATTAGGAAATCCAAAGCAGTTTGAAAGAAAGGCGTAATATGGGTCACTTAAATATCAAAATAAGCAGTAAGTTTATTTAAGCTTATTTACAAAGAAACAAATTTTGTATTTGTTAATGAAAATGCCTGGGGCAAACATGGGTTTATTCTTTTATGTTATAAAGTTACAAAATAGATAACTTGTTTTTTATATTCACATTTTTAAAATTACAGGACTAGGGTTATTTTGTATTTAGTTGTTTGTTTAAAAAAAACATAAAAATAAGGCAGACAAATAAATGTCGCAAATAATTTCAAAGATCAGAAACGATTTTCAATTCGTCTCTCAATTGTCAAGAAATTCCGCGTCTTTTTGAATATCACTAAACAAAAATTTAAATTGTCCAGGTGTTTCACAAAGGTGTTTATTAAAAAACTTTTATCACAATTTATACATAAAATATAAAAATGAAGCTCACATACACACTTTTCATGCAATTTTTTTCCGAAAAAATTACCGAAATTTAAAAATGTAGAACCAAATTTTTCTAATTGTTTACAATTTCTGCATCTTAATTGTAATACAATTTTGTTAAAAATAAATATTAACATAACAAATATTAATTATCACATTGATTAGGCATTATTCACAATTCTTCAGGGACTGGTAAATCAAGTAGCTCAAGCCTAAAAATCGATCATCATTAATCAATCAAAAGTCTTCATCTAAATAAAAATGTCCCTGCGTGGTATCAGTTAACAAAAAAGTTATTTGCTAACAGCAATGTTTATTTATTCCCCCCTCGTGAGAGAAGGCTGCCGAACATGGAAAAATGAAACTGTTTTTAAAAAAGGGCTTTAATCAGAAAAGCTAAACAAATTCTTCCAATGAAACATTCGATCAAATTACTATTTTGGGATTCTGGGGATTTATGAAGCATTTTTAATAAATCCCATCCCATCCCATCAGAAGAGAAGGAAACATACTCATATTCATATTGAAAATAAGATCTCTATGTAATATTTAAACATTTCGTTTAAATATGTAATACCTAAGTCTCAAAATCTCCATATTCGCCTCGTTTAATTCAACAGACTTTTTATCCAACTCTAGCTTTAATTCACTGAACAGGAAAATTTAGTGGAGTTTAATTTTACAAAGGAACTGAATTTTTGCCACAAACTCAAATTTTCAAATATCCCTGAAGGTGTAAACCATTAATATTTTAAACTTAGACTTTTTGATCTAACAGAATTCATAGTTTTGAATATCAAAGGTCTAAACCATTGGGTTGCAGAAATATATAGGAATTAGAAAATAAGGGTTTGTGATAACATTCCTCAAAAAAAATTGTAGTTTTTTTATAAATGGTTAAATTTATTTTTAATATAGATCTTTATATAAGTTTTGTTTCCTACCTGTTTTCTTTACTTTAGATTAATTTTATAAAGCTTATAATTTGGATAAATGTTTGTTTTCCATTTTTATAAATAATTGTATTTGTATTCAACAAATTGCTTATAAAAGGGTTAAATAGGAATAAAAAGTCAATTACTTGAATTGATTTAAAGCTGCTTATTTAGTCCATGATGAATATTTAGATATAAGAATACAAAATTACAATAGTAATAGAACTATTAATAGAACTAAAGTGTAAAACGGGTACTTAAATGCGAACATTATTTGCAAAGGTTTGAATTAAAAGAAAAATTTTAATTGTTCATTAAAAACTTTATTCCTAAGATCATCTTCTCTTTCTACTCCCTCTTTTCTCTCTGCAACCATTGATATTGAGTCCTCTAGAACTGCTAACTTTTCCTAATTTTCAGATTTTTCTTTTCTTAACAGGATTACCCAGAATTGTTTTTAAAGTTTAAAAGATAAAAAATATTATGATTGTCACTCAGTAACAATTGTTTATTTACGTTGTGAAAAGTGAACTGGCAAGCCAAGTAAAGAAAAAAACATTTAACTTTAGTCAATAAAACAATTAACAAAAAAACTTCGGTGAATAAGAAGTTAAAATATTGTCTCAAAATCATTACTATCAATAAAAATAATAATTTAACGTTAAGAAGTTGAAATATATTAAAGTTTTTACTATTTGACCTGTAAAGCTGCATGCAGTTTGTATTGCAGCTCTCTATTTCTCTGTCGTAGTGCAAGGTTTTCTTGACGAATTTTTGTTGCTCCCCCCTCACAGACCTTTTGAAAGATTATTATAAGTGAATTTAAGATACTTTTGAATAATATGTTAAAAATAAAATTAAATGTAATTCAAGTTCATATATACGATATCAGACATATTGAATTAATAATACTTTAACGTATTTAAAGAATATTAAAAAATATGCTTTTGTTTTCATCGGTAAGAAAATAAAAAGGCAGCAATTTAAAAGTGTTTACCTCAAGTTTAACGGTGTAGGAGAAATAGTTTCCACAAACTGACAAATACTTCATATTTCATATTATTTTTTACTACACTAATGTAAAGGTTAGAAGAAAAAGAAAGATAAACTAATGACCTATGATGTCTCTAGGTTCACTGTACTTTTCAAAAACTTAAATTTTAGATCTTAGTTTGGTTTAAAAAATGACTTTTATAAAGAAATATTATGTTCCAGGCAAAGCTGGGTTCACAGACTGGTTTTTATGATAAAAGAAATTAAATCTGGGAGCATATGAGGGTTTAAAATTAACAGCGTGTTTAAATTTACGTCTTTAATTTGGCATAATACGGTTTTTGAAACAATTGACTTTATATACTAAAAAGAAATACTAAGAAGTCAGATGAAAATATATAAACTTGTATTAAAAAAGAAAATGAAAATTTCAAAGAATGGAAATATTCCTATTAGAATTAGTGAGGTCCCAAAAACTATAGACCAGGGAGGAGGATATACTGTACTACTTCTCTCATTCTCTGGATAACTGGACTTTTTTATTTATATGTTTAGAAGGATTTGTCGGATATTTATGAAAAGAAATAACTAACTCTAAAATCGTAACTTAGTTCAAAATATTTAGTTAAGCAGTTTGCCTGGAGCAACTATAGTGTCGTTAATAAATACATGAAATACTTTAATCTTTTTTTGCAAATAAAATTCAGTTTAGTACTAAGAAAGCCACCTATAAAGTCATATTGTTAAAAGTAAAAAGGAATTGAGTTTTTGTCACAAACTCTGACAACCCAATTTCGTAGACTTAAGATATTTCAAACTATCAATTCTATTAGATCAAATTAATCTAAGTTTGAAATATCAAAGATTTACATGATCAGGCTGAAAATATATAAGGGAGATGAACATTTGAGTCTGTTGCAAAGATTTAATTCCTTTCATAATAATACATCTTTCAAGAGCTGTCGTAGAGTGAGAACCAGAAAACACTGGAGAAAGAAGAACGTAAACAATATTTAAGTATAATTAATGTTGTTATAACGCAAATAGTTTTACTACAGTAGCTTCAAAATCGCTAAATAAATGAAATAATTTATAAACACTGCTCAGTTGATCGTTGTCAAGGTTATGAGACAACTTAAAATAATATCTAAAAGTCAGTTCAATACTTCTCAACTGTAGATTTTTAGGTTTAGAAAGTTAGCAAAACTATTAACAGTAAATAATGAATAACCTTCCTTAATTTCTCTAAAAGTTGAACTTGCCTTCTATGCTTCATTTTCTTTTAGAATTTGTCCTAAAAAATCAGAGTGTACAATTCGTTAAGAAAACTTTTAACACTTAATTTTAAAATTTTAAAGTTTTTTTTTCTTCAAAATATGGTTTCTTTTCATAAAAAGCTTAAATGTATGTGAGGGTAAAGATCGAATATATCACACTTTCGTGCGTCCTCATTATTGCGGTCCTTTTTACCAATTATAAATGTTTCGTAAGTAGAAGATAAAATGGATTGTATTCAGGCAATATATCCGAGGGAAGGTGGATGGAAGCAATTTAGGGGATTATTAGTTTTGTTTCTGATGTGTTTCAATATTTTAACTTTTTAAAATTTTTAAAAATCTTTTTTCAAAAATTTAAAAGAATCTAGTTTTACTGTTGAATCTTTTCAATAATTTAATGAACCCCATAGCTGGATAAATTAACACGTTTCAATTTTATTCTATTCTATTATTACGCCCGGTATAGTAGTATCTCGCCTTCGGACCGATGATAAAGAAAACCTCTGAGTATAGTAGACTGTACTTTTTATGAAGTTATGTACGTATTTTTAATATTTACCTTATTCTAAATATGTTCCCAGTGTACGTATCAAAACATCAACACTGACTATATTTAAATTCGAAATCTTTAACTAGTACTGTCAGCAATGTGTTCTAAGAAACTGAAAACTGTAGATAGTCGGTTAAGATCCAATTTCAATCCAAACACTTCTAAATATTTCAGCGGACTTTATCATAGGGTTAGTTTAAGTTAAAGATAAATTAGAATAAATCATAAATTCATCCTAAATCTTATAGTAAAATCCGAAAAGATTTGTTTATACTAAAGTTAAATGATTTGAGTCTTTGCCACAAACTCTGAATTTCTAATCCTTATATCTTTACAACCGTCGTGGGCTGAGACATTTCAAACTATGGTTTCTGTAAGATCAAATGATCTAAGTTTGAAATATCAAAGGTTTGCATCATCAATTCGCAAATATATAGGGAATTGAAAATTTTAGTTTGTGGCAAAGAATCAATTCCTTTGTCATAAATTTTCTAATACCTATATATTAAACCTTCTTCTTAACATCTTTATAAAGGTTTAACATTTACAATGACACATAAATGTTAAACATTTTTAATATAAAAAAATTTACGTTTACTGTATAAAAATCCTCAAACTTGTTTATTTTTCTGTTTTTAGAACAGATTTTTATTTGGATATCAAAATATTTGGATATCAAAATAAAGATTTTTGTCATTTAAATTGTTAAAAGGGCGAATTAAATTACAATGTGTAAATATATGGTTGTTTAAGAACAAGAAAGCAGTAGGCCCATGGATACAGAGGTCACAATACAACTTTTAAACATTCCCTGGATTCTTTCAGTTTTAAAACCAACACGGACACAAATATATTAGATTTTAAACTCTAAAATAATTTCCATGAAATCGAAAAAACATGCTGTGCAACATTTTAGCAGTTCTCAAAATATCTATGCATGCATGGTTAAAGTGAATAGAGATTAGTCAAAAAATGCAAAACATTGAAGAATAATGACTCCCCTTAACCTTGCAATATTTTCTTCAGGTAATTATGAAAATGGAAAACGGTCAAAGGCTTCACATGTGAATCCTTAAAAATATAGACATCCCTTAAATTTTTTAAACCAACGAATATTTTAGCTATTTGATGTTTACTGTTTATGAAGAAAAAAGGACAATTTTAATTAATCGCTTTTGAGTGGGTTTTACATAGACTGGAAATAAGTAGGAAACCATTTAGATCTATAAGATGTAATATTATTACAATGATTCTTATTTTCAAAAGAGTCTATTATTTACAAAAGAAGAAGTTGGCTTGTTTTATTTAGTTAATATTTAGTTAATTCGCCTGAGGGCATGGTGAACACTGATAATTCTAGAATACGGCCTCGCCTTTCAAATCTAAGGGAACTGGGCTTTTGCCACAAACTCTGATTTTAAAATGCCAATATATTTGCAACAGAATGTCCCCGACATCTATATATATACTTTGCTTGTCTGCTTGTCTGGGTGGGTGTCTGTTTGTTTGTGTCCAATAAACATACTAACGGCTGAACCGATCTGGCCCAAATATTTTGTGGGACATCGCGTGACGGTTTATGGATGATAGAATTTTCAAAAAATTTGCCTCCATCAATTTTTTTTTTAATTTTGAATGTCCACGAATTTTTTTTTTATAAAATACGCGAGATTTTTTGTTTGTTTCTGTTTTACAATGTACACAAAGGAACATGTTCACATGGAAATAGAAAATGGGCGCGAAGCGCCCTAAAAGCCTAGTCTATATATTTTTATATACATTGCTTGTCTCTCTGTCTGTTTTTTAGTCAAAATCTCGTGTGATGATCAAATTTTCTAAAATTTGCCTCTAACAAAATTTTAAAAATCCACAAAATATTTTTTATAAAATCCGCGAATATTTTGTCTTGTTTTTGTTTTACAATGCATACAAAGAGAACATGTTCCCAATTGCAATAGAAGATGGGCGCGAAGCACCATATAAGTCTAGTTATTTATATTTCTGTTTATGAATTCCCTAAGATCAAATAGTTTAAGTTTGAAATATCAAAGGTTTACAATATCAGGTTGCAAAGTATAAGGATTTGAAAATTTGAGTTTGTGGCAAAAACTCATTTTCTTTGAAAAGAAAGAAGAAAAAGGATTAAGACAGATTAAAAATTTTAGTAGGTGCAGTGGCTGCAGTTTGTTTACTGATATTTATAGGAGTTCTTGTAGCACATTACAAGCCAGGTATTTTAATGTTAATGTTAAAGTTATTCTTTACTTTTTGAGTAAGATTTTACCAGTCATGTTTTATCATATTATGTACATAATACAAAAAGATGAACATCACTGTTATTCTTTTTTTAAAGCATATATTACGTATTTGTACAAAAATGGCATAAAAAAGTAAATTTAAAATTAATGTTTGCATTGAAATACATATTGTCCGATGAAGGGCTCTTACATCTTCCACTCTGCACCCCGCTATAACCCCCTTTTTCAATGTCTTTCTTGTCATTTTTATTAAGGTTTATTTTTGTATCTAAATAAACTTAAGAAGCCATTAGATGTTAGATCAGCCATTCAAACTTTAGATAGGGGTTTCCTCCTCTTTAATAATCACAACACTCCTGCGGGCCTACAATCACAATCACAATCAATATGCCATTATTATTTTTAGTTTGCACTTTTAATCCGTGGGAAGAAGCTAGGTTAGCTCTTTCAAAGGAATTGAGTCTTTGCCACAAACTCTGATTTTCTAATCACCATATCTTTGAAACCAAACGTTGCAGACCTTAGATATTTCAAACTATGAATTCTGTTAGATCAAATAATCTAAGTTTGAAATATCAAAGGTTTACAACATCGAGTTCTAAAGATATTGAAGTTTAAATATTTGATTTTGTTCCAAAGACTCAATTCCTTTTGGGTCAAATAATAGTTCTTTTCCTTTATACAACAGTTTAATCATATCTAAGAATACATTTTTGACATTGGACTTATCTTCTTGTTTGCATTTCTGGTTCAAAATAAAACAAATGAAATACTTATTTAAAGATGTAATTTGAGTCAATTTTAGATCTTTGCCAGAGTTTAAAGCTACCTAAAACTAACACCTCAGAAGTACAAGTTTTAACTCCAGTCAGCATGATATCTCCTAAACCCCCATCCAGGTACATACAAAATTCAAAATATCAAATTAAGGCAAATTAAATATTTAAGAATAATCAATTAGAATAATTTAATGAAGTAATAAGGATGAATGACAATAGATACAAATTAAATATTGGTTGAGATATGAAACGATTGATAAAAATCGGAATCCACGCAGAACCTAAAAATGCAGCCATATTAAATTTATTCAGAACTTTTTTCATATCATACACAATCTTTCATAGCTAAAGTTTCCTTTGGACAAAATACTTTTAGTTAAATTTAACAATAAGTATTTTGGCAAATTTTTCTTTCTGCAGAATTCCACATTTATTTTTAATATGTTTTAGAAGTACATTTATTGTTTCTAGTAGTATATACATGATAAATAACGAGTTTATGAAAGGAGAGGAAGTTTAGTAGGTCTTCTCTGGTTCCAGAATCCGAAACTACTGATTTGCAGATTTTATAATACTCGTTCGGGGTTTTCTTCCTCTACAGTGTTGATATATCTACATATTATTAGGAATGTAAGTACTGCTGGACCCAAAAAGTATATTACGCTTGAGGAGCATCTTCAAATGTTCGATAGTCCTGAAAGGACAGGTCAGTATAGAAAACTTCTCACATTTTCAGTTTTAAAATATAACTTAACCCCCCCCCCCCCGAATGGCGAAAGACCTAAGCTAAAGCTTAAATAATGTCTACCCAGTTTTATGCGGAAAGAAAGAATATTCTAAACACCTTCTTCGAAGTTCAAATTTTTATACAACAGTTCTTGGAGAAAGAGAGGAGAAAACTGGTATGACGTTGGAGTTTATGCCAGAGGATAATACAATTATACAGGTTCCTTTACCTTCCACAACTTTTATCATGATTCATTTTGTCATTTGTCACTATTCCAGTCTTACGTGTAAGCATATTTTGAACGTCTTTTTCAGATTTTAAAAGAAAAGAAAATTTATAAAGTTAAAAAAATAGTATCAAGATATCTAAAGGTCGAAAATTAAATGAAAATCTATGCTGAAATATAATAAAGTGCTTCATTGAATATATATGTATATACGTTTATTGCCATTAAATAAAATTTTAGGTTGAAGGTACGCTCAATCGAATAACAAGAATTTTAAGGTAAGGTATCTGATGTAGGTAAAAACATGAAGTGAGACGCTTTTTTCATTTCACTTGCTGATATTTTTTCTTCAATATGTTTATAGATGAGACTAAAATTTAGCCGTATTTACATGATAAATCATCAGTGACTGAAAAATTGTCAGAATGATGCCATTTAGCAAGTATTTCAACTCAAATTTTTAGATTTTTGTATGATCTTCAATTTCTTAGTCCTTAAAAAGTTAACTAAATTAAATAAATAGCTGAGTTCTCTGAATAGCATATGGTTGATTTGTTTAGAGAAAAAAAACGATGATGTTTATAATTTAAAATTATAATTAAAATTTAAATTATAATTTACAAAAAAATCCACGTTTTTAGAACTAAGATATTTATTGNACAAAATTCAGCAATAAATTATGTCTCAGCATCCCAATTTTACAATACACATTGGAGAACTCTTTCAAGTAAGTTATTGACAGTAGAATTTTGTAATTTTCTTTTGTAATTTTGTAATTTACAACTAAATAATATCTAAAAATTAACATTACAAAAATACATCTGTACGTTGCAACAGCTACAAATTACATATTCATAGTTTTCTGGTTCTCACTGTACAATTGGTAATTTCTGGATTTTTACGAGTAACAATAAAAACCTTGATTTTTAAACAGCCAGTAAACACTACACAGTCAGTTGCCCTGTTCGAGTTATTTATAAAGATCTACATAGTTGTGAAAATTATTGAATAATCAGGATAAAGTCTTGATTTATGTTGTTCCTCTCCATCACATGGTGTTTGACGAGATCAAGGACTACATCAAGCAGAAGGATTCAACACTTCCTATACTCACACAGCATCCAAGATTTATTAGGTACAGGGCAGAACTATGACAGATGGGGAGGGTTAAATCATCAATGGTCGTGTATTAGGGTTTCGAAATTTTCGTTCAATCTCTTTAGCGAAAATTTCGTTCAGGCAACGAAAATGTGAACAAAAATGAAAATTTTCGTTTAAATTTAAATTTTTTCGCGAAAATTTTCGACCTTTCGTTTAAAATCGTATTTCCCGGAGGTCTAATGATGTCCCACAAAAAATTTGGGCCCAATTGGTTTAGCCGTTTTGACGTTTATTGGATACAAACGAACAGACAGACAAGCCAAGNCCCCCCCCAGCCGTGATAGGATTAGATTTTCAGGTTGTCATTAAAGTCAGACATCCAACAATCTTCTTGACGCGAAAAGGGAAAAAAATCGATTTTTAACGAAAATTCAACGAAAATTTCGTGAAAATGGATGAAATTTTTGCGAAAATGAGGTCGAAAATATTGTCGACGGTACCATTGAAATTCGCGATAATTTTGAACGAAATTTGTTCGTTTGTTCATTTTCGAAAATTTCGTCCAACGAAAATTTCCTTGGAAACCTATCGTGTATGCATGTAATATCTATTTTACAGATACTTGGGTACCTGCTTCAATCAGGAAACATGTCAAGCATACGTGATCAGGAACAGGCTCATTACATTTCAATTATTTTGATCAGATAGAATATAAATGAATCATTTGGAAAGATAACTTTCCTTTGTCCATTTTTTCGTTGATCTTAATTTTGAAAAATTAAAGAAAAGGTTTTGCAAAATGACATGAATGATGTAATACTGTTATAAGTGATTATATGGCAGGCTGTACACTTTTGGATATGCAAAAAAGTGCAGAACTTAGAAATTTACTCAGGTTAATCTTTTTACTAAAATTACTCAGGTTAATCTTTTTACTAAAATTACTCAGGTTAATCTTTTTACTAAAATTACTCAGGTTAATCTTTTTACTAAAATTACTCAGGTTAATCTTTTTACTAAAATTACTCAGGTTAATCTTTTTACTAAAATTACTCAGGTTAATCTTTTTACTAACATTTCTCGTGCCGATTTTTTACTGAAATTTTACAAAAGAGTGTTTGCCACAAACTCTGATTTTTAATCCCTATAGCTTTGCAACCCAATGTGGTAGACCTTAGATATTTTAAACTCTGAATTCTGTTAGATCAAATAAATTAAGTTTAAAGTATCAAAGGTTTAAACCATCAGGTTAAAATACATAAGGATATGAAAATTTAAGTTTGTGGCAAAGACTCAATTCTTTTGTAATTGAAGATTCTTATTTTTAAAATAATTTATGATTTAAATACAATAAAGAATTGGTGAAGAGGAGAAGATCCAGGGATCTGTAGATTTAGCGGAAGCCGCTTTTTTTCTTCACAATTTATCCCAACCCTTGGTTCATCGACACATAGCAGCGAGGTACTAAATTCTGGTCTTGTTTCCTTGCTGTTTAGCTAAAAAATTGACCTAAACAAACAATTATGAACGATAGTTCTTACGATAAAAGATTATTACATATATTATCTACATAAATTAGAAATAAAAGTTATATGAAATAATTGTATTTTTAGAAATATTTTGATCGATGGAGAGACATTAAGATTTCGATTACGAGCTGCTGAGATACAGGTAAAAATAAAAAAGCTTTTATTGAAGCTATCAAAAAGCTTTTATTAATAAAAATTACAAACTTCAAAATTCTTGGCATTAGGATATTCACGTTTTGCATTTACAAATCTAAAACAATTCAACACCAGTACAAATCATACTCGAGACAAAATATTAATGTAAAATTTAAGCGACATTATCTCGAAGCTCCTCTTGCTTTAATTTAACGAACTTGTATGAGAAAGGCAAATTTATTTAATAACACTTAGAATTTAATCTGTCACTAGAGGCCTTGTTCGTATTTAAAGTACGTAAATAAGTACAGAGCCATTCCAAATTAAACGACGTAAATAAGTACAGAGCCATTCCAAATTAAACGACGTAAATAAGTACAGAGCCATTCCAAATTAAACGACGTAAATAAGTACAAAGCCATTCCAAATTAAACGACGTAAATAAGTAAAGAGCCATTCCAAATTAAACGACGTAAATAAGTACAGAGCCATTCCAAATTAAACGACGTAATTAAGTACAGAGCCATTCCAAATTAAACGACGTAATTAAGTAACGAGTCATTCCAAATTAAACGAGTTTAGAGCAAAAATGTTTATCTCAGATTTTAAGCAATCATATGTTTTACAGAACAATTCAACATACCTTTAATTACGATAAGGCAAAGTCTGACCTGTATTTTGTATGAATTAATTGGTTTGATTTAGAACAGAGTTGAAGACATGATTTGGTGTGTAAATCATGGAGGAATAAAGGATTATTTAGATAGGTAATATTACCAGAAACTCTTTCAGAAATTTTAACTTATGCAGTTTTCCTTCCAATGAATATGAGTGGTTTTATTTTATTTAAATATGTTAGTGCAAGTTAAAAAGAGACAATGTTTTAAGAAAAAATTACTTCTAATACTTTTATCAAAAAAGGAAGATAATTTTTTCTAGAAAGTGTACAGTACAACTGTTAAATCTTAAAAAAATAAATGATTGTAATTATGTTTACATAATATTCACTTCAATTCATAAGTTTAACAAGTGCATGTACGTTATATCTCAAGTGAATTCTGCGTGATAATGTTTTCAACCCGTTTTTCAATTCAGGAGTAATATGCTTCATATTGAGCTAGCTCCAGAGATACTTCTTCTAAATCGTGCACCAGATTTAAAATCAGATATTTGGGCGCTTGGTGCCACCATCCTGGAGATCTTACTGGAAAAGGTCTGTTTTGCAATGTATTCCGTTATGAGGAATTTTTATATTCCGTTTTGACGTTTATTGGATACAAACAAACAAACAGACATGCCAAATTTATATATAGATTTAGGTTTGTTGTACTAATTTTCCTAAAATTTTTGTTTAGAAATTGTGGGATATAAGTACCCTAAAAAAGACTGAAGAAACTAAGAACATCGATTCTAACACATTCGATATTCTGAGGTATGTTTTAACTAAAATATGAAGTTGACAAGTGATACATTTATGAAATCGCCTTGGCTCTTTTTATAATCTTTATTTCTTCGTGCAAAACCAAATATGATTATTTTGTTGCGAAATTTGTAAATATATGTTTCCGATATTTTTTCAATTTTCTTTTTTTTAAGGCGAGCGATGGAGCGCCGACTATCGCCAAGTATTTTAGGTGAACTGGAGAAATCAACTCAAAAGCTAAAATTTCTCTCTGACTGTTTCCAGTATTCAGCCGTTGGTAAGAGAAAGGAACTAATTACCCTAATAAAAGCTTTTTAATCTCTATATTTTGGAACCTACCTCTCGGGAAAATTTTAGATTTTTCAAACTTTAGCTTTTTGATCTCACAGAATTCATAATTGAAAATATCAAAGGTTCAAAATATCAGGTTGAAAAGATATGGGAGTAGAAAATTTTAGTGTGTGGAATATGGATGAGAAATCAGTTTTCTTGTCAAAAATGTCGAAAGATTCCTGTGTACTGTAGAGCATAATTTTTTGCTGAGCAATATAGCAGAATACTTAATCCGGCAAAGAACAAAATGTTACAGTTTGGTATGTTTTAATTCCTTCCGTATGCAATTTTTAGTGATCAAGTATCTGTTTAGATTGATATTTTTTTTACAAAATTAAGAATGGGAATAAGAAATCAAATGTATAAATGCAATTTTGAAATATCAAGTTTCTTTGAGGAAAACACGTCAGTAATTATCAGATAACGTTCCAGAAATAGCCAGAGTTCAGCCTGCGTTGCACCCCACAGATAATATTGACATTTTCAAACCCTTCATACTCACTATTCAGGTTGTGCAATACAATTTTTATTCCTTCCTCATCAATCTTCATATTTAATCTCAGAAATATGGAAATCTCTATAATATCTGAAATCAATTAAAGTCAATATTTGGGTTTAATCTTTAAATTGAATCTTTAGGATCATTGGCATTTCAACTTTTTCATCAAATAAATTATAATAATAGATGTATATATATACAGGGTGTCCCAATAAACATGGGAATTCAGTGACGAATTCGATATCGTCTTCTTACATAATTCTTTGATTTAGTATAGTGATCCCTACTGAGAAAGCTGTAATCTGTAAGAGTTTCGTCTGCTATGTTCACATTTTTTTGTTTATATTTTCACTGCATACGGTTGTACTTAGTAAAACAAGAAAATTGCAGTAAACAAACAGAGTAAACTTGACCGTCTTCACTGTTCATCTTGCGGAGACATTATAGACACACCTTTACAGTCTTTTACCCTTTTCATAAAATAAACTCTAGCAGACATAATAATACTATGGCTTTTGAAATTAGGTATTACAATACAAATTTTAAACAAAGACGATATCCAATTCGTCACTGAATTACCATGTTATTTTGGGACACCCTGTATCACTATTAATTGGACAAAAGAAGAAGGTCAAATTTCTGCAACATTACTGCTACTTATCTGAGGAGGGATCCCTTGTATTGTCAATATTGGGATCAATTTAATCTTTTGTAAATCTACCGATATCCAACGAAGTGGCTAAAATTTTGCCAATCAGAGTGTCGTCTGCAGAAAACAATTAACCAATCAGAAGTCAGAGAATTTTGCGTTCAACCAAGGAGAACAGAGAAATAACAAAAATCGAAAATTAAGAGATCAAGTAGAAATTCAAGTGCCCACTGTGGATATCGATATCAAGCAATCGGGGTTCATGGGTATCCAACACCAAAATGTCCAGCTAAAGTTACAGAAATTCAAAATATTTTTATTCTTCCTAATTACTCTTAAATAAAAAAAGCTGTGATTGAAAACAAACAGGTTTCAATCTTACAATTTACTTAAGTTTGACGTGCTATGTATATCACTGCCATCTCAGAATGTCAGGGATTATGAAAGCTCTACTAAATTCGTACCGGTTCGACCCTATCCTCGTACTGATACTGTGATTAATTCCGCCACAGGCCATGATTGGCTATATTTGAACATTCCATTAATAGTATTTAAAAAAATTGTTTTCGCCGTATACGTCCATAGCTTGTCCTATGACAGGGATTTGTAGATATGTATGTAATGAATCTAAAAGGCCCCGATAAATCTCCGAGTACTTGACTCTTAGTCTAATGTCAATCTCTCTGACTCTATCTCCAGCCCAAACTCAAGACTCTATACACGTCCGTCTAAATCGCCTATTCGTACTATACTACTTTATTAAATACAGGTAAATACGGGAAGGGAATGGGCGGTCAGGGTCAAAATGAAACATAGATATGATAGATAAACGAACATAGATAATAAAGATATTACTAGCATGATTACATAATTCATTACATGTATCTACTATCTAGTTTGCAGTGTTATATAATACAATATATATATATATATATATAATATATATAATGTATATATATATAATATATATTGGAAGAAATATATATTTAAACATCTAAAATGTATATTTAAACTGAAAAAGTTGAAATATATATATATATATATATATGTATATATATATATATAAGAATTAAGATTATTGAAAAGAACTAAAAGGATAAAAGTTCTAAAAAATTGATAATTATTTCTTGTTATTTAGAGCGACCATCCTCCACTTTTATATTACGAGGAATGCACCACTTTCAAATAGAGGTAAAATTCAAAATAATTTTCTCAGTTAAAAAATCATATCTGGAGTTTTAGCATCTTTCCAACAATAATTAAATCTATACTAGTAGGTTTCTTCTTTAGTTAACTTTTCGATCAGACAGAAACATTTCCCTGGAATTAAATGAGTCACTACAAGAAAGAGCGGATCGGTTTAGATCTACATATGTTTTCTAGTTTTAACAGAATTTAGCAGCACCCAAATTAAAAAAATGTAGGCAAAAAGATTATCAGAAGAAGATGGTGTAAAAACGAGTTTGCTCATGCCTGGCAAACGTATCCCTGTATCTAAAGCAATTCCACTTGATCCGCTTGTGAGACAACAGGTAAAGAAATAGACCAATTTTTCTTAAAATATCTTTTAAAGTTTAAATTATTTTTTAAAGGTTGAATGGAATGTTCGACAAGAAGCAGGATTAAAACGTCGGACTTTGCTAATTGCAAACAGGTGTTTTTCCAAGAATAAAAGGATCATTTGTTTCCCATACATATGGAATGAATTGAGTTTTTGTCACAAACTTTTATTTTCTAATCACTATATCTTTGGAAACCGATGCTGTAGACCTTTGATATTTCAAACTATGAATTATGTTAGATCAAATAATCATAGTTTGAAATATCAAAGGTTTACATTTTCAGATAGGAGCGATATAGGGATTAGACTTTTTGAGTTTGTGACAAAAACTCTTTATTTCAGAAACTATTTGGGTAAAGCGTGGCCCTCATTATCAGCAAATCCTTTAAATGACATCAGAGATGTTGGAAATGCGTTTAGCAGGCAAAGAGCAATTTGATATTTATTTCATATATTTACAAAGCAAACCAAGTACTTAAGTAAATCCTTCTAAAAAAACTCTTATCCTTAATATTTAACTAATTTTTTAGAGGAGGGTACGGAACTGACAATAGTTTTGAAAATGTTGGCTCAAGCTCAGATCTAAAATCAATTCTGACAGCTTACGTTGACGCAGGTTTTTGTCACAAAAATAGTTTTTGATTTTTTTTGCGATTCTTGTTAACGTGTGATATCTTTCTTCGATTCTTGTTAACGTGTGATATCTTTCTTCGATTTGTTGTAACTAAGCTTTAGCTTTCATTATTGTTCTTTCAAAGTTTAAAAAAAGTGTTTTCTCTAAAAAACCCCCCCCCCCCCAAAAAAAAATAATTCTTGTATTTTTTAGTAAATAAAGATCCAGAAGATGTTGATATTATTGTATTCTATTATTCTGGTTACGGCCTTGAGGTAACGAAAAAAAAATATATTTTGAAGTAAGGATAGGTAAATTTGATCATTAATAAGCGCGCAACACCAATTAGTTTTTGCAAAAAATTATTTTACCATAAAATAACAGACAGTTTCTCGAGACCTACATAACAAAAATTATCACTGCAAAAACCAAAAAACCAATATTAAATTATTATGATAGTAAATTTTACAAGCTTGGATATACAGGGTATTATTTAGTCAATGGCTTATACTATATATTTTACCGTTAAACAAATATTATGTACAAACATCTGAAAGAACAAACTACGGAATTTGAGAATAAAACAAACAAAGAGTTCAGCTATACGTTAAACACATCTTTTATTTTCAGGTTTGTGTGTTAATTATAAAGTTTTTATAGACTGTACCTGAAAATATTGAGAAGAAACGTAAATATGGGATATTTACAGACAGGGAGGGAATTATTTACGATCTAGCTTTAGGTATATACAAACTCATAAATCAAAATTGTAATACGAAATGTTGAATTTGGATGGGCTAATAAAATAAGAATTTCAGTTATGTGCAATGAAACCATGTTTCCAGTTGCTACTCTACAAACTCTAATAGCTCAGCTTAATTCAAGGTAAAGAGAACTTAAATATTACTTTTATGTTGGTTTATGTTTCGCTTACATAATGCCGATAATGCAGCATTGATCATTGAAATCCTAAAATGATATTTTGATAACAGCTATTTTTTATATATACACTACAGCTCAGCAATAATAGATAAAATGACAAAACGCTAAAGGAATAAAAAGTAACATATAGAAATTGTTTTATTTGTATCTTTTGCAATTATTCGTTGTTTTTCATCATTTACTTTAAGCTGCAGCTTCTTTGTTCAAGTAAATTGTTCTAAATGATTAAAATATTATTCTGATAATATTTCAGAGTTAAAAGAAAACTACTTATTCTTGACACACGACATTATTATCCTCAAGGTTAATTTTATTCTTTTTTATTCTTTTATTTTAATTTTATATTTAACCCTGGACATATTATAAGAGATATCTTTTACAGAGTTTATTTTCTCAATTTATGTTATGCTGCTTTGAAGTTGATATATTTTATATTCTATAGTTCAGTTCATGGTTGTCAAGGTTATTTTGTACACATATACTTATATAATACACAATCACGTTAATCACGTTACATTTATATTAATAATAAAAAGTATATACAATATCGTAATGTCACCGATTTTTTTTTGGAGAAAAGCGTAATTTCAAGTGACCCTCATGTGCAAAGATTTCAATGCCCGATTTACACAAACATTTATCTTATATCTGATTCTCTAGTTGGACCAAACAAAGCTTGTAAGGGTAAATTGTAAATCGACCAATGCCATCTTTGCATGGGGGGTCATTCGCAACAACGCTTATGCATTTCCTTTAAGAAATAGGTATACTCTGGGGTTTCATCAGCTCCTGTGACTCCAGGTAATTTAATTTTTATCATAAAATTATTTCATATCAAATATGAGTAAACTTTTTATCTTTAGTCTAACAATCTTAATTTAATGCATGGTACATTGATATTATAAATTATTTTGAATAGTCTTCCATCATATTAAAGATTGCATTCTGAATGGACAAGTAAATTTATTCTACAGGGAGTGTTAATTCCCACTTTATGTCCCTGGAAGAGAGAAATTTTATCTATCCTGGTCCACCTTCATCAGGTAATTCAACATAATAACAATTACAAATATTTGGAATCTGCATTGGTCAAAATTATGTTATAAACGATGCATTCAGTTAATCAGCAGTTGTTGTCGGATAGGAACAAGATTCTGACGATGAACAGATTATAGACAACGGAATAACCCTCGAATCAAAATCGATAATGCAGAAAACTCTTTATTTCCTAAAAAAAAATAAAATAGATAATAATGCACGAGTTTGTTACAAAGTTTTATAATTTTACAATGAAAAGTCCCCCCCCGCGGTATATTAATTCTGAATCTGTATAGCTATGATCTAATTTGTTATCTATAAAGGAGAGAGCACTAAGTCGAGAACTACAAAGTATGATTGGGAAGTTCCCAAGATTCCTGAGGAAACTACTGAGACCCTGAGTACAATGTTTACTATCCGGTAATATCGTATTCTTTAATTTGAATAAATCGTTGAAACCTGTATCAATGCAAACCAAGATGTGCACGCTATACCGCAAAGCTCGAGCAGTTTATTGCCAATTACTCCTTTTGAAACAAGCTCGTTGCTTTTTTTAGGTGAAACCAAAGGCTAAGTCAATGCATGTTATCTAAATAATTGATCGATTAACATTCAGATATGTTTTTATGTCCTACGTATGTTGCATGTTTTTGTTTACCGTCTTTTAAAGACATTGAAATTTAGTTTTAAAAGAATAAAATGTAATACTTGTGTGATCAAATCTTTAAGCACAACACAACCAATGTTGATATTTTGATTCGATGAAACCAAAGCAGGAGGTGGGGGAGGGGGGGGGGTATGAGCCCCCATAGCCCAATCTAAGTACGCCTTAGTATCAGTAAATTATTATTTCTCTATTTCAGTGTACATCTGTCTGATCCTCATGTTATACCAAAAGCTGTGGATTCCCATCCCAGAAGGATGAATGGATATTTAACCGGATGTTTTCTGCAGGTATGAGTTTTAATAAATTCATAAAAACACTATTTAATAAATCAAGCTTAATTTTAAAACTATCGTATAACAGATTTCTGAAGAGTATGTTCTAGGTGATTCATGAAAATTTTCCAAATATATCAGATCTACCAAAGTTCTTGAATAATCAGATGAAGGTATTTATTCTTTTCAGAATACCATAAAAAAAAACAATTTTAGTTTCAGATCTCAATTTGATAATGGGTGATTAAAAAGTGTAATTTGTGTCGTTTTTACTTTTTTCTTTATTACTGTTGGAAATATTTCGATTATTTAAAAAATACAATCTACGCTACACTACACAAAGAAACAAAACAACACCTTAAATATTTAAAATTTTATAATTAATTTGAATTTTTTTGTGCAAAATAACTAAAATGAGATGTTTTAAAAACTTGTTTAAACATATTTTAAAGATTAAAACAATAAAAGAAATATATAATGATTGGAATGGGAGTAATAAAAAATGCAGTCACTTTTTTACGGAAATTTAGTAAAATTTCTATTCGTCCATGTCTGTTGTCTAATAATATCAAAATTAGGCTGATGGAAGGCGGTCTAAAGCTCATCGTGGAATAGAATGCAAAGCTGAATACACAAATATGGGAAATATCTGGGACGCTCCACTCCTCGCACATTAGAAGGAACAGAGCTGTATATTTTAATGTGTGGATTATTTTGTATCACGTTCAACTATTGGATTAAACTAAAATGGCCAAAAGCCAATGAGGTCAGGACATTTTTGTTTCAATCATGAACTGGTTAAATATCTAATAGAACAGTTTATTTGACTGAATAGACCAGCTGCAACTACAGGGTGTCCCCCTGTTCATGAGTTAAAGATCGTCTTTGATCCTTTGTTATATGTGACTCTGTTAAACTGTCAAAGAAGACCTAAGCATCTCTCAATGGTGGTTTTTTGTGGGAAACCCTGTACTTCGACTACCTAGTTTAATCTCGAAAAAATCAAATAAAATGCACATTTACCAAATGTTGAACGTACACGTATTTCATATTATAAACTAAAAAGCAAAAAAACTAAGCAGGGGCGGCTTATAATATTTTCAAGGGGGGATAATTAAAATTTTATCCCCCTTTGCAAAAAAAGTTGGACATCTTTATGTCAAATGGGGGGAGGTCCCCCCCCCATCCCCCCATAAATTACCTCTGAAACTAAGTGACATCTGTTTTGTATTTACTGAATACATTGTGATATAATATAAATGCGTTTATGAGTCTAAATAAACGTTGAATTAAAAAGAAAAATATCTGTATTCCTTTATATACATGAAGAGATTGTTAAAGTTGAAGATCTACATATTTATGATCAGAAATTGTGAAAGAAAAGAATAATATAATCATATTTTGGAGGCAGTACTTTTAAACTTTTCATTATCTTTTAAAAAAAATCATTTTGTAAAGGAATTGAGTCTTTGTCACAAAACTATGATTTTCTAATCTCTATATCTTTGCAACCCAATGCCGTAGACCTTAGATATTCAAACTATTAATTCTGTTAGATGAAAGAATCTAAGTATTAAATATTAAAGGTTTACACCATCAGGTGGACAAAATATAGGTATTAGAAAATTAGAGTTTGCTTCAAAGACTGCAGACATAATTTCAATTCTGATTCACAAAATGCCCTTCAAAGCTTTGTCTGATCAAGATATTGCATTAAATATCCATGTTTCCCATTTTGAAAACTGATTATTTTCATTTGTGGTTTCTCTACAAAAGTGACTCTTGTACTTCAATGCTTCAGAAACGATGGAGAAATGAAGGTTTCAAAGGTACATCGGACATGCCACTCTATAAATGGAGGGTCACTTGAAATTACGCATGTATTCCATTTAAGTATAATTACATCATATAAAAAATATTTTAAATCTCACTTTTGCCCTTAACTAAAAAGGTTTCATTAAAAAGTTTTATTAAATACTGCCTTCAATGTATGTAAATATAAATTGATATCAATATTTATGTAATAAATCTATGAAAATATAGATATTTTTCACCCTTTGAAGCTTACACAGTATAAAGAGGGAGTGTCTAATGAGTCCACTTAAGAAAATTACATAAATAATTTATTAACACTTGTAATATGGAAGTGGTATCAATATTTTTTTCAAAAAAGGGGTTTTTTAAGAGGGGGCACAATGATGCCAAGGGAGCACCAAAAAAGTGCCCCCCTAAACAAATGCTTTCGTACGCCCCTGATAATAATATTACATAAATATATCACACAATCGGAAAATGCCCGTAGCTAGAAATTTGTAAAGGGGGGCGGAAACTGATCAAAAATAAGCGGAAACCGATCAAATTACTCATTTTTTAATGTATTTCCGCGATTTCTTCGAAATTTTCGGAATTCCCTCAAAAGTCAGATTTTGAGCGGTTTCCTCTTTTTTTTGATCGATTTGCCAAAATTTTAGATCAATTTCCACTTTATTTCAATGAAATATTTTAGAGGGATTTCCAAATATATTAAGGGGATTCCCAATATTTTTGGTCCGTTTCCTCATATTTTTGACGTGTTTCCGCTTTTTAAAAACTTTAAAAATCTTAATTTTTTGATCGGTTTCCTCAAAATTTAAAGGTTGGTTTCCTTAAATTTTTTATTTTTTTCCGCTTTTTAAAAAACTAAAAATCTCAATTTGTTGATCGGTTTCCTCAAATTTTTGATTAATTTCCTTATATTTTTGATACGTTTCCGCTTTTTTCAAAAACTTAAAAATCTCAATGGTTGATCTTGTTGTATTCCAGATTGTTTGATACATGAGTGAACAGTCCCTTGAATCCAACAGGGAGCCAGATGAGTCAGTACATCCCGGACCGCTGCAGCGTAGACACAAGTCGCACTGCACATAGCCGTCCAGGGACCTGTGCTACATATAGCGCACAGAAAGCTTACAGAGAGTATCTTTGTGGACGAGAT